ATCAAAAAATAAAGGACTAGGCGACGGAAGCGGTCCAATCAGCGTCTCACGTGGGCTCTCATCCGGCGGAGACGTTCGAAATGAACGTGCACGATCTTCGGGGTTTCTAATTTGGTTTGGGCGGAAACTTATTTCTGGTTTCACAAATGAAACCCGCACGACATTTTTTTTTCGGCATGTCAAAACTTGAAAACAAAGAAATGACGAACACCATAATAGGGTTTAGGAAACTACAGTTTGTTGGGCAACGGAAGGTTCTAGAATTATTAAGTTTTTAGCCTGATGGATTAAATTCTACTAATCATGTCATTATTAAAAATTAGCTTAATCCTACTAAACCTAAACTTACTAATCCTAAACTTACTAAGCCTAAGACAAAGCTTAATTATTAATAAGCGCATCGTACAATTTGACATCTACAAAGGCACTCTCAACGTAGAGTTGATTACAATGCTTGCGGCATTGCCTAATTTTTTTTATATAATAAGATGGCCTTAGAGAAATTGCAAGATTTCTTGTTGCGCAACTTTTTCTTATGTAACATTTACGACTTTTGTAATATTTGCCTCGGTGTAAAACGACCCAAAAAATTACTGCGAGTGCTGGGGTTTCACTTTTCTGTTACTTCGAGTGATCACTTTTTATTTGCTATATTATAGCCCCAAGGCTACTGAGACTTAGCCTACTAAGTCAAGGTTCAATAAGTGTAAACCTACTAATCCTAGGGCTACTAAACCTTAACTTGCGAAGCGTTACTTACTAAGCCTATGTTAAGGAATTACTATAGTATTTCTCACAGAGTTTCATCATAGACTACAGTACCCTTTAAAACCCCCTTTGAGTACCAATAAAACACGAGTATTTTCTGCAACATAAAACAACACGTGCATTCCACAAGTCTCTAGTATCACTCTTTTTACTTTATGATACACATGTCATTGTAAAAGTCCAAAGACAACATGACGAAGCAATAAAAGATGAAAAGTTCACGTAATTCATAGCGAATGGACTTTAGTGGTCCATAAAGGACAAGGAGATGTCTTGGATGTCTAGGCTTGAAGGGGGGGGGGGGGGGGTAAACAAGCTTGTTTAGTATGGAATATTAAAAAGGGTAGAACTTGATCATGAAATGGTATAAACGTGATACGTTTGGCTTCAAAATTATAAAGAAATGTGATAAAAGATATGTTTGGTCAATGAAATGCACTGTACTTGATAGAAAGTCTATAAAAAAGCTATTTATTAACAAAAAAACCAGTCAGAATATGAAAATATGCAAATTATGACAAAACCCTCATAATTTATTCGCATGATGACAAAACGAAAAAAAAAACGAAAAAGTGTTTAACGTAATTGAACAATAAAATGCCGGACCTCGCGAAATTTGTGATTGGCTGAACAGACAGTTGTCTAATTAATTAAATTCGTCCTGGCCGCGGTATAATTGACTCCATTTTATAATTTACTTCGACGTAACGAACAAAAACAGCTTGAAAACAACAAGAAAAATTGGGGAGGGGGGGGGGCGGGAGGAGGAGAGAAAACGAAGGGCGAAGATCTCGGCCGTTCCGTCAACTTTGTTCCGTGCACCGCAATTTTTAAATGGTTAACTTTTGAGACAAATTATGGTTCAGGGATGTGGATGGTGGTAGTAGGTGGAAAGGATTCTGTTGGTCGGCTAGACTTGAAAGGAGGCTAGGGTATGCAGTGCCGGGCGGGGTGATTTCGTTAGAAGTTGCCATGAAACTTCATTGCCCAGTCATACCTACAACTATTAGTACTAAAACTCATGTCATAAAGTATTCCTGACAGTAATTAATATACGACAGAAGCATGAAGACTTACACAACATACAGCAATAAATCTTGCTAAAAGTTGTGTTAAAACAAATTGTAAGAATAAAATTGAAAAATGTGAAAAACTAAGCCTTTTGCCAACAATCCAATGAAAGTTGTTAAGTGAGCAAGCACAAAATGAGTCGATAATGGCTTACATTAACTTACGGCCATTTACTTCATGTTGAGAGTAACAATAAGACAAAGTACGTTGAAGACGATGTTTGGAACACGTGATTTTTAAAATTTAAGATTGAAAAAAAATATTAAAATGAAAATACGATTATAAGATAAAAATGAAACTACGATTATAAATACCAAGCTACGTAGATGGATACAATCTTTGAGTCAACTATTATATCGAAAAGCAAAATATTAGGTATAGGTTTGTCGTTTTTAGGTATAGCCTTAACTTTCCAAGCCTAATTCTAAATTTTTTCATATTTAAAGACCTGACTTTTTGCATAGTCAAATGGGTATTAAATTTAAAACTTGACATCAATGATGTGCAATAAATATTTGAAGTACTGCAAAACTAGCACGTCCACTTGTACCCAAAATGGAACGCCTGAAGTGGCGAAAAATATAAAAACTAAAAAATTTTAAATTATGTTTTATAAGGAGCATGTAGACTACTTGAGATGTGGGTGATGAAAACGCATAGTAAGCTAAGATTGACTTTTGGTGATTAATAAAAAACAGCCCTTAATTTAAAAAAACACAATCATGAAAATGCAAATTTTTACATTTAAAAAAAAACTTTATGAGAAATTTTATAACCTGCGAAAAGCGAACGAACGTCAGGATTAAGCTAATCAAGTATGTTGTGCTATTTCCGTTCGCGCAAAATGCTCCTACTCGTTTTCGTCTAGTTTTGCTCATGTTTACAAATAAGAAATGTCACAACTGCAAATAAAAACATCACTAAGATTTGTTGACAAATATGCAGTGTCATTCGGAGTTTTGGGTCCAGTACTCAATTGCTACGAGCTGCAATTACTAGTAGGCTGGGATGGCGACGCTACAACTTTGGGGGGAGGGGGTAGATTGTTTTAGTTTACATGTAGCTGCTACCTTTGCTTTCTTTTTTTCATTTTTTTGTGGGTGGGGGATTGTAAAAAACTTTTTTTAAAAATTTTCTAGTTTTTTACGTACTGGTTCTGAAAGAGGGGTAGTTTTATCCCCCTTCCCTCCCTCCAATCCCTCCCCCCTTCTCCCATAGCATGTTCTTGCTAGTAAAGTAAATTTTTAAAAACGTAGGACCTACTAGAAATATAAAACTTGAGTTCTCACAATTTGTAAGCCCTAAAACAACAATAAACCCGAAGCTAAAGAACAATAAACGATAACATTCAGTTTATGATTTATAACTTTCATAAAGAAGCCATTGGCTGAGAAAACTTATGGATCTAGTGATATTGAATTTTAGATCATTTTTTATACGTCATAAAGAAGGCAATATGAAAAAAGGGCTGAAAAAAGTATAAGTTATGATAGTCTAAAGAATTATAAGTTATGACAGACTAAAGGTTATAGGACATAAAGCGCTATAAAAATACTGGTTTTCAATTCACAAAGTGATAAAGTAGCCTATTGGTGATTGTAAGAGCACGTGGTTCTTCAGAAAAATATTTTTATTGATATACCGTTGATCAAAAAACCTTTTGCTGTGCCTTTGTTCCGGGCCTTATAGGCCCTCGTACAGGTATTAGCAGAGGCTTGAAGTAGGAAAGGTCAAAAAAGTTTTTGCTGAGCGTTTAACAGTAAGATTTTTTGTTTTGGTCACCATTGCTCGACCACTTGGTATTGACTACGGGCTAGGGTATCAGCAAAATAAAATTGTTTCATTTTGCTAGATAGGCCGTGACACAATAGGAGAAAAAACTAATATTACAGTGACAAGGTTATAAGGTAAAATCTATTGAAACAAAAAGCGTGCACAAAGATTGTTTTGAAACCTTGTAGAATTTGAAATATGACATTATTGTTCGTGTGGGTGAGTCATAAAAATATATGCTTTGTAGGTATAGTTTTTTGTAGAATATGACAAAAATCGAACTGACAATTCATGGTACGTATATAGTGTAAAATACGATTCTTACGCCTTATTCATTTTATTTGGCACTTAAAAAAGATAAAATACGAAAAACAAGTTTTTTTTAATTTATAAAAACAGAACGAAAGGTCTAGTAATACCTAAAATATAAAAATGTAAAACAGAAAGGCTTAGTAATACCTAAAACATGATAATCTAAAGCAGAAAGATAAGATAAATAAACATAAAAATCAAACCACACAATTCTGAGAGTTCAATTTGTACTGAAAGAATCATATGCTCACTGAAACGTGTCAGTTTCATTAAACTGTGCGGTTTCTCGTGTCATAACTGTCAGTACATCAAGTTTCAAACTTGTAAATTTCTCAAACAAATCGGGTTCAAACCTATCAAAAAAGTACGTCATAACTAAAAAATAGCAGAAAAAGTAAAAATTGAAGATGGAAGGCTTGAAAGTGAGCTCACTAGGTCTGGCCTCGGACCGAAACAAAAAATTGAAAGCATTTTGGCCGTACCGGCACTTTTGGCGACATTTCTACCTACTTATGGACCATATAGTCTATTTTTACCCGGCAAAACCTACGTTTTGGGTTACGTTTAATATTTTTCAAATAAAAAAAACATTTGTTACCTAAAATTAAAAAAAAAGTTACCTAAAAAAATTTGTTACCTAAAATAAAAAAATCTTTAAAAATCCATGAAAAATCTTGCAAAATACTCAAAAAACAAGGTTAAAGTAAAAATCACATGAAGACAACATACTTGACAAGCATAAACACTCTAGCGAAATATTGAATTCCGGCATCTTTGAAAGGCCGAAAAGGGGTTTTGAACTCCATTTTGGGTTTGAAATGACATAACTTCGAAATATTTGAGCAAAAACTGACATTTATGCTAATTTTATAGGGGCATGGGTGGCATTTTTGAAGTATGTAAAAGGGTTCTAGGCTACGGTGTTTTGGGTATAAATGGTAATGTTTTACAACTGACAATGAGGCTATATGTATACATATAATATTTAGTTTTTTACGGTATAACAGTTGATTAAAACATTTGTTTGGCGTTTTACAATATCATGGCTGATTAAAAATTAGCATAAATTGAAAAAAATGAGCATTGATAATAACTTTATTATTTCAGTTTTGCACAGACTAGACCGTACCACTTCTGGAGTACTATTGTTTGCTAAGAATCAAGAAGCCGATCGATTTGTAAGTTAATATTTGAAACTTAAGCTTAAATAAAAAGTAAAAGTTCGAATACGATGTGATATGATAGGGTACTGTAGTATTTAATAGTAGTGTAGTGTAAGGTATAGTAAAGTAGGGTGGGTAGAGCAGGGTAAATTAGAGTAGGTTAAGATAAGATAGGATAGGGTCGGCTAGGGTAGGGTAAGGTCGGGTAGGGTAGGGTAGGGTGGGTAGGGCAGAATCGGTAGGGTGGGGTATCAGTGCACTATAGTGACAGGCAGACCAGGGTAGTAGGGTAAGTTGTTAGGGTTGAGTAGAGTAGCAGGGTGGTAGGATGGTTTATTATAGGGTAAGGTAGGTCAGGATGGGGGCATGGACCAGGGTAAAAAGCAAAAATTTATAAAATTTTTCAAAAAATTGAAAAAAAAAATTTAAAATTTGACGTAAGTGTTTCCAAAATTTTTTTGAAATTTTACACGATACATCTGTTTTATACACCAAGTCATGTGTAATATTATTTACATACTCAAGGGGCGAACAAACGAGTAAATAAGAAAATAAACAACCCAAGTGTCTAATGCAAGTAGGGCTAATAAAAATGATGACTTTGCGAAAAAATAATGGATTGGAGTGAACTTTTGAACTTTTTGAAATTTTGAAAAATAAAAAAAATTTTTTAAATTTTTTTGTAAGTTTAAAAAATGGGCAGAGACGGACTAAAAATTTAAAAAACCTTAAAATGGAAGTAAAATTCATAAATGCCTTTCACTGCTTTTTAACGTCATATTCGAGGACACATGAAATACAATATTTTCGAAATTTTAGCATTTTGATTAAAATTCTTTTTGTTTTTCGAACACTTCTTTCGATCATAATAACAAAATATAATCTTTTGCCTACACTAGGGTAGATTTTTTTTGGAATTTTAAAAACTTCTCGGAACGAAATTTGCATAAACTACAATTTTTTGGACTGAAAACTGTAGTTTTGCTTACAGGACTTGGAGATAGACCTGGTTTCTATTTTAAATTACCTTACCCTACCCCGCCCAACCCAGTCCTATCCTGCCCTACCCTACCCTACCCTACCTTACCCTACCCTACCCTACCCTACTTTACCCTACCCTACCCTACCCTACCCTACCCTACCCTATCCTATCCTACCCTACCCTACCCCACCCTACCTTACCCTACATTATCCTACCCTATCTAACCCAATCCTACACTGCTCTACCTTACCTTATCTCTAGGCCGGGCTGAAAAAGATTTAAAATGGGCCGGACAGGATTGAAAGCTATGTCTACTTGCCAAGTGTTTTTTTCTGTGACAGGGAGGAGGGTATACAAATTTTGAGGCAAGGTAGGGTTTTTTATTTTTTAAACTTATTTTTTTGAAATTTGTATTTATAGTACACGGAGATGATCAAGTCGAGAAATGTCAACAAAGAATATGTTTGTCGAGTTGATGGACAATTCCCAACGTGAGTTTACATTTTTTATTAATTTAGGGGGGAGGAGGTGGAGCTCAGTTTATAGTAGTGATAAGGGTATGGTTGAATCAATTAGGGTTATAGAGAGGGGCGCGGTTTAATTGTACTTAGAAAGCTTAAATTTTGGCTTTATTGCTTTTAATAAGCCTAAGCCTACTAAGGCTAAGCCTAAGTTTCACTACTAAGCTGAAATTTACTACCCTAATAGTTAGCTTAAGCTTACTAGGCTTATGTATATTTAAGTCAAGGTTTACAAAGTTCAAGGCTACTACTTTTCAAATTTTAAGTTTGAACATACTCAACTGTACTATTTTGTAACTACTAACTGTAGCCTTGCAATCACTAATAGTTCAAAGCATTTCATCAGTGCACTGCACCCGAAACCGCAAACAATGTTTTTCTAGAGATTCGTTATCGATCGCTTTTCCGATAATTTGTTTCATTTCGTTTTTATTTATTTTTTATTTTTTCGGTCGGTTTTTTCGCTTGGAAGCTTGATTTTGAGACTTTTTGTGCTATATTGTCTAATAAATAGCTAAAACTTGATGTTATGGCAACATTGATCAACTTATTTTTGAGTTAAAAGAGTTAATTCTGCGATTTTAACCATAAAATATTTTGTTACTTGTTGTTTGTTACAGAAAAACTTTAATCGACCGTTCGGGTGCAGTGCAGTGTAATAACTTACATAATAAGTGCGATATTACCTAATATTATAATATAATAACATAGCCTTAGAGAAATTGCGAGAAATGGTGTGACGCAACATTTTCTTATGTAACATTGTGGTTTTATATAACATTTGCCTCGGTGTAAAACGACCCAACAAATTACTGCGAGTGGTGGGATTTTATTCTGTTTTTCTTCGAGGGTTTTCTGCAATGAAAGGCAAGGTGGGGTAGAGCAATTTAAGGCAGGGCTGTCAGTTTAGGGCAGAGAAGGTAGTGTAGGGTAGAGTAGGGCAAGGTAGGGTAGGGTAGGGCAGGGTAATATAGGGTAGGGTAGGTTAGGGTACGGTACGGTAGGATAAAGTAGGGCAGGGTATAAAAACTTTATGAACTTATTCTGTTTTTCAACCAGTACTAATACTGACATTTACAGAAGCTCAATAGTATGTGATCAGCCAATAGGCACTCTAGTTGTATCAATGGGTATCCAATGCATACGACCAGACGGAAAGTCAGCCAAATCCACCTTCAGAAGAATATGGTACGATCAGACAACTAACCAGTCGGTTGTGCTGGTTAAGATTGAAACAGGACGAACACATCAAATTAGGGTACACCTACAGTTTCTGGGGTACCCGATTGTTGACGATCTACTGTACAATTGTTTTGTTTGGGGACCTGAAAAAGGGAAAAATGCTGAATATGGCAAGGATTATGAGCAGGTGGGGTAGATATTATTGAGTTTTTGAAGTTTTTAAAAATTTTTTGAAATTAAAAAATATTTTAAATTTAAAAAATTTTGAAATTTAAAAATATTTTTGAAAATTTTGATTTTTTTCAACTTTTGAAAACTTTAGCATACATAGGTTTATATTAGGAAGAAAGTGACAATTTAATGTTAATATTGCTTTAGCTAGGCATTGACGTTCGAGAAAGACACAAAGCAACGTTATGGCAAGAAGAAATTGATCCAGATTACGACGAACGGATTCTGAAGGCTGCTCAGGATCCGGATGTAAGCTTTGTTTTACTATAACAATTGTTTTCATCACTCTGTTTTAAAAAAATTAAGAATTTTTTAATTTTTGGAAAAAAATTGAGATTGGTCCCTGTGGATTTAAAAAACTTTTTTTTTGAAAATTTTTAATTTAAAAAAAAAATTATTTTTGGTTTTCATACTTAACTAGTCCATATCTAACTATTTATATAAATTTTTTACTGTTTTGAGCTAATTCAAAATTTAAAAAAAAAGAGAAAAAGTCGAACTTGGTTCCCCTGTTGATTTTTTCAGAAAAAAAAACTTTTTTGAAAACTTTTTAATTCTGTGTGGGTTTCTAGACCAGCGTAGGCTATATTTTACTATTTATCTTCTTTTTATTACTTTTTTAGGTTTAAAGTTTAAACTTTTTTAAAAATTTTTGGAGAAAAAGTTGAGCTTGGTCTCCCCCCCCTGTGGATTTTTTTTGAAAAGTTTTTAAAAATTTTTTTAAAATCAAAAATTTGTGTGTTTTTAACTTTAATTTCTTTAGTTTTTTAAGAATTTATATTTATTAGTCTTCATTACATTCGTATTTTACATTTCAGGTAATAAACCTAGAGCCCTGGGACACTCAAACACTGGACGAGGGTCCAGACTATGATCCTTTATGTATGAGTTGTAATGTGGTCAAGAAAACTCCCACTTTAGCCCACTTTCGAATGCCATTACATTGTTGGAGGTACGAGACGGAAAAGTTTACATACAAAGCACCACTACCGGATTGGGCATGGCCACCAACTGAAGGGGTGGTGGCGGATTTGGATCCAGAAGGTTTGTACGATGATGCTGAGAAGATGAGGAATAGTGGACAATTAGAGGTGGTTGAGAAGAGAACTGGTGCTGTTGGAGTGCTAGGTGGAGGAAATGGTGGAGTTGGGGTACCAGATGGCACCATTAGTCAAGATGTGGTACTAGAGAGCAAAAGTGGTGCAGTTAGTGTATCAGACAGCACTATTAGTCAAGATGTGGTACTAGAGAGCAAAAATGAAGAAACTAGAGTACCAGATAGAACAATTGGACAAGAAAAGGTACCAGAACACTTAAATGAACCTGTTTTGGAATCAGCTGGGACTAGGCTTCAAGAAGGTGATATTAAAGTACCAGAAGAAAAAAGCGACCAAATTGGTGCACTAGAAGCTCTAACTACTCAAGAAATGACAGTAGATGATAGTACTAAATCTAAACTTTCTGGTACACTTGGTACAGAAGCCGGAATCTAGAAAGAAGCTCAAATTTAGGTGAAAAACGGGTTGTAAACAAAGTTTTGACGACCTTTTGTTGATTATATAGTGATTTTTTTGTTGTTTTGACAGTTATCCTGTTAAAGTTGTTGACGAAAATGAAGTTTAATGATAAAATAAATGGATGCGTTTTGTTTATGATGGATAATATAAATGTTTGTACCTATAAATATCTATTTTTTATATTTTTTTTATTGCTCTTTAGTAACTTTTAATGCTAAATCAAAACGTTTTTAAGAATTTTCGGCGGGGTAGTTTTTTTTGGTGGAAAAGGGGGGGGGGCAAAGAAATTTTTTTTAATTCAGGTTGGGCAGGGTGATATGTTTGACGAAAGAAGAGTGGAGTCACAAAATAAGTTTCGTTTTCAATTTTTCATGGCGGGCGGGGTAATTTTTTTTTGGTGACAGGGGATGGAGCCTAAATATTTTTTTTTCTGTTTTTACAGGTAGGGTAGGATGATATTTTTGGTAGGAGGGAACGGAGTTATTTGTAGACCTAATACAAAAACTACTTTTCGAATTTTTACTGGGCGGAGGGTCATGGTTCAGATTTTAAAAATTTTTGGGCAGGGGGGAAGAGAGGAGAGATTACCATACTTACCTCTCTCGCTTCTCTCCTCACCTCTGGTTGAGCTGAAGTTCGTTGTCATTTTGGGAATAGTTGTTTATTAATGTTATTAAAAACAATTTCAGTTGTGTTTTGTGACGTTTCACCTTCGATTATGAAACATTTTGAGGATTTTGACAAATTTTGATGGACAAGTGCCTAAACGACCGCTGAAATTCACTTGGTGAGTTCAGGTGAGTAAAAGGTTGCTTTTTCAACAAATTTTTTGTTTTAATGTGAAGTGGGACATATTATAGTAGAGTTTATGGTTATTATAATAGACATTGGGTTCTTGTGAGATGAAATTGATTAAAATGGCAAGAACTTTCTTTACAACACAGAAAATTGCAAGAACTTTTTTTACAAAACAAGAAATGGCAAGAATTTTCTTTACAAATTAAAAAATGGCAAGAATTTTCTTTACAAAATAAAAAATGGCAAGAACTTTCTTTACAGAACAAAAATTGCAAGAACTTTCTTTACACAACAAAAAATGGCAATAACTTTCTTTACAATACAAAAAATGGCAAGAACTTTCTTTACAAAGCAAAAATGGCAATAACTTTCTTTACAAAACAAAAAATGGCAAGAACTTTCTTTACACAACAAAAAATGGCAACAACTTCTCCTACAGGGCTAAAAATGGCAAGAACTTTCGTTACAAAGCAAAAAATGGCGGGAAATTTCAAAAAATGCCATTTTTAGCCCACTATTGAGGATAATTGTGTCTTCTGCCAAAATTAAATTTGAGCTTTTGGGATGTTTTAGGAATTTTCCCATTTTTTGGGTTTCCAAAACGACGAAATCTGATACGGAACGGCGCTTTTTCGTCCAACGTTCCTTTTTATTTTTTTTTCTGGCACGGCCATCTTTTACGTCGAAAAAACACGTTTTTTTAAGTCTATCATATCAAAAATGTCTCACTACGTTTTTGCAAAATTTTTTAAGTAAGTGTAAATGATTTTTTTTATTTTTGGTCGATTTTGGTGTTTGTAAAGAAAGTTCTTGTCATTTTTTGTTTTGTAAAGAAAGTTCTTGTTATTTTTTGTTTTGTAAAGAAAGTTCTTGCTATTTTTTTTTTTTGTAAACATAGTTTTTGCCATTTTTCGCTCTGTATGTAAAGATAGTTCTTGCCATTTTTCGTTTTGTAAAGAAAGTTATTGCCATTTTTGCTTTGTAAAAAAGGTTCTTGCGTTTTCACGTTTTGGAAAGAAAGTTCTTGCGTTTTTTTAGCTTTTTGCCATTTTAAATTTTGTTTCTTTCGACTAGACGAAATTTTAATTTTTCGAAGAAAAACAATCCGATTTCGGAGACTTGAGCTGGTTGTAAATTCACTTCCATTAACAACATGCCTTTTGGCTTCTTGGTAATGTGAATTGTAAGCTTTCTCTCACGGTTTAAAATATCTTTGGGCCGTTTTTTAAATTTTTTAAATGGCGTTTTTGCGATTTTTGGTTTGTAAAGAAAGTTCTTTCTATTTTTTGTTTTGTAAAGAAAGTTTTTGCCATTTTTTGTTTTGTAAAGAAAGTTCTTGCCATTTTATAGTTTGTATAGAAAGTTCTTACTATTTTTGCTTTGTAAAGAAAGTTTTTGCCATTTTTTTAAATTTTGAAAACTTTTTTGTTAAGGGGTGTTTATGGAAAAATTTTTTGAAAAAATTGCACATTTTGAAATTTTTTGAAATTTTGAAAATGACGTTTCGTGGCACGGTTTGTGAAATATTTTCGTAGAAATTGCAACACGTATATTGTTTACAGACACTTCAGTTACACTCACGTTGAAAATATGCGTTCCGTAAAGTGATATCTGTCGTTCCAGCTGCAGCTTTTACGGCTTTGAAATACAAAATGTGGACTTTTTTTTAAATATTATTTGTATGATAAAACACTTATTTTGGGCTTAGAAAAGTCATTCTAGGTTTGAAACGAATTTTTAGACGTAGTAAGACATTCTAGGCTTAAAGATTTCGTTTTAAGGCTTATAAAACAATTTTGAGGCTTAAAAAACGCTGTTAGGCTTATAAGGTAATGTGTGGGCTTGGAAGTTGATTTTAGGCTTATAGGTCTATATATTTTATAGGTTTAAGAGTTGTTTTTAGGCTTAAAACTTTTTCTCAGCCTGATAACTGTATTTTTAGGCTTATAGGCTTTTCGTAGGATTATGAACTCATTTTTATGCTTCAGAACGTTATTCAGGCTTATAACTATATTTTTAGGCATATTAGCTTTTTTGGGCTAATGAAGGGATTTTTAGGCTTAGGGGCTTTGTTTAGGCATAAAAAAATGATAGAATGTTTAAGTTTGAGGATTCTTGACAATTAAGGTTATTATACAATTTCCACTACCCATACTTCAACTTGCCTTATCTTACTTTACCTTAACCTGCTCTTACCTTACTTTAACTTACTTTACTTTACCCTACCCTATCACTCTGCCCTACCCTACATTGCCTACTTTAGTCTACTCTACTTTATTTTTCATTGATATACCTTTCTCTCTCTTCCTACTGTGTTGTTTTCTTACCCTATACAGAGACGTCGCTACAAATTTTTTTTAGGGAGTGTGCAATTTAAAAAAATTTTTTTTTGTTTTGCTTAGGGCTACTTGGGCTCCCATTTTCGAAAAAAAATCTAATGTTTAATTACAGTACTTATTGGCGGGCTTTTTTCTGGATCAGATTTGCGTTACTGACCGTACCCCACTCTAAATCAGTACCACATTTCTCATTTTTTCTCACAAATTCTAATTTTAAACCTTTTTTCCCATCAAAACTTTTATCCCCCCCCTCTAATCGTTAATAATTTGGAACACATTTGAAACAAATTGGGTTTGGTTCGAAATTAAGTGTCGTTGTGTGTGTGTGTGTGCAGAGTTCGTCCGAGTGCGAATATACGGCCCGTACGTACGTCATTGAGGAAGCCGCGGGTGGGAGAAGAAGAAGACGAAGGCGCTCTTTCCAAAAGTCTAAAGAAACACATAAATAAAAATGTCTCGAGTATCAAAGTTTGTGTTGTAGATTAAGCTCGTCGCTAGCTTGACATTCGACTGACGTCGGAGGCATTAAAATTTCGTTGGCCTTAAGCGATTTTAGGGTTGTTTTCGAAAAAATATGAATTGGAGTTGATGGGGATAAGGTTGATGTTGATGGGGTACGAGGAAGTTGTGAAGGGTATGGTAAATAAAATTTTTTTTGTTAAAGAGGGGAGATTTAGGAAAATAATTTTTTTGGCAAGGAATAAGAGTATGGCAAATTTTTTTAAATTTTATGGAAAGGTAGGGTGAAAAAAGTAATGTATTGTGAAGGTGAAAGGGGCAAGGGCTTTAAAATTTTTTTTAGTTTAAGTTTGCAGAGTGGATCTATCAGTAATTTGAAACTTGATTTACGGCTAGAGTTTTACGTTTTCGTTAAGTTTTTAAAAACGTTGCTATTTTTTGTGTACAGGGTAGGGACTGGGTTGGTATGGTAGGGTAAGGGAAGGCAGGATAAAGTAGGTGAAGGTCGGGTTGCGTAACATAGGATCTGGTACGGTATGGTGAAATGAGGTAAGAAAAAATACGGTAGAATGACGTAGGGACGAGCAAGGGCGAGTTGTGCACAATAGGTAATGGTAGGGTGAGACATATTACAGTACGATTGGGTGTATTAGCTTACGGTAAGATAAGTAACGTAGGTTTTGGTAGGGTAGGGTAGGGTATGGGAGGGTAGGGTAGGGTAGGGTAGGGAAGGGTAGGGTAGGATAGGGTAGGGTAGGGTAGGGTACAGTAGGGTGGGGTATAATAAGGTAGAGTAGAGTAGGGTAAAGTAATATAGAATAGAGTAGGGTAAGGTAGGGTAAGGTAGGGTAGGGTAGGGTAGAGTAGGGTAGGGTAGGGAAGGGTAGGTTAGGGTAGGGTAGGGTAGGGTAGGGTAGGGTAGGGTAAGGTAGGGTAGGGTAGGGTAGGGTAGGGTAGGGTAGGGTAGGGTAGGGTAGGGTAGGGTAGGGTAGGGTAGGGTAGGGTAGGGTAGGGTAGGGTAGGGTAGGGTGGGGTAGTGTAGGGTTGGGTAGGGTAGGGTAGAGTAGGGTATGGTAAGGTAAGGTATGTATAGGGTAGGGTACGGTGAGATAAACATAGTAGTAGGTGGTAATAATACGTTGACAGTTGATACACAAACAAGTTTGCCCGCGTAATACCCGGTGACTACTACAGCATGTAATTTAGAGCTACCGTGGCATGACGTGAGTGACCTTATTGTATATCCGATTAGTATGTAATCAAATATTTGTTATTCAGTAGCATGAATTAACAGGGTAGTATTAAATAAACATCTTTTAGTATTTGAGGATTTACATTAAATTTTAGTGTAACACATAAAATATGTTGTAGTAGATATGTAGATCAATTTACATTACACAGTAAATGGCATTAGAAGTAAATTCTCATTAGCAAGAAATACAGTGGTAGGACCTGTAGTAGCAATAAGCAGTACAGTAGTAAATAAATAGTATTTCTGCTAATAGTAGCGCAATTACAGTACTCACAAGTCAGCCCGTGTAAAACCCGGTGACTACTACAATATAGTCAGAGTTACCGCGGAATTACAGAGGTCGACCGATTGTACGTATTTGTGGTGTTACAGAAGGTGTACGTAGCATACTGTAGAAAGAGGTAAGATAATGCCATATCACTCAGAGTTACCCCGGTGATAACCACTGTATATGATAGTATCACTGAAGGTACTCAGAGTCATTCGGCATTATCTTACTGTAGGTAGTACTGTAGTAGGAATAGAAGTAGAAATGGGAGGGTAGGGTCGGGTAGGGCATGTTAAAGTAGAGTAAGACATGGTAAAGTAGGGTAAGACAGGGTAGGGTAGAATAAGGCAAGGTAGGGTAGAGTAAGGTATAGTAGAGTAGAGTATGGTAGGGTAGATTAAAGCTTGCTGAAGTAAAGTAAGGCATGGCAGAGTGGAGTGGAGTAAAGCAGGCTCTATCCCAGTAAGTCATGTCGTCGATGAATGACATCTCCACCAAAACCCCAGCTCTTTTATATTGATCTGAAGGCCCACCCATGCCAAGTATGATCTGACATGTACGATTGTTATTGGCTGATCAACCAAGAATACTAAGATCAACTTGGCCTACTTTAAAATACGCACCTCCCATCGATGTAACATACGAAGAGCTACGTTTAGCTTGCGATAGGTTACCTCAAGCAACATGGCTCGAAGCGAAAGAGCGCTGTAGCCCTTTGCATTGCGTTGCTTTAGGTTTTCGTTGGCTTTGAGGTATAGCTTGACCTAGATTTTTAGGTATAGAGTCTGTGGACTTTGGTGTTTTATGTCTACAGTAATATGTATGTAAAATACGATTTCTTTGGTTTTAATATTAAAGGATAAGTTAATTGATTTGAATTGGAAATAAGGATTTTTAAGGAAAAAACGTTGTTTTAAAAATTAAAAAAACAGCAAGAACTTTCTTTACAAGGTGTTTTTTCATTAAAAAACGCAAAAACTTTGTTTACATGAACTTAAAAAATTGTTTTTGGAAAGATGTGTTTAAAAGTGCAAAAACTTTATTTCCAGCCAAAATATGACCAAATTTTGTTTATGAAACTGACATTTTTTGCAAGAACTTTCTTTACTAACTAAAAAACGGCAAGAACTTTCTTTACGAGACGAAAAGGACAAGAAATTTCTTTACAAAGTTTTTTATTCGATATTTGAAAAAAGCAGAAACTTTGTTTACAAAAACATTTTTTCTTGGTAAATGTCTTAGAAAACAAAAAATGGTGAGAACTTTTTTTACAAAACAAAAAATGGCAAGAACTTTCTTTACAGAACGAAAAATGGCAAAAACTTTCTTTACAAGCCAATAAATGGCAAAAACTTTCTTTACAAACCAAAAAATGGCAAGAACTATTTTCTTGCAAAGATGTGTTTAAAAGTGCGAAAACTTTATTTCCAGCCAGAATATGACCAAGTTTTGTTTATGAAACTGACATTTTCATGCAAAACCCGTGTTTTTCTCTGTCGCAATTTGTTGTTTTTTCCGCAAAATCTGAAAATAGTAATAACGAAAAATGTAGTTGGTGGCTCATTTCCTCTTCATGGTATCTTGTAATCTTGTGTGTTTTGTCTTCTTTTATCACAGTTTGTTTGGAAAAGAAGTAAAAGTATTAATTGTGTCGCGTAAATTGTTAAAAAGAAGCGTCATAGCCGGCGGAATAACAGTCTTTGTAAGGGAATTCCACTATATTCACATTGTTTTTCTGACTTTTAAAGAATGACTTTTGGTGTTTTTGTGACATTTTGATGAGTATGAGGTACTGGAATAGTGATAGTGTTATACAGACGGGGGTACCGAATTTAATAATATAGTAAACTTATGTTTTATAGATTTAGGTTCAGTAGGCTTAAATTTAATAGGCTTAGACAGACTTAGGATCAGTAAGGTTAGTTTTAGTAGGCTTAGGTTTGGTAGGCTTAGACTGAGCAGGCTTAGGCTTAGTAGGTTTATGCGTAGTAGGCTTTGGATTGGTCGGCTTAGGTTTGGGCTTCGTAGGCTTAGACTTAGTAGGCTTAGGCTTAGTAGGCTTAGGCTTAGTAGGCTTAGGCTTAGTAGGCTTAGGCTTAGTAGGCTTAGGCTTAGTAGGCTTAAGCTTAGTAGACTTAGGCTTAGTAGGCTTAGGTTTAGTAGGCTTAGGCTTAGTAGGCTTTGGCTTATTAGGCTTAAGCTTAGTGGGCTTAGGCTTAGACTTACTGGACGTAGACTGAGCAGGCCTTAGGCACAATAGTCTTATGCTTTGGCTTTAAATTTTTTTTAATTATGATTTTTTTTAAAAATATTTGCATATTTACATAGACAATACAGCTATAATTAAGGTTTTGCTAACAAGGAAAGTACCCTACCTGCCCTGCTCAGAATCAGCTCAAAATTTTTATGACATCTTTGTACCACCAATAGTACCCATAAAAAGTTTTAGCTCGCGTTTTTGAGTTTTAAATTTAAAGTCTTTGAATTTCCCGCCAAGGTGGAAACTTTGGCATTGTGTTTCAAGCACGTTTTTTGACTATTCAGACAAGCTACACCTACAAAGTAAAAAATATAGGTTTATTCAAAGGTATTCTACTAGTATATCAAAGGAAAATAATTAAAACTGGAAAAAATGACAAAGTTATAAGCTTGAAACACTATGCCAATTTGGCGGGAAATTCAAAACGCAGTTTTTCGATCACAATTTTCTCGATGTTCACTGGAATGCGCGATTTAGTACTCTGCTGAAGATCTTGTATTTACAGTATCTTTCTATATAAAAAGTTTGAAGTCAGTCAAACTGGGGCAGGTCGGGTACTTTTCTTGTATGATTTTATAAAACTTTTTGTAGGGACATGTTGGATCGTATAAGCTGTCTCTCTGAACTTTTTACTTCCTTCATGATATTGTTGTTATAACAGGATGTTTGATCCGACGGAACACTTTTTCAGTTTTTGTCATAAACAATGTCATCATACTCTATAGCAAAAACTGCACCCTCCCCCCCTCTCCCCCTCTCTTTCGCCCCCCCTTCCCTATCTTCCCAATTTCATTGTTAATAAAATTTGGTGCGAATTGAAAGTGCAATTACCATGGTGTTGTTTTCCGTATGTTCGGCCGTTTTTTTTGTTTAGCTATGGGAAAAAGGGCAGGGGAATGTGTTTTTGACGTTGTTTTGACCTACTTCCACTACTTCCGAACACGATGACACTTATTGTTGAGCAAAAAGATAATTAGTCTGGCATAGTTAGGAATTGGAAATTGGTCTGGGTTCAAATACGACTAAATTTATGGTACACTGGTACTGATATTGTTAGTAGGGAACAGGATTGGGCAGGGGATGCAGGATACTTTAGGCTTATTATGTCTGAGTTCAGTGGGATTAGGATTAGTAGGCTTAAACTTGGTAGGCTTAGGCTTAGTAGGCTTAGGCTTAGTAGGCTTAGGCTTAGTAGGCTTAGGCTTAGGCTTAGGCTCAGGCTCAGGCTTAGGCTTAGGCTTAGGCTTAGGCTTAGGCTTAGGCTTAGGCTTAGGCTTAGGCTTAGGCTTAGGCTTAGGCTTAGTAGGCTTAGGCTCAGTTGGCTTAGGCTTAGTAGGCTTAGGCTTAATAGGCTTAGGCTTAGTAGGCTTAGGCTCAGTAGGCTTAGGCTTAGTAGGCTTAGGCTTAATAGGCTTAGGCTTAGTAGGCTTAGGCTTAGTAGGCTTAGGCTTAGTAAGCTTAGGCTCAGTAGGCTTAGGCTTAGTAGGCTTAGGCTTAGTAGGCTTAGGCTTAGTAAGCTTAGGCTCAGTAGGCTTAGGCTTAATAGGCTTAGATTGAGTAGATATTTTGCTTAAAGATGATTTTTTTACTTTGCTTTAAAGTTTTCTTGCAAAATTGGCCAAATTATAGTCCATGCCTTCCAGCTCATATTTGTGTTTACTATAAGTTTATGCCTCGTACGTTTTCTTACCCTTGTGTTTATAAAAAGCGAACAGCTCTCTTTAGCCGTAGGTTTGGGACTCAAACCCATTGATTATCGCTATGCCATCTTAATAAATGAGTGTTTATGAGGCGTTTGGGCCGATTAATGGGGTCGTTTTGACAACCACCTCTCTGTTCTTTCTGTTTTTATTTGTTTCCCTTCTCGTTTCACTTCCTTACCTCTGCCCGCATTTTTTTCGTTAACCTTTCTCTTTTACCCTACCCTGTCCTAACGTACACTACCCTACCCTGCCCTGATCTGCCCCGCCCTACCCTACCCTACCCTACCGTACCCTACCCTGCCCTACTCTATCCTAACTTACCCTACCATACCCTGCCCTGCTCTGCCCCGCCCTGCCCTGCTTTGATGTGCCCTGCCCCGCTATGCCGGTCTTTGCCCTGCCCTGCTTTGGTCTGGCTTGATGTGATCTGTCCTAACTTGCCCTTACATCTACTGCCCTGCTTTGCCCTGGTCTGGTCTGATCTGTCCCGCTCTGGTCTGGTCTGTTTTGCCTTGCCATGCCTTGCCTTGTTCTGGCTTGTTCTACACTATCATTTCTTACCCTCCTTGTCCTACCTGACTCTACCCTACTTCCCCTTCCCTTACCCGCTTCTTCTTTTAAGTCTTCCTTGTACTCCCCCCCCCCTTGGAACGTTGTGTGTCCTATTAGACTCGGCGTGTCCTATAATATTTTGTTGAAAAGTTTTGGGACAACAACTGTTTTGTCCTCCTCCCTCTCTTCCGTTTCGTCTCGAAAACGAGTCAGCGATTTATGGCCAAGGGTTCAAACCGCCGCTGGGCCCGCAGCCATCCCCCCGAGGGGAGCCGAGATTCCCCCAACCTAATTAGACGGCGCTAAACTTGGAACGCCCCAATTTGAAACCACAAATTTGTATGCCCGGCTGAGGGTGGGGTAAACGCGGGTTTTAATTTTTTAAATTGGTTGGTTTGGACTAACGGTATACTTCTTCAGACTTGGATTGGCTTTTCGAGTTTTAGGCGTGATTTTGATCTTTACCTTAATTTTCTTAGGCTTAGACTTAGTTTTTATGATGGTTGAGCTTAATAGCTTAGACTTAGTAGATTTAAGTTTAGTTAGTTTAGACATAATAGTCGTAAACGTAATAGGCTTATTTTATTTTAGGCTTAGGTGGCTGGGTTGAGCAGCACGGAAAACTAGGCTTGGCAGCACATAATTTTAGGCTTAGTTACGCAATTTTAGGCTTAGCTGCACATAAATTAGGCTTAGCTGTGCAATTTTAAGTTTAACAGTGCTGAATTTACGCATACTTACGCAATTGTAGGCTTAGCAGCACACATGTTAGACTTATCAGCACATAAGTTTAGGCTTAGTTACGCAATTTTAGGCTTAATCACGCAATTTTAGGCTTAGCGGCACATAATTTAGGCTTAGTTAAGCAAATTTAGGCTTAGCCGCACATATGTTTAGGCTTATCAGCACTCAAGTAAGGCTTATTTATGCAATTTTAAACATTGCAGCACATAAATCTAGGCTTAATGACGCAATTTTAGACTTAACAGCACACAATTTAAGCTTAGTTACGTAACATAGGCTTAGCGGCACATAAATCTAGGCTTAAAGACGCAATTTTAGTTTTTAAAACACACAATTTAGGCTTAGTTACGCAATTTGGGCTCAACGACACACATCTTAGGCTTAGTTACGCAATTTTAGGCTTAGCGACATAATTTTAGGCTTAGTAGCTCATGTTTTTAGGCCTTTTTACGCCATTTTACGCTTAGGGTTTCATAATTTTAGGCTTAATATTAGGCTTAGCTTACTCAGTGTTAAGTTAATCGCGTACAGTTAGGTTCAGCTTACAGAATTTTACGTTTTATTAAACATATTATGGTATATAATAATTATTTCAAGCATCTCATTAGAATTGTAACTTGATTAGATAAGAATACACTGGCTGTATGACTAACTATGTCATTAACCAACACGACACTACAATTTAAAATTCGGAATTGAAAAAAAACGAACGTAATTACGTGTCGTTCCGTTCCATGGAATAATTTTATATTTATGAGTTGACGTTATAATCGAAATATATATTCCATGACAACCCAGCTGAAAAACGACCGAATAAACTCGGCTATTGTGGCGGTAATTCTATTACATTTATATTTATGTTGTTATTTCGCGGCTGGGTTAAAGGTCGAGCGAGGGTGGTGGGGTAGGGTAACGTAGGGTAATAAAGCGTTGGGTTTGGTAGGTTAGGATAGGATAGAGCACGGTAATGTAAAGTAAGATAGGGTAGCGTAACGTTAGGTAGGGTGGGGTAGGTTAGGGTAGGGCACGATAATGTAATGTAAGATAGGGTAAAATAAGTTAGGGCAGGTCAGGGTAGGGTAGGGGCAATAGTATATGGTAGCGTAACGTTACGTAGTTTATGGTTATGTAAGGTAAGGTTGGATAGAGTAGGGTAAGATAGGTAGGGAGAGTTTGGGTAGGGTAGGACAAAGAACGTTATGATATACAAGGTAGAGTAAGGTAAAGTAGCATAGAGTATGATAAGGTAAAGCAAGTTAGGGTAGGCCAGATTAAGATAGGTTGGGGTACGGTAAAGAAGGTAAATTAGGGTGGGGTAGGGTAGGATAGGATAGGGTAGAATAGGGTAAGGTTGGATAGAGTAGGGTAGGGTAATGTTTTTCGTAAATTTATGCGAAACACAAACAAAACATCAAGTTGTAACAAGCTGATCATTATCTATTTAGTGATAACAAAAAGGGGCTTTAACTAACGCGATTACTTTGATATTTTCAATTTCGTTTTGGGGTGGGTCTGTAGGGGTAATTTTTCACTTTTGTTACTTTGGTTTAGAGGTATTACCTCTACTCTTGCCCCTATGGGTACCCCTATAGTATCCCTACCCTTTCTGCTACTTATACTCTTATCTCTAGTGGTTCCCCTATAGGTACCCTTACTGCTACCCCTACCTCTAGTTTTATTCTTACCCCTACCCCTACTTCTACCCCTACCCCTACTTCTACCCCTACCCCTACTTCTACCCCTACCTCTAGTTTTTTGCCCCTGTCTCAACTCTGTGATTGCTCTAGGATAACGTTTAGAAGGTTTTTAAAGCTTCCGCTAAGCCTAAGCCTGCATAGTCAGTCCTCAATTTAAAATTATTGTACTTCTTAGCTATTGTACTATAAGCATGCTATACTATAATATAGTATCATAATATTTTAAAACCCATGGTAGACATTACAATACCAACTTTTTTCACGAAGCCTAAAAGGCAAGCCTAACTCTTAAATTACGATAAGATTAAGCAAATTCGGTTTTTGGCATTAAAATTCCTGAAATTGGCCATTATTTTAATCTTGCCCTGAGGAAAAAATCTGTTTCGAATGTTTGGAATGGGGCTTTTATGTGGAATTCAGTCTGCAAATTCTATATTAGGTTTGGCATTTTAAAGGGCAAAAAATGTTTCGAAAAACTGCGATTAGAACAAAAAATGGCAAGAACTTTCTTTACAAAAAAAAATGGCAAGAACTTTCTTTACAAAACAAAAAATGGCAAGAACTTTCTTTACAAAACAAAAAATTGCAAGAACTTTCTTTACATCACAAAAAATGGCGAGAACTTTCTTTACAAAACAAAAAATGACAAGAACTTTCTTTACAAAAAAAATGGCAAGAACTTTCTTTACATCACAAAAAATGGCGAGAACTTTCTTTACAAAACAAAAAATGACAAGAACTTTCTTTACAAAAAAAATGGCAAGAACTTTCTTTACAAAACAAAAAATGGCAAGAACTTTCTTTACAAAACAAAAAATGGCAAGAACTTTCTTTACAAAGCATTTTTCGAAATATTTTTTAAAATTTTTTGTTTTTTAAAAATAAAAAAACGCCCAAAATTGAGAAGTAATTTGGTTTCGAAACGGAAATAAAGTTATATTTTATCATATTTTATGATGTAGGAAAGTAAATTACTATGTGAATATTGGATTACTCGGTGAATTTATAGCATGCGCTAGGTTGTGAGATAAATTGGGAGTGGAATTTTTAATCGACTGGTAAATTATAGCTATATAATAAGAGGAAAAAGAGGCTTTGAGCTTGTAAAGAAAGTTTTCTCATATTTTTTTGGACTTTTATGTAGAGTCAGATAGGGTAGGGCACGGTAGGGTAATTTAGGATACGGTATGGTAAGGTAGGGTAGGGTAGAATATGGTAAGCTAGGGTACATCAAAGTAAGCTGCGACCGAGCATATTATAATGTAAAAATCAATGCTGTGTGGACGGAATGCAAATCTTTAGGCCGTTTAGCGTAGGGTATAGTGCAGTAAAGTAGAATGAGGTGGAGCTGGGTAGGGTAGGACAGGGTAGGATATGGTATCCTAATGTGGATTTAGCAAGGACAGGGCATAATACAATTGTAAAGTAGTCGTGGGCGGGGGCCTATATGTAGTAGACACAGTAGAACAGAGAAGGGCCTGGGTATGGGCTGAGCTAGATATTATAGTTAGGGTAGAGACGTTTGTTAGGGCAGGGTAACATAGAAATATAAGTAGATGGGAAAGCAATTTATGCCTATGGCGGGTAAAAATCAAAAAATCAATATTATGTGGACGAAGTGTAAATTTTAAGGGTAGGGTAAGATAGGCTAGGCTAGGCTAGGCTAGGCTAGGCTAGGGTAGGCTAGGCTAGGCTAGGCTAGGCTAGGGTAGGCTAGGCTAGGCTAGGCTAGGCTAGGCTAGGGTAGGCTAGGCTAGGCTAGGCTAGGCTAGGCTAGGGTAGGGTAGGCTAGGCTAGGGTAGGGTAGGGTAGGGTAGGGTAAGGTAGGGTAGGGTAGGGTGGGTAGGGTAAAATAGGATAGGGTAGGATAATTTCAAGTCATATTTTATAGTCTGTCTCAAAATTTGATCAATTTCGAGTATCAAATGACGTAAATCGACGCTTAGAGCCAGCCGGTTTCCCCTTTCTCTTTTGTGATTTGTTTGCAACTTTGCAAACCAATCAGCTCAGAAAGCGTTTTTTGAAAGAACCGTTGATCTGTTTTGTCATATTTGACGTTTTTTATTACTTTTGTTACCTAAAAATGTTATATTTTACCGTGCGGTAATTTTTGGTAGTATACTGTAATTTTTCAAAACTTCAAATTTCAGGTTGGCCATACAGTACAAATACAGTAGTCTAGTCTAGCGGAATAAATAAAAATGGGTTTGGTTGATCCAGCCCTGAACGATCAGGGAACGATGGTGTTCACGGCGCCAGCTAAAACAATATTATTCGGGGAACATGCTGTGGTTTATGGCAGGGTAAGTTGTGTTTTGACATTGAAAGGCATGGGCTTTCATATACTATTTCCTACCCCTACCCCTACCCCTACCCCTACCCCTACCCCTACCCCTACCCCTACCCCTACCCCTACCCCTACCCCTACCCCTACCCCTACCCCTACCCCTACCCCTACCCCTACCCCTACCCCTACCCCTACCCCTACTCCCCTACCCCTACCCCTACCCCTACCCCTACCCCTACCCCTACCCCTACCCCTACCCCTACCCCTACCCCTACCCCTACCCCTACCCCTACCCCTACCCCCTACCCCTACCCCTACCCCTACCCCTACCCCCTACCCCTGCCCCTACCCCCTACCTCTACCCCTACCTCTACCCCCTACCCCCTACCCCTACCCCTACCCCTACCCCTACCCCCTACCCCCGACCCCTACCCCTACCCCCTACCCCTACCCCCTACCCCTACCCCTACCCCTACCCCTACCCCCTACCCCTACCCCCTACCCCTACCCCTACCCCTACCCCCTACCCCTACCCCTGCCCCTACCCCTACCCCTACCTCTACCCCCTACCCCTACCCCCTACCCCTACCCCTACCCCCTGCCCCTACCCCTACCCCTACCTCTACCCCTACCCCCTACCTCTACCCCTACCCTTACCTCTACCCTTACCTATACCCCTACCCCTACCCCTACCCCTACTCCTACCCCTACCCCTACCCCTACCCCTACCCCCTACCCCTACCCCTACCCCTACCCCTACCCCTACCCCTACCCCTACCCTACCCCTACCCCCTACCCCCTACCCCTACCCCCTACCCCCTACCCCCTACCCCTACCCCCTACCCCTACCCCCTACCCCTACCCCCTACCCCTACCCCTACCCCTGCCCCTACCCCCCTACCCCCTACCCCTACCCCCTACCCCTACCCCTACCCCTACCCCCTACCCCTACCCCTACCCCTACCCCTACCCCTACCCCTGCCCCTACCCCTACCCCTACCTCTACCCCTACCCCTACCTCTACCCCTACCCCTTACCTCTACCCCTACCTATACCCCTACCCCTACCCCTACCCCTACCCCTACCCCTACCCCTACCCCCTACTCCTACCCCTACCCCTACCCCTACCCCTACCCCTACTCCTACCCCTACCCCTACCCCTACCCCTACCCCTACCCCTACCCCTACCCCTACCCCTACCCCTACCCCTACCCCTACCCCTGCCCCTACCCCTACCTCTACCCCTACCCCTACCCCTACCCCCCTACCCCTACCCCTACCCCGACCCCTACCCCCTACCCCTACCCCTACCCCTACCCCTACCCCTACCCCTACCCCTACCCCTACCCCTACCCCTACCCCTACCCCTACCCCTACCCCTACCCCTACCCCTACCCCTACCCCCTGCCCCTACCCCTACCCCTACCTCTACCCCTACCCCTACCTCTACCCCTACCCTTACCTCTACCCTTACCTATACCCCCTACCCCTACCCCTACCCCCTACCCCTACTCCTACCCCTACCCCTACCCCTACCCCTACCCCTACCCCCTACCCCTACCCCCTACCCCTACCCCTACCCCTACCCCTACCCCTACCCCTACCCCTACCCCTACCCCTACCCCTACCCCTACCCCTACCCCTACCCCTACCCCTACCCCTGCCCCTACCCCCTACCCCTACCCCTACCCTTACCCCTACCCCTACCCTTACCTATACCCCTACCTCTACCCCTACCCTTACCTCTACCCTTACCTATACCCCTACCCCTACCTACACCCTTATCCCCCTATTAATATTGATTTCAAGCCTAACTGGACTAATTTTAAATTTTTCAGCTAGCCGTAGCCGGAGCAATTGACCTAAGGACGAAAGTCGAGCTAAAATACAGACAACCGGCTGCCACGAACGGGATTGATGATCAAATCGAAATCACACTACCTGATCTGAACTTTACTCGATCCTTTCCACGAAGGAAGTTTCTAGAAGCCGCTGAGAAGTTAGGTATGATAAGAAATGGCAGCAAAAATTTTTTAAAAATTTTTAAATTTTAAAATTTTTTTTTTTAAATTTAAAAAATTTTTTTTAATTGGCTGAAAAACGTATTTTACCCCATTTCAGCCCAACAATGTGCCGAAGAAAACGAGCCCGAAGACCTACCTCCATCCCCAGAACTTGCCGTCCCCCTGGCCCAACAGCTTTGTGGCCCCATTGTCAACGACCAATCCACCGGTAAACACTCAACACACCCAGCACAGATTGCCATCTTGACATTTTTATATTTGGCGTTGGGAGTTGCGGCCAAAAAACGGTAAAAACTTTGTTTACAGAGAACCATTTGAGAAAAAATTGGGTTTTTAGGGGGTTTTTGGGGGAAAAAAGCGCAGTAACTTTGTTTACAGGCAAAGAAATTTTATAAATTTTTGTATAGTGGTTTGGTATACTGTATTTATGTAAAACATTGGAAAATGTTTTGAAATTTTTCAGTGGTGTATCAGATATGGCATGGTTTTTGCGATTTTCACGTCTTTTTTTGAAACAAACCGTAACAACTTTCTTTACAGAATCCAAAATGATTTGAAATTTTTTAGACAACGTTACTATGGTATTGTTGTTTATATACAACAAGAAAAACGTTAATTTTATATTTAAAACGGCCAAAAAGTGAATTTACATCCAAGCGGATTCGAAATTTCCCCGAATAATCAAGCCCTTGCATAACTCGCCAGGTCGGACGGGACCGCGCTTTCCGAATCGGCGAATACTAGGCTTATGGGGCTTTTAAGAAATGGCAAAAAGCCTAAAATTTAAAAATAAAAAAACGCAAAAACTTTCTTTCCAGAGACTTCCCAGTCTTTAAAATCGTAGTTTCATCAAAAGTGCCAGTTCGGGTAGGACTCGGGTCGTCAGGAGCGTACTGTGTAACCCTAGCCGCTTCATTACTACGACTGGGCGGACTAATCGACACACCAACAGTAGACGGTCAAACTGGTACCACTTGGTTGGAAAATGACCTGCACACAATCGAACAATGGGCCACAGCGGCCGAAAGTCTGATTCACGGCCGGTCTAGTGGATTAGATGCTTGTGTTTGCACGAGAGGTGGGCTACTGTAGTTTTTGAGTTGTAAAATACGTAGACTCAAATAATGCTTCACCTAAATTTGTTTTTTAAGTCAAAAAACGGAAAAAATGTTAAATTTTGACGATTTTCAGCAAATTTTTGAAGAAAAAACGCAATAACTTTCTTTCCAAAAGTTCAATTTTTACAAAATTTTAAAAACAACATTGTTATAATCTACTAATCACGCTTTTGTAAAAACATTTAAAGATTTTTGTAAAATACGACCAAAAAATGTATTCATGTCTAAGCGGCTTCGAACTTTCCCTAAATAATCAAGCGCACCCTTGCTTAACTTGCCAGATCGGACGGGAGCGCGCTTTCCGAATCGGTCAATAAGGAAATAGGCTGAAAATTGACGGAAAGTGACAGGACTTTGTTTACAGTAGGGTAATATGATATGAAGTTTTTTAAAATTTTATTTTTTAGTTTTTTGATCGAAATTTTTTTTTCATTTTTTTTGGTCGAAAAATTTAATTTTTTTTTCCTTTTTTGGTCGTAATTCGAAATTTTAAAACTTTCTTAGACCAAAAAAAATTTTAAAAGTCAATTTTTTAAAATTTTTTTTATGTTTCAACCTAAAACAATATAATTTACAGGTGGAATCATAACCTACCGACGCGGCGAATACCCTCAACCCCTACAAAACACAGTCAATCTTCGTATGATCATAGTGAACACAAAAGTCGAGCGAAACACACTCCAAATGGTGAGGACGGCTCAGGACCTGCTTGAGAAGTTCCCCACCGTTATCAACCCGATATTCGACTCGATCGAGGAGATTTCCAAAGACGCGGTAAAGTTATTGACCGGTCAGAAAGTGGGGAAGAGTTGTTCGAGTTCGCCATTAAGTGTGAAGAAGGGGTCGGCCAATGGGGACACGGCTTCGTTGATGGATGTGGCTTGTAATGGAAACGGTACCAATGGCACCAGTAACGGTGTGGTGGAGCAATTGGCTAACGGAATTGATTCGTTGAAGGCTGGGTTTACTGAGCATGGCTTTGAGAACTTACAGGTATGTTATTTTTTTAAATTCCACAGGGCGCACGTTAAAAGCGACATACGATGAAACATGTCCAGATCAATATTTTTTAACAACCGTCGAAGTGTCATGCTTCTATGCTTATTCTGATGGGGTTTTAACATTTTTACCAATTTTTTTATTAGGTGACATATTATATGATGAAACATGTTTTTGGAAATTTTAAAATTTTATCATCTTATCATTCAAAAATGCAAATTTCAGGAACTGTGCCGGATTAACAATCACTTATTGAATGCCCTTGGAGTAGGCCATGCCAAGATTACACAAATCAGCTCATTACTAGCACGATATGGCATTCATACCAAGCTTTCTGGTGCTGGCGGTGGAGGCACTGTTTTTGCTTTTATTACCAAAGGTGGGTTCTTACTGTAATTTTTTAGCCAAAAGTAGTGTTCTTAGGCTCTAGTCTTTCATTTTTTGACTGGTTTTTTAAATTGCAAGAACCTTATTTACAAAAAAAATTTGAAATTTTTAAAATTTTTTGAAAATTTTGTACCTCAGGGCTAGAAAAGAAAAAAATTAGTTCCTTAGGGTCAGAAAAGCCTTATAATGCCAACTTTTTTCAGACGCCTCTCCCACCCTATTGGAAATGATCGAAAACGAGCTCAGGAAACAGGGCTTCGACCTGTGGCAGCCGGACCTCGGCGGCGTCGGCGTCCAACAACAGTCCTAAAGAAGAATACAGACATATTATTTGACCCACAACAGCCCCAGGGCCTTTATTTTCCAATTCCAAACTGTAGATTATGAGAATGTTTAAGTACACCCAGTGATACATAATAAATTTTTACCTTGATGATGGTACAATTGGTCTTTTTTTCATTTTTTGGCGTAAAATTTTTATTTTTTTTAATTTTTGGTTATTTTATTGATTTTTTTTGTCTTTTTTTTATTTTTGCAGTTTAAAACCTAAATATTGTCATTTCCGATCAGAACTTTTATTAAAATTTAGAAAAAGTAGGGTGCGGTAAAACTACTGTAACTTTTGTATTTTACAAAATTTCAAAAATTTTTTGCTAAATTAGTTGACAAAAAGAACAAGCTATATTATCCCAAAACTTCAAATCTCTACTTCAATGTTAACAAAAGTTATAACAAAAACAAGTTGTTCACCTATTTTTGACGAAAATCCTCATTTTTTTACCATTTTTTACATTTTTTGCAATTTTTTTGGCAGTTACTGACATTTAATGTGTGAGGTGGATTATATATTGTGCAAAACAAACTTTTATTTAGTCATAATTCGTATTTTAAGTAAGTTACTATTGAATTTCCGGCTATAACCGTGTTCTTGCAAGTTTTCTCTAACTTTCACTGGCCGCACTCCGCTTTGTTCGCGCTATTTCGTTCTTTCTTCGTTACGTTTGTTTTTCCTCTGACTTCCTCTGGCCACACTCACTCGTATTCGCGCTGTTTCATTGCCCTTCGTTTCTTCTTGTTTTTTGTCTAACTTTCTCTGGCCGCACTCCCCTTTTTGCTCTATTTCCTTGCCTCTTCGTTTCCTTTTGTTTTTCCTCTAACTTTCGCTGGCCGCTCTCTTCAAAAAATCATTCTCTAACCTTTTCCTCTCGCTTTCTCTAGCCGCGCTCCCAATTCCCCCTCAACTCTCGTCCCATATCACTCTCGAGGCGAGAATTCGCGGGCCACCCGCATTATTTCCGCCGAGGGGTCGGCTGGGGGGATGTCGAGAGTCTCGACTATTTCCCTATTGCACTCTTAGACTGTGCGGGTGGCGGCGGAAAAAACGCGCCGAAATGGAAGAAACAGCTTGTTAAAGCGGATTAAAAGGCAACAAATTAAGGCACAGAGATAGACGGGAGTGTGTGTGAATGTTTCCTTTTGTTTTGAATGGCTATCTTGGTTTATTTTGAAAAAATGATTACGGCACGAAATTGTCGTATTTCCTGTGAATATATTGTTAACCATGGGCAATGCCAAATGTAATCAGGGATTTTACATAGTTATTGTTCTTTAGAAACTCAAGACTTATTTTGATAACTTAATAAATCATTCCTGAACTGTTTGGCATTTTTAAGTGACTGGAATGGCATTTTGAAGAGGCTGGAATGTTACCTAAAATTAAACACAAAAGGTTCCAGATCTGACTCATTTCTGGTTGACGTTAAAAATTTTTACATAGGAAGATTATGTAAATATAAGACCTTCAGCAAAGTACTAAACCGCTCCCTTCAGTAAATCAACAAAATCGAGATCAAAAAATTAAGTTTTTAATTTTTAGTTTTCATATAAAAAAAAGTTTTTAATTTCCCGCCAAATTGGCATTGTGTTTCAAGCTTATAACTTTGCCATTTTTCGACTGTTAAACATTTTTCTTTGATATACTAGTAGAAAGCCTTTAAAAGAACCTAAATTTTTTAATTTATAGTGAAACATCTGTATAAGCAGCTCTCCTTATAGTAAACAAAAAATTTGGCGCCGCCAAGCACTACAAAATCTCTCTGTAAAGACAACACCCCTTATAGTAAACACAAATTGTTTTTGTCGGTCCCTTCGGGTTGCTTATATAGAGAGGGTACTGTACTATTCCCTACCCTACATTGACCTGCCCTAAATTGTCTTACTTAACAATACCGTGCCGAACCTACCATAAACTACCTTACTCTTTCTTACCCTACCCACCACCCCCAGAGGGTACTGTAAAACTGATCAAATTTAGCAAAAGCCCATTAAGCCTGAACCTCTTAAGTCTAACTACTAGTTAGTTAAAATTTAAAAGTTAATACTAAGATGAACATATCCAATGCATATTATGCTATGCATCACATTTTTAATCCGAGGTTATGTCACTCTGATCGTGTTACGTAACTTTAAGAGTTACGAGGAGCCCAGCCGGTGATTACCACAGTTATTTTTACGGATCATATTACGCAGAAACTTATATTAGTTTTCATATCTTTTTGGATAGGCAAAGTCAGGGCAGAGGTTTGGTAGGGGAAAAAATTTTCATTGGAAGGCTGAGGCAAGGCAAGGCAGGGGCACGGCAGGAGCAAAAGCAAGGGCAAGGCATGGGCAGGGCAAAGGCAAGGGCAAGGGCAAGGCAGGGGAATGGGAATGGGCATGGGCATAGAAAGGGCAAGGAAGGGGCAAAGACATGGGCATGGGTAGTTTATGTCATTATTGCAGCATATACCAATTAAGTATATCAACCATAAAGAAACGTGATACATCATTATACCTTAGCTATGCGCTTTATGCCTTCCTAAGCCGATTGCCGCACTTTTCTTTGATGCGATTACCCAAAATAAAGGCCATTTGAACCCCTTATATTATTGGATAAAGTCATAATAGCCGCGGCTTTATACTACCATGGTCCAGCTTTTTTACTTTGTCGTATTTTAGTCATTTTTATATTTACAGACTCAAAATTCTTTGAAATTCAGAATAAGTTTTTCCGAATTTAAAAAAAGTCCCCTAAAACATTCCTCTCTCTTTTGTTTACTTCCAAAACAAAATTCAAATCGAAAAAAAGCCGTTTTCCCGCAAATTTCGTGAATTCACTCACTTTTTTGCCTCAAGGGCGATGCTGCGGCCTGCACGAGAGCTGCGTCCTAATTCGAAAAGAAATTTTTCGCAAAAAAATTTTAAATTTTAAAGTTTTTTCGAAATTTAAACGAATTTAACAAACTTTTACACCAAAACTGGTGTTAAAAATATATTTAAAATCTTGATGACGTGTTTTTGCGACAATATTTTTTCGATCTATCTCTGTTTTTAGCGTTGAAATTTGGCAAAAACGAGGGGTTTGGCCGATTCGGGCCGGAAAATCGACCTTTTCTGGTGCGTATTTTGGCCATCTTTTAATGTATGGCGGAACAAAGAGATGAAGGACAGATCGAAAAGACTGTCTTAGTGATATCGAAACAATTCTTCGGAAGGGCAGGCTCGGAAGCTCGTCTAGTGGGCTTTTGACTGTTCGAATCTGTGCCATTTTAATTCTCCTCTGATGTTTGATATGGGAGATAGTTGCGGTATTAGGACGACTATTTTATGGGAGGCAATGTTTATCTTCTTCTGGTTATAATTGCGAGAAATTTATATTACACTTGGTTGTTGATGTTGCCGTGGTGAATATCTTTAAAGCTAAATAGGGAATTGGATGGATTTTGGTTTATTTAGTTGGTATAAAGTCGTATCTACATTATGTTTTAAATTTATGGCTTTTTGTAACGTCAATTTTTTGATTTACAGGTTTTTATATTGTTATTGACATCTGTTGGTGTCAATGTTAATATACGGCTGAAATAGCAGTTATTTCGAACGTTTTATGTTTAAATAAAAACTTTTTTCTAAATATTTTTCAAATTTGACGTAAAGTGGTAAAGTAAACTTAGAAAAATAACAGAGTTTTTTATTACCTTAACATCAATTTTACGGCTATCTCAATGTCGCCGTTACTCATCTTAGAACTCGCGCGAAGCACTTAACTTGATTTTCTCAGTGGAAAACAACGATTTCAAACGTGATTTCGCGTGTTTCGAAGTTTTTACGATATTTTTCATGTTGCTTTCAGGGTCAAAATGGATAGGGTTTTTAGCGAAAGAGATCGACTTCCAAATGGTAAATTATTTAATCGGTTCGAGTTCAGTAAGGACAGGCTTCATCATGTTTTTGATCCAGTAAGTAATTTTTTTTGATTTGCTGGTTTTAGGTATGGAGGTCATGGATAACATAAGGTTTTGATGTAAATCTTGGTGGAAGGGCGTTAAAAATTTTAAATTTTATGTTTGTGCTTTTCTTTAGAATGTTTTCTTTATGATTATGAAGTTTTAAAAGTTAAAATTTCTTGATTTTTAAGATGTTGAAAGTTGAACATCTTGAAGGTAGCATAATATATATTTTTTGACGTATCTCTTTGAGATGAAGTAGAAATTTATGGTTTTTACGTTATAATGCTGTAGTTTAATGTTATTTATATTACTTATAAGTTTTACATCTTTAAATGTACTGATTTTGTAAATATTGAAAGAATAGTCAGCTGTGTCGTGGTTAATATAATGTTTTTGAATAGATCTCTTGAACGACTTGCTGTCATAGCTTGATTTTTGGCTTAAATTATACATAACATTCTTATATTACTGTTTTAAACAGCTTTAGGTCTTATTTGACTGATTTAAATTACTCAGATCGTCGTAACATCACATAAGTCAAGTACAATGTAACTTTTCAAATAACTTTGCAATTATAGCATGGCTTTTTAAATGAATATCCTGTCACATCACTGGTGCTCACTACCAAGTACAAATTGTATGGATTCTCGAACAAATCTCACGAATTCACGCCAGAAAATCGAGTAAGCTGACATCAAGTGTAATATACCGTTTTCTTCAAAGTTTTACATTTTTTTGTTAGAACAGTAATTTTTCCTTATTTTAGTGTAAAATTGAAGTTTTTGGCGAAACGTTCAAGAGTGTCAAGCATTGTTATGATAGCTTCATGTTCAGAGAGTTGTGTGGAGTTGATCCGCCTGCAGATTCGGATAATGCACTCAATTTGATCGAGCGAAACGTAAGTTTTTTGATCTTATTTTTTGTTTTGATGTTTAGATAGATTAAGAAGAAGGTCTTGGAAGCTATTTGACCAAATTTTGGTTTGGTACAGTTTGGTTTAGGCTTGTGGTGTAGCTGTTTTTAAGTTTTTGATGTGGATAAGATAGTAGGCGAAGCAAATGGCTTTAGATCTTTTCACAAGGCACAAAATTGAAAAAAAAAACTTCCTTTACAAGGCTTAAAATGCAATAACTTTCTTTACAAAACAAAAAATGGCAAGAACTTTTTTTACAAGGCGAAGATGGTAAGAACTTTCTTTACAAAGCAAAGATGGCAACAACTTTTTTTACAAAACAAAGATGGCAAAAACTTTCTTTACAAAACAAAAAATTGCAAAAAATTTTAAAAAGTTTAATTTTAATCTAAAACGTCATTTTAGGTATCAACAAAGGACTGGGAAGAATGGGTTCTAAAGCGGGGTATGTTGTGCATGCAGATGGCCATTTTGGAACGTGCCAAATGTGACAAAATGTTCAGATCCAAAATGAACTCGATCAACGATAGGATGATAGTCTATCGATATCGAAACGACACTTTCTATGGCGTAAGTACGTCAGCTGAGGAGTTGGAACGGTGGCACAGAAACATGGCCGAAAATCAGCTCTCTATCACCTTCCCAACCCAGTTCCCAATAACTCATAAACAACTTCATGGGGTTCCAAATATTAACAAGAAGGGACGAAATGTGCTGGGAATCATGCTGATGGCATTGCGCGAGACGGTGAGTGGTTCATTGAAAGGTCAGGGTATAGTGCTTTGTCAGGGAGAGGTAGGGGTGTGGATGGGTTGCTTTAAAAAAGGTTAAGAAAAATTAGGCTTACTATTAGACTTACTGCTTCGACTATTATTTTTTACAGTGATAGTTTTAGAATTACGCACACATTTTTCAGTGTGGCTACGCAATATAGATTCAGCTACGCAATTTTAGGCTTAGATAAGCAGTTTAGGCTTACCGCAAAGAATTCCAGGCTTAGCACGCATTTTTAGGCTTATTTACGCAATTATAGACTTAGCACAGGATTTTAGGCTTGGGCACACAATTTTAAGCTTAAGCACATAAGTTTAGGTTTAGTTACGCAATTTTAGGATTAGACACATAATTTTAGGCTTATCACCTCATTTTAGGCTTAGATACGCAATTTAGGCTTAAGCACACAATTTTAGGCTTAATTATATAATTTAGTTTTAGCACGTAATGTTAGGCTTAGGTACGCATTTTTTGGCGTAGGCACTTAATTTTAGGCTTGAGTACACAATTTTAGGCTTAATTACATAATTTTAGTCTTAGCAGACCATTGTAGGGTTAGTTGTAAGACTATTTTTTTATTTTCAGCAAAAGCGCATCCCCCTGGACGATATCGAAATCAATTTGGAGCCATTAGTTACAATGGAACGGCCAATCTCATTCTCGACTCGACTAACCCAGCTGAAGCGAATTCACGGTGCCGCTTCAACCTCAACCTCACTGGCTGGCAGCCGGCTTTCATTAAACACCATCGCTTCGGAATACCAACCAGCCAACATCCTCTACAACGGCAGTCTAGCCGAGAAGCGGTGCCGTTTCGAATCGGACCTATTCGAGACTCGAGAAGGCACCCCATGTACCTTGATGGGCGACATGAACTGTGCTGATCAGTCGGATGATGAGTTTGTTGAAGTTGAGACAAAACGACTGGTCATTCCGAAGATACAGTACGAAGAGGAAGAGTACAAGGATGGAGTATCCAGTGATGATGAAGTGACCTTTTTGGGAGAGGTTCCGGCTAGGTAAGGATAATATACGAAAGGTTTGTGTTGAGGGGTGGGGTAATGGAGTATGAGTTTGGAAAGGTGGTGGTAAGGCTAATACTAAGAGGTTGGAAGGGTGGGGTAAGAAAAAGATTAGGAAGGGGTGGAGTAATGGAAATATGTGTTTATAAGGGGTGGGGTAAGGGGGATATGGAGGATTTTTAAGTAGATAAATTGTGGGTGGGGTAAAGAGGTTTTTATGTTCTGATACAGGGGTGGTTGGGCGGATTTTTATGATTTTTTCACATGTGAGCTTAAGGGCAGAGACTAAAGAAGCAAGGCTTGACTTTTAGGCTAGGCCAAAAAATTGGGTCCGGTCTTTTGACAGGTGTAGGGTGGGGTCAGAGAAAGGGGAGAGGGTGGTTATAAAAAAATTTTTGAAAAAACAAAAAATAGCAAGAACTTTCTTTAAAAATCGTAAAATGGCAAGAACTTTCTTTACAATGCATAAAATGACAAGAATTTTGTTTACATAACAAAAAATGGCAAGGACTTTCTTTACAAAATGAACAATATTAAAAATTTCGTACCAATTCAAGAAGTGGATTAAAACTACGTTACTGGCCATTTTTAACCTAACCTTATATAATTGACCTATTTTCAGTCGAATCGCTCCAGAGAAACGCCACGAATTCCAACCCCTGGATGAGCCGATGGAAGAAAAGCCGTCTCGTGAAGAGTTGGCCGAAGCCACAAATGAACCTCGCAAGAGCCTGCTTTGGAACTTCCCCGCCATCTTCGACAGCACAGCTCGCGGTCGAGCTTCAGTTGGATCCTGTGATTCGGGTCACGGCTCAAACAGCACATTGAACCGAGGATCGACCAGTAGCATCGACAGTAATGGCCAAAACGAACAGAATCAACCGAGTGGTGCATTCCAAAATCAATCTGGTGCTGATGGCTTTGCTGAACTGGCGAAACGACCGTCTCAAAATGTCACTGCTGGAAGTGGAAGAACGTTTGGAGAAGGACAGAGCGTGGGGTAGGGTTTGGTATTTAATAGAGGGAAATTTATTTGGTATGGCTCTTGATAGTATGACATATTTTTTCTGGTTAAAATGGTCCTTTGTTCTTATTAGGTGCCGACATAAAGAACCCGCCATACTTTTCCTGTAATTTCCTTTAACAAATGGCGGGTTCTTTGTGTCGGTACCTATTATAATAGCACGGCAGTCCCTTGAATGTCAGATTAAAGAGGTTTGACCGTATATTTTTATGTTGTTGTAGGCAAAAAGGAGGAAAAAGTTTTGTTGTAGTAGACAAATGGGGATATTTTTTGGAGGAGGTGTTTTTAAAAATTATTGTTACTAGGTAAGGGCTTTAAAATTTCTTAGGTTGGGGTGCTTTTTTAATAAATTTGTGGAGGGGTGTTTTCGGAAAAATTTTTTTAAAGGGGCAAAAACTTTCTTTCCAAAACAAAAAATGGCAAGAATTTTGTTTACAAAGCAAAAAATGGCAAGAACTTTGTTTACAAAAAAAATGGCAAGAACTTTTGTTACAAAACAAAAAATGGCAAGAACTTTCTTTACAGAACAAAAAATTACCGGAATTCTCTTTACAAAATAAAAATGGCAAGAACTTTCTTTACAGAACAAAAAACGACAAAAATTTTCTTTACAATACATACATTGGAAGCAATTTTTAATTTAATGATTTGATACCTAAAGTAACATAATTTTAGAAATCCATTTGAATCCCGCAACCCAGAACCTTCCGGAGACTTTGAATTTGCCGTTCCGACCGCTCGAATTCTTCAAAAGGCCAACAAAAGTGCACCCAAAGAGAGCCCCTTCAACTTGAGTACCGATTCAGTCTTCAATCATTATCAGGACCGGTCCAGAAACCCATCCGAATCCAGCTTTTCATCTCAGAACTCAGCCTCAACTCAACGATCTCAGAAGTTCATCTCCCTCGAACAGGTATTCATGTCCAGAGTGGGAAAGAAGGCTCCAGCTCAAGACGAAAGTAACCCCAACACTACCAACGAATCCACAAATCCATTCGCAGATAGTGACATCAGCTCAACAAGTTACCAGAACCAGACAGTATCAACAGGAAACGAAGCTACGAAGCTGAAAAGACCGATCGGCGTACCTCGAGTACCAGTAACACTGCCGAATCAACATGATGATGTAGATCAAGAAGATCATTTGAATATATCGGCAGAAGAAGAGGACCGATTACTGGGCCAAAGTCCCATCGAACAGAAGCCTTTTATCATTGCACAGCCCAGGAAGAATAAGGTAGGGATTGGAAAAGTAATTTTGGATTAGGGGTGGGGGTGGGTGGAGTAATTAGGTTTTGGATCGGGGTGGGTGGGGTAATTCTTGAAGGTTATGAATCGGAGGGGGGGGGGCTTGGAAAAAGATTTTTATTGGGGTGGGTAGGGCTTGGAAAAGGTTTTGAAAGGAGGTGGGTAGGGATGATTAGAGAACGTTTTCGATGGGGGGAGGGGGGTGGGGTGATTGGAGGTTTTGAAGAGGGTAAAGTGATTGGAGAGCGAGAGGCTGGGAAGATGTGGAGGATGATTTTGAACAGAATAAAAAGAGGGGGGGGGGTGGTATTGATCATAAAAAATTTTGAAAAACAGAGGGTATGGGTATTAATATTAAACTTTTCTTAAAGCCCCCCCCACCTCTCCCCTCTTTACACACACCCTACAGTTTGCTCTATACCTTCTTACCCGCACCCCTACTCATCCCTCCCCCCCCTCCTTACACTCCCTACCTCGATTTGATCACAGTTATCTTCCACTCCTCTTGCCAAAACCTTTGCTTGTTAAAACCTTATATTTTACAGTAATTTTAATCCAATATCATACTATAATCTCTATTTTCAGAGTGACCCGGAAGTTGTGACACTGGACTAGCATAATCATTTGGCTTCACATCCATATCAACGTTGTAGCAACCCGGACAACGAAGTCTTTTATTCCAACCGTCTTATAACGGAATATTTTTCTTTTCGTATTTGTAATTTCTTTATCGACACTTTGGTAATAATAACGTAATAATCAACCCGACCTCTTTATGTTGCATATAACATTTTTGGTAACGTATTTTGTCTTTTTGTAACATAAATTTTGTTAATTCTAATGTTTGTCGGTATCTTTGTGGCATTTTGATCTTGTTGGAGTTTTATGGTTTGTATGACTACTGTATTGCTTACTGATTTATGGTATGTTGGGAAGATGGAATGCTTATCAGACTAGGATATATAATATTGCTCTACTGTGACTTTCTAGTAGCTCAGGGATACTTCTTGGCCCACTGTGGCTTTCTAGTGACATAGTTTCAATCACATTGACTAATATAGCCAGTTTACAGTGAACAGTAACTATTTGTCTCTATGGTGATGTCTGCGGTAACTTGTGTAGAATAAGAAAAGTGTGTAACAGTAGGTACATATTACAATAGTTTTTGAAGTTCATCAGTTCTAATACCACACAATAACATAGTTGAAACAAAAAGAATACAGACTGGTAAAAGTAAAAACATTTTCCAACCTGATCAAAATGTCATATCGTACCCTATTATTATTATATATACTATATATCTTACTTCAATATAATCGCGGGTGGTGCAAAGTTTTATATCAAAATGGTCTCCCACTTATGTACAAAACCAAATTGAGATTCTAAATGCTGATTATGATGTAAAAGTAAGCCTACAGTAGCCTAAAATCACTTGCTATTTTCTTACTTTATACAATCCACTAATGTTAATACCATATTTTATCCACTGTAACGTTGACCCTTACTACTCAACACTTACTATGACAATTCTTACTATGACAATTCCTTTTACACAAGGAATAGTCATAGTACTACTAATGTCTTCCCTGTATATTACCGCCTATAACTTTAACTTTTTCTACACAATACACTGCTATACTATGACAATCAAGCTTAACGAGCAAACTGTCTGAAACCGCAACAAAATTGTATATGTTTAAAGCTATATATTCCTACTGATCTTGCCTTATTACTATTAATTCTACTGATCTTGCCTTACTACAAATGTGAAAAAGTAGTATTTTAAAAGCGTCTAAATGGTCTCTAACATTTAAACTGTCATACGCTTTGCCATTTCGACTACATTTTTTAGATTTTTTTGTTCCAAATCTTATTTTTCACTTGTTGTACCTTAAATTTTTATTGATTACTATTTTTTTTAGATTTATACACTGTTAATGGGGTTTGTCTTTTGTTGACTTTTTGCTGTTAAAGGATTGATTAATCTTAGGCTTAACAGCACACAATTTAGGCTTAGCGGCACATAATTTTAGGCTTAGTTACGCAATCTTAGGCTTAGCAGCACTTAGTTTTAGGCTTAGTTATACAATTTTGGGCTTAGCAACACATTATTTTAGGCTTAACAGCACACAATTTAGGCTTAGCGGCACATAATTTTAGGCTTAGTTACGCAATCTTAGGCTTAGCAGCACTTAGTTTTAGGCTTAGTTATACAATTTTGGGCTTAGCAACACATTATTTTAGGCTTAACAGCACACAATTTAGGCTTAGCGGCACATAATTTTAGGCTTAGTTACGCAATCTTAGGCTTAGCAGCACTTAGTTTTAGGCTTAGTTATACAATTTTGGGCTTAGCAACACATTATTTTAGGCTTAACAGCACACAATTTAGGCTTAGCGGCACATAATTTTAGGCTTAGTTACGCAATCTTAGGCTTAGCAGCACTTAGTTTTAGGCTTAGTTATACAATTTTGGGCTTAGCAACACATTATTTTATGCTTAACAGCACATATTAGGCTTAGCAGCACATAGCTTAGTCTTAGTCATGCATTTTATAGGCTTAGCAGCATGTAATTTTAGGCTTAGCAGCACATAATTTAGTCTTAGTCATGCATTTTTTAGGCTTAGCAGCACATAATTTATGCTTAATCATGCAATTTTAGGCTTAGCAGCACGTAATTTTAGGCTTAGCAGCACATAATTTAGGCTTAGCAACACATATTAGGTTGTTCACTTAATTCTGCGTCCTCTTTCAAAGAAAATTTGAGGGATAAAGAAGCGCAGAATTATGTGAACAGCCTAATAATTTTTTGGGCTTAGCAACACATAACTTAGGCTTAGTTATGCAATTTTAGGCTTAGCAGCACATAATTTTAGGCATAGCAGCACACAAGGTTAAATACTTTTACTGTTAGTAGGTTTTTGCTTAGTACGTTTGGGTTTGGTAGCGTTAGATGGGCTTAAAAGTTTTATGTATTTAAAGCCAATTTAGGTTTTCTATTTACAGCAGTCATAAAACCTTGTCTTTTAACGGCTGGTATTAATCTTGTCTTGTCGCAGGATTTTTTACAAGCTTTATTGCGCAAACATTTTCGTAAGCGTCGTATTTGGCGCTTTAATTTTATTGTGGAAGACGAGAAGGGTCAGGTAAAGGATCTTTCTTAGTTTTTTATGGATTGTGGGATGTTTGGGACTTTGGATTTATATTTTATTTTAAATTTTTTTAAAATTTTTGTTATTTTTACAGGGTGCGTAAAAAGTCCCCGGACTAACTTTACCGGTCGATTTCTTTATGTTGTACGCGATTTATATAATTTTTTTAAAGATTGTCTTATTCCCCATAGTTTTTTGTTATAAATAAGTAAAAACTGAGTTTTTTTATGTCTACCGTCTGTCTGTATTTAAATGCCAAACATGAGAGGAGCCATCATTAAGCTGCATAAAGAAGGAAGAAGGCAATGTGATATTGCGAAATTGTTAAATATCGCAAAATCTACAGTTTCCGACGTGGTCAGACGGTATGTAGAGCTTGGACATAACGGTGACAGACCTAGAAGGGGCCGTCCAGCAACTCTAAACACCCTTATATATGACTAAAATAATGAGTCCGGGGACTTTTTACGCACCCTGTATACTGAATGTATGTTCTTAACCCTAATATACATGGGAAACATCCAGCCAGGGGGGGATAGATTTTCTTAAATTTTTTAAATTTAATTTTTTTTTAGGGGGAGGGGTTAAATTTTCTTTTGGTTTACAGGTAAAAAAATTTCGTTTTTTCACGTACCTATCTGTGGAATTTTTTTTCGAATTGGCTTTGGGGGGGAAACCGATCTAGCTTCTCCCCCCCCTTTTCTCTATCCTACCCCTACCCCTACCACTACCCTCATCCTTATCCTTACACCTACTTCCACCCCTACTCTTACTTCTACCCTTACCCTTACTTCTACCCCTACCTCTACTTTCATCCCTACCACTACCCTTACTCCTTCCTCTTTTCCTACATCTCACAATCACTAAACTTTGATATTTTGGCGCCAAAACGCAACATTATCTTGTCGTCGAGTATAAAAAAAACCTCCACGCCACTGTTTCATTGCTATCCGCGCCCTTTGCCCTCTTTTCATTTCGAGGTCAGTCGGCTGTTCAAAAGAAATTTATGCGATTTTTTTGCCGATTCCTTGTTTTGTCCAAGGCGACTTTTGCTAACACTTGAATTCATTTGTCCTTATCTTGATCAGGGCCGGGCGGGGACTTTTGGTGTGGTGGCTTTTTGCGAAAAATTTTTAAAAAAAATCCACAGGGGGGACCACGTTCGACTTTTCTCGAAAATTTTTTTTTGGGGGGGGTTTTCTTTGTCCACCCCTCCCCTCTCCTCGCGCCCAGACCTGAATTTGATGGTTTTTGAGGGAACATATGCTAATTTCTTGTATTTTGCCACTTCTGTTTATAAGTGTATAATAGGTGCCGACATAAAGAACCCGCCATATTTTCCCTGTAATTTCCTGTAAAAAACGGCGGGTTCTTTATGTCGGCACCTAATATCTTTTGGATTTTCAAAGTTTTTTCGATGTAATAGTATATATGGGGATTTGAATAGTACTCGGCTTTTAGTCAAAGTTATTTCGATAAGATAACTAATTTTTAGGTTTAGCGGAGCTTTATTTTAGGCTTAGTTTTGCAATTTTAGGTTTAGCAGCACATAATTCGTTTTTAGCTTGAATCCTTAGGCTTGTTTTAAGTATAGCTTCTTACTTTTTAGGTCTGTTTATATCACTTGAATTAATATTTTTAAAATTTAATTTTTGTTAAGTTTGGAATTGGATGGTACTCACTAGTGTACTAGATGTGGTCTTAAGTATTTTAAAAATTGTATTTCACATTTAGCATCTTTTTTACCAAAAAGTGGTACTGAACATACTTACAGACTTGTTATAAGCTGTTTTACAACTTGTGTACGAGCGAATTACAACTTGTGTACGAGCGAATTACAACTTGTGTACGAGCGAATTAGAAACTACTGTTAAGAGTGTATCACTACTGATAACGTGATAACAGTAATGTTACTGACCTTACCTAACTTATTGTACAATATGTAACGTCTAAAATTCAAAAAATCGGCACAAAATTCCTGTCGCTATTATCTCTTCGGTGTTGATTGTAATGGCGCAATAAACGAGAAATGGCACAAATTTTTTCTGCCGATATCGCGCTGTAAATGGCCCTTCGAAAAAATGAGTTTTTTCATTTAGCATCTCTTGTTAGGGTACTGGGTGGTTGGGTTCTTTTTTTAATGAAATCTTTATTTTAGTGGTCTTAAGACGTCGTATGTTGACTTAGCGAATTAGTCTGTACTTTTGTTTTGTGGTACTGATAGATGCTAACAAGTTATTAAAATACGTTGTTTTTACGGGTTATTTGCTTTTCTATTATATTTGTTACTTACTGTTTGTAGATTGTTGTATTTTACTATCATGACTTATCGTGTTTTACCTATGTCTATACCTAATTCTTTGACAACCTTTTTTTGTCTTATCTAAGTCTTTGACATTAAAATGGTACAGTATAATAGTACTTGACATGCTGGATTTATACTATATTTGAAGTAACGTGCTCTATGTAAGCTTAGTACTGCTATACTGTATCTGAGGTTCAGTACGGTCATACTGTATCTGCGGTTCAGTACGGTCATACTGAATTTGAGGTTTTGTATTATTATATTGCATTTGAGGTCTAGTACATATTTGTAATTCGCCCGTACATAAGGTGTAATTCGCCCGTACATAAGTTGCACAATGTTAATTAAATACTAATATCGAGCCCTATAACATTTAATATCTCACTTCTAATTATTGTAACATAATAATAATAATGTCAAATTTTTAGTTTTTAACTTAACCCCGCTTTCAACAGTTATCTGTAAAAACATTATGGTTTTCACCGTGAACTTGTGTGATCGCCTGGATGCCGGCAGCTCTGTAAGCCAACAGGCTAGCCACTCATCCAACGAGGGGCTTCGGGTGATTCCACTCAAGGTGGTACGGAAAGACGACCCAAGGTTGGTCCAGATGAGGAACAAGTTGTTCGACAAGTTGGCCAACAGGTAAGTATTGAATTGGATGGTGCTTAATGTGTATTAAAAGTAGTACTTGACGTTTTGTAAAAGTTGGTATTTGACATGTATAATCGTAAAAAAGGGATTGGCATACAGTAGAAGGGTTTATACTTAACACACAGTATGACACGGTAAATTTAGTACTGAAAAAACAGTACCATACAGTAAAAATAGTGCTGATCATACAGTAAAATGCAATAAAAGTGGTACTAAACAAACAATACCACTTTTTATCAGCAGCAATCAGTTGTAAATTGAAGTTGTACAACTTGTGTACGGGCGAATTATAACTGATGAGAGAATAACACTACTGAATGTCACAGCTGACGACATAAAGGCATCGTAGAAGAAAAAATGTCATAAATCCTCATTTTTTGTCATATAAATTAAAAAATTTTTAAAAATTTCAAAATTTTGCAAAAAAACAAGTTCATGTCAAGTAGCACCACAGAATGTCATAACCTCTTGTAAACTGTCATCAAATCTTGTAAAATGTCAAAAACTTATCTAAAACCTCAAAAACTCATGTGAAATATTAAAAATTTTAGGAACATGTCCGCTATGCCTTCTACCTCATCGTTGACTGTTGATGCTTTGAAAGAGCACAATCGGGTAGAAACCCCAGAAACCCAAAATGATCGCCTGGATACCTACTTCAAGATGTTGGTCAAGGAAAAAAACAACCACAACAAACCGAAAATTGCGTTGACGCCGGATGCTACTAGCTTGTTGTTTAATGAGGTGGGGGGTGTGAGGGGGTGACTGGATTTTTTAATTTTGAAGATCTGTAATTTGAGAAGCTTTAAATTTAAAATATTTTGAAATTTGTATTTTTTTAAAATTTGAAATCATTTTAATTTCAAAAATCCAAAAAATCATTTTTAAAATTTTATAGCGTGACGAAAAGGAAGCCCCCCCGGTTGATCAAGATCTTCCCCGTCTCGACCCATGAACGGCCGTTTTACTTCTCAGGCCTTACCAACTGCTTCACCCCGACTAATACGGTACGTTTTTGAATTCATACGGTAGTTCATAAAATGGCAAGAACTTTCTTTACAAAACAAAAAAATGGCAAAAACTTTTTTTACAAATCAAAAAAAGGCAAGAACTTTCTTTACAAAACAAAAAATGGCAAGAACTTTCTTTACAAAACAAAAAATTTCAAGAACTTTCTTTACAAAACAAAAAATTGCTATTTTAATGTCCTAGCCCCTTTTCAGATCTAACTTACATTAAGTTTAACGTTTTAAAAGTTTTGTCGTTTTTTACTACTGAATTGCATTATAAAAAACGACAAGACTTTTTATAAGCCTTTTTAAATATGATATACTTAAGTCTATTGTAACAAGTATAATCAGAAAGTAATGAAAAATGTAATAGTGAAGTAAAACAATCTTCAAAAAGTTTTGTCGTTTTTTACAACTGGCCTTTTATATAAAAAACGACAAGACTTTTTAAAGCCTCCATTAAGCCAAATAAAAGACTGCAACTAAATCTACTGCAACAAAAATGATAAGAATGCCATATTTAATACAACCTCATACCTAAACATCTAATTTTCAGCAAGTATCATTCCAAATTGATGATCGAACCTTTATCAGTATTGAAAGTTATGTCAAGGCCATGCTGGCCAAAGAGCTCCGAAATGAAACGGAAAACATCGACAACGTCGTACTCAGCAAGTACTTACGATCAAGACAGATCAGTGAAAAAGCTTTGGATTCTTGGCTTTGTCAACGAGGCTTCTTGCACTATCAGGTAGGTATGACAATATGACCAAGTACTTGCTAATGCTATTATTAATAGTGCTACTGATGCATTATGACATTGTTAATGGTGTTATTGATGCACTATGACATTTTTTGTTGTTCTGTTGTTATATATTAACCATATATTCATTTTGAATTGATATATATTGTTATTGGCAGAAAGGTATACTATATGGTACTAAATAGTACTTCAAAAAGATAGTGCTATTTAGTATCAAGTAGTATCAAAACATTGTAATTTAAGGTACTAAATAGTACTATATAACAATTAGTACTATTTAGTACCAATTAGTACTAAAATATTGTACTTGCGTTGCCATGTGCCGTATTGTGTTTTAAAAGCTTATAATTGGCTTTTATTACTGTACATTTTAATCTTACCCTACTGTACTTGCCCTACCATAACCTTAGCGTACTGTAACAACCATTTACTGCCAATAACACACTGTAGAATCAAATAGTAACAAACACACACCTTTATAATCATATATTTCTACATATAATACAAGAACAACAATTTTACCCAAAACATACAGTAACCCATTTCAGCGTGCCATACTGTACCGACTACAAGCCGACCCTTCGGCCCTACAGCAGCTACTCGAAACCGACCGTCGTGTCATCATCTACACCTTCAACCGTGACTGCCTGTTTGGCTCGGGCGTCGTGCGCAACACCCTCGAGGACTACTGGTCGGACTTGGCCAAGCTTCGCGTCTGCCTACGGTACCCGACCAGCTTCCCGCTGACGGCTACGGACTTGTGGATCGTGCCGAAGCTAGTGAATGGCTACAACTTGCTTGGGTCGTTCCTGATGGCCGTGAGACATCAGCTTCAACAGGGCCGTACGTTGGAGTCGTTGGACTTTGAGCTGCCGGAGTATCAGGTCGATTTTGGCGAGAATCTGGTCGAAAACCGGGCGATTCGCCGAAAAATGTGTCATGATGACGAAGTTGAGATCAAAAGAAGACGAATGGACCAAAATGCCAATGTTTTGCGACCGGTCGGTCCAAACAGGCCCTTAATGACAGCCGGCTGCAACGAAACTTCAACCGGCTGGCAGAAACAACCAGCCAGCCACCAACCCAACCGCCAACCGGCTGCCACTTACCCAGCCCGAGTCCGGCCGGAAATCGAAACGGTCAGCCAGCTAGACTGCCCCTCAACTCTAGCCGGCTTCAGAAGCCAAGTCAACAAAACCCTCAGCATCGACTGCAGCCTTTCGTCCTGGTCCAGCCAATGCACTGGACTAGACAAACCAACTTTTGCCACTCCAGCTGACCGACCAACCTTTGTCAGTCCAGCCAAACAAAGCTTTGTTAGTCTGGTTTTGGAAAGCTCGGCTAATCCACAGAATTCGAAATTGGTTAGTTCGAGATGTCAGTCTGGACTAGCCACTTCAAATCAGGCTAGCCAACTCTACCGTACTCCGACCAAGAGTCCAGATGAAGATCCAATGTTGTCGTACCGCTCGACCACGCCCAACACATTGTTAGGCGAGTTCCATTTGAGAAGTGCGGCGGCTAGTCCAGTTCAGAGCAGCGTTGGAAAGGTAGGTTTTGAAATTTTTAAGTTTAAAAAGTTTTAAAATGCTTAAAAATGACTTTTTTAAGCTTTTATTGACATTTTAAACCAAATTTAACATTTTTTGATTTTCCAATAATTTTTGTGACACTTCGTCAAATTTCCGATAATTTTTGTGGCATTTCGTCAAATTGTCAAAAACGTTTTTTATGATAAAATACAACATAAAAACGCTTAAAAAACAATTTAAAAAATTTTTTTACAGTTTAAAAATGTCAAAAACCAAATTTAAACTCAATATTGCCATTTCAGGACGTGTTCAAAGCCCCATTGCCACGATATGGCAGTAGCATGAGTAGCAACTTTGCCCAATACAGAAAGAGCAACTTGTTTGGATCAATCTCGGCCGCTAGCCAAGGCAAGAACGTTAAGGTTGTTGGTAGTTTTGGCGGTGTTCAGCCATTCGTACCTAAACAGGATTCTGGAGCTAAAACTGGTGCTTCTGAAGCTAATTCTTGGACTTCTGAAGTTGTTGCTGTTCAAAAGGATTCTGTAGCTCAAGCGAAGAATGATGGTGAAGCTAGAAATGATGTTATGGAGGTTACGGGAGCTGAACATGATGCTACAATGGCTAGGATGACTAACTCGGCTTCTGAATCTGCTACAGAACAACCAAGAGAAGAAACCATGGAAACGGACGCTACTAAAGATTCTGAAGCCAATAGCTCCACTAAGACAACTTCTGAAGCCAATAACAGTACTGTGACATCTTCTGAAGCCAACACTGTAGCCACATCTGAAGACAACTCTCATACCGTGACAAATTCAAAAGCCAACGCCACTTCAGAAGACACTTTATCTATTGAAACGAGGTCCGAAACCAGCACCGTGCTTCCAGAAAGCCGGTCCAGCTCACGGTCCAGCTTCAGAAACTGCTTCCGGGATGGCATTCGTCCGCCCAGCTACTACGCCAACAATGGTACCAAAAACGGTTTGTCAGCTGGACTAGATGGCGAAGTGGCTCGTCGTGAGGTCATCAGCCCATTTGACGATGATACTGAAGTTTCTTCACGACGCAAGCCTTTTGAATCCTTGAAGCCAAAGGTCGCTAAATTTAAGAAGCCAAGCCCTCCAAAGAGTACCAAGAGTACTACTTTGGCAACTACAGTAACAAAGCCTTCTGGAGGATCAGTATCAAGTGGTGTGGCCGTACCGACTACAGTATCAAAACCATCTACAGTATCAAGTCCTTCTAAAGTGTCACGACCAGCTACAGTAATTTTACCTGGTTCTAGAATAGTACCAGCAAAAGTACTACCATCATCTACAGTATCACAAGCATCAAGAGTACCACAAACATCTGCAGTACCACTAGCATCCACAGTACCACCACTAACTACAGTAAAATCATCATCTACAGTACCATCATCCCCAGTCCGAGCCAGTGTGACTACAGTACCAAGACAAGTACAGTATAGTACCATCGATCCAAGCTCAGTACCAAGCTTAAAATCCGTAACCGAACGTGAAATGACTACAGAATACCCAACTGAACTGGACCAAGCCGACGCCATGACGGATATCAGTACGTCCGACGTTTTAGTACCACACAAATACACTAGTACTGAACTCATGGACCTGTTTATGCTAAAGAGTTTGAAGGAGATTGAAGAGGAAAAAATGGCTCAAAAAGCCAAAAATGGTACTGTAGCTTCAATTACAGTACCTCGACTTACTCAAACTACTGCTACTGTGTCTCAGGGGGCTTCTACAGTACCTCAGACTACAGTCTCAATGGATTCTGCACCATCTTCAACTCAAGCCAGAGATAACACAGTACCATCATCAAGCAGTGGAGCTAGTACAGTACCACCAGCAAACACTAGTGATGGTACAGTATCATCAACAAGCCCTCGTGCTCATGCAGTACCATCAACAAGCTTTAATACTCTTACAGCACCATCATCAAGCACTAGTGCTCATACAGTACCATCACCAAACCCCAACACTACCACAGTACCACAGTCATCCACCAGTACTAGTACATCACCCCAACCTCAAACCAGTACTACTACAGTACCAACAGCCAAAACAGTACGACCCAAGAAGACGGTAACCATCATGAACAACAGAATCGTCAAAATTCAACCGGTCGGCCAACGATCGCCAACCGAACAAGCCAAAGCCTTCTTCAATGCCTACAACGGACCCACGGTACCAATGGCTACAGATGAACCAATTGAAGACGACGACAACGTTTCAATCGCTTCAAACATCAAAAGAAGCATGGATGTGTTTGATATGGTAAGTAAATTGAACTAAAACACTATTTTGAGATTTTTAAACAAATCGATAATTTTTATGACATTTCGTCAAATTTCCAATAACCTTTGTGACACTTAGTCAAATTGTAAAAAAAACATTATGACGGTTAAAAATAACGTTATACTACATTTTACACTACTTTTAAAATTTTCGAAAGCTTTTTTGACACTTCGTCAAATTTCCAATACTTTTTGTGACATTTCGTCAAATTTTAATAAAATTTATAAATTAATTTAAAGTAACTTTAAGATACATTTTACACCACTTTTAAAATTTCCTTTACCTTTTACGACACTTTTCTAACTTTCCAATAACTTCTGTGACACTTCGTCAAAATTCCAATAATTTTTGTGACATTTCGTCAAATCCTAAAAAACATTAAAATAAGGCTTAAAGTAACCTTTCTCAACTAATGTGTACCCCTTTCCAGATCGCCAATGATCCAGCCTTCTACCTTCCCGGCTCGCCGTCCGGAGCGTCGTACTGTTCCGAGGACCTGCTGAATGGTGCCAGCGATGGTTACTATTCGATTGAGGAAGAGAACGAACTCCTCAAATGAATGTCATCAAATAAGATTCATATTAGGAAAAGTTGGGAGATATGATATAAGCCTTAATATTTATAACCAATTGTTGTTATCACGTTGCAATGTACCCTTGACTACATAATATTTGTTTTTGTAATCAAATTGAATAATAAAACGAGCTATTATACTGAAGATCTTGAGCTTGTTCAAGTAAAAATGATATTAATAGACATAGGCAGGGCCTGGCGCTGGAGGGAGGGACCCAGAAAAAAGGGGTAGGGTATTTATCCGGAGGCAAGGCAGGCTTTCGAAGATAGGGTAGGCCTTCAACAGTAAAGTAGTTTCAAATTAGAGGTACATATTAGTAGGGGTAGAGTAAAAACTTGAGTAGGGTTCAATGTTAGAGGACTTCTCCAAAGTAGAGGTAGGAATAAGAATAGGAAAGGTAGGGGTAGCTGTAGGAGTAGAAGTAGGGGTAGAGGTAAAAGGTAGATGTAAGGGTAGAAATGTTAGAATTAGAGAGGAGTAGGGATAAAGGTTACAATAAGAGTAAAAGTAGAGGTAGAGATAGAGGTAGGGTCACGGTTGAATTTTCAAATTATAGGTAAGGGCATGGGTAAAGTTAAGGTAGGAGTAGGGGGTAGCTGTAGCAGAAGTAGAGGTAAAGGGAAGAGGGGTAAAGGTAGGGGTCAGCGTAGGGGTATGGGTAATGTTAGGGGTAGAGGTAGTGTTAGGGGTAAGAGTAGAGATAGGGGTAAAGGTAATGTTAGAGGTGGGGGTTGTGTAAGAGTAGGAATAAGATTAAGGGTAAAATTAGGGGCAAAGGGAAAATGTTGGAGTAGAGGTGGGGAGGGGTAAAAGTAGGGGTAGGGAAAGGATAGGGGTAATGTTAGGGGGTGGGGGTATTAAGGGCACGGGTATAAGTAGGGGCAGGAGCAGGGGTAGGAGTAAGGTCAGGAGTAGAGGTAGGGGTAAAGGTAGAGGTAAGGTAGGAGTAGGGCTAGAAAAGCACACAAATCAAACAAAAATTCAATCCTAAACTAATTTATTGACCACAAGCCTACAGAGAACCGGATACAAATGAGATTGTGGTATACATCGAGCTAAGACCGTTGGAGGGAAGTAGGTAGGGTCAATCGATTCTGGCCGTTTCTTGGAACTTGTTCTTACTGGTAACACCGGCGCACGTTCTGAAACATAAAAATTTAAAATTTAAACCAACTTTAAATGCCAAAATGATTAAAATTTAATCATCTCTTACCCTTCGGCAAATAAACAAGCTTTATCCACCATCTTATCGTACTTGCCGCCGCCTTGCACACCGTAACCGTTCGTGCTAAAAAGCTTGTCGCCTTCTTTTCTGATTGAAGTTGACACTACTGCTTTACTGTTCACGGCTTCGACAAACTTGTTCGAGTACGGGAAGATACCTAAAACAATATAGATCATAAAGGCTTTCCACAAAGTACAATATGCCATTTTATAATTTTAAAAACAAGAATAACGAGAGCCCTTCGATTATAATGACATTTTCTTGAAAGTCATAATTAAAATAACCTTTAAAAAATAAAATAAATTTTAAAATATTGCCAATAATTAAAAACATACCGTTGTCGCCGCCTGCCTCGTAAGTCACGTAGTAGTGGTCTGAAAAGTGGAAAAATTAACAAGTACAAAAACACAGTCAAATCACTAATAAAACCACGTCTAGTAAACTTCAACCTCAATATAGCTTACAGTCTGCTCAACCAAATGCTACAGGCAAGGTGAGTGCCCGGCTTGCCCTAGAGTAGACATAGCAAAAAACCCTCACTCCGCGTCCCTGAATACAACTAAATCCAAATACAAAAAAAAAACGTACGGAAATCATCAGCAACTTCAGCAACGCTAACTGTAGTTTCATTATATGGCGCCCAACGTTTGACGGAACAAACGGGATGATATTTACCGTTTAAGTCGGATGCCTCTCTCGACCCACCACCACAATGTACAAACGAATGTTTCCTAAAAAAACAATGCCAAATTGGCGGGAAAGCCAAATAATTTTAGTTTAAAACTCAAAAGCGCGAGCTATAATTTGTTGGGTACTATTGGTGGTACAAAGTTTATGGGTACTATTGGTGGTACAAAGAATTCATATAAAAATTTTGAGCTGATTCTGAGCGGGGCAACTTTCCTTGTCAGCCAAAGCCTCAACCTAAGCCTAAACTTGAGAATAAGCCTAAACATAAACCTGAGCGTAACGCTAAGTCCAAGGCTAAACCCAACCGCAACCAAAAAGCTAAACCTAAAGCTCAAGCCTAACCATTAACAAATAAAAAATTTTAAACAACTTACTTGGATGATGACTCATACCAAAACGCAAATTTTTCGTCCGAGTATTGACCACAACTAAGATGAATGGCGGCCATTTCCCACGCAAACTTCGTAATGTTATCTTGCTCGCGGTACACAATCATTCCAGTATGCTGTGCCGTTCTTATCCAAAAACTATCCTCTGGACAATAATCATAGTGGGAACGAAACAAACAAGTTTGACCATCGTGTGTGACAATTGAGTATGGTGGGCAAGTAATCGGAAGTCTTCCATCCCAAATGTTAATACGCTCAAACAAATCGAGAATTTACAACAAATTATACCTAATATACTTTTTAATCCTAATGCTAGTCTAATCTATGCTAAACACAAGTTAGCACAAAGCTTTCCAAAAGAAACCTCAGCCTAAACCTACTTTACATAAGATTACTTAGCTTAAGCCTACTAAGTCCAACCAGACTAATTGTAAGTTTACTAAGATTGATCAAGTTGAACAAAATCCCATTAAGCCTGAGCTTTTCCTGTACAATTCTACTAAGCCTAAGCTTACTAAGCCTAAGCCTACTAAGTTTAAGCCTACTTAATCTGCGCCCACCAAGACAAAGTCTACTAAGTCTAAGCCTACTTAACCTAAGCCTACCAAAACTAAGCCTACTTAGCCTGAACCTACTAAGAAAAAAATTAATCAGCCTAGGTCTACTAAACCAAACTTACTATAACAAAGCCTGACCTTACCGAAAAAGCTTGACCTTCCCAAGCCAAAGCCTAACCTTACTAAACCAAAAACCTAAGCAACTAGTCATGCAGATACGTTATCAATAAGCCTACAAAAGCAATGAAACCCACATGTGTCATGTCGTAGCCATGAAGCGTGCTGAAGCTCAGTCCAAATAAAATTGCTTGTAGCAACCACATATCACCAATGAAATTGACTAATTAACTCCAAATGCAGTCGAGAAGTCGTTTTTATATCGCCAGAAAATTTGCATATTTAAAAAAAAATTGTAAAAAAATCAAAAAATATTCGAAAAGCCTTCTTCTCAGTAACTACTGCCGTAGAAGAACATCCAAAAACGGCGAAAACTCCCTAAAAACAGAAAAAAATTAAAAAAAAACAAAACTTACATGTAGAACACTCTTTTCTGCATCTAATTACCCATATTCCATCATATTTGAGATAGCATTGGGTCTGTTTTGTTCAGTTTCATGCGTTTTCTCGAGATCTCGGCGTGGTGAAGATGTTTCGAGCCATAACTTCTCAATCATCTCTCTGGCAAATTTATCAGTCTAAAACCTGGTAAAGATAAAATGAAAACGTAATATAGATATTAAACATGTTCATTTCGATCATTCCGCGCAATATAACCACAACAACATTGCTTTACGATCAAAAACAAGAAAAACCCAAGTCGCAGCCGAAAAAATCAGTTTCAACATCAAAAAATGAACATAAACCATCAAAAATCAACAATTTATAAAAGGAAAATGTTTTAAAAAGGTTTATTATGCCATATTCAACCAAATTCATCAAGATTCAACCACAAACTTCATTGAAAACGAGAGAAAAAGCGGCCGAACCACCTCAATCGAGTCAAAAACAAGTTCCGTAAAGAAAACGCGCCCGCAACCTGCGTGCGACATGTTATACGATGAATTCAAAATCGCGATGAAACATTTCCATAAATACATTTTAAGAAAGTTTTATACATAACACTAAAAAAATAAAACAACATCTCATACTACAATATAATTTATTGACCACAAGGGTACAGAGAAGCGAATATAAATGAGATCTTGATACACATAGAGCAAGTACCGTCGGAGAGAAGTTGGTAGGGTTAATTGAGTCTGGCCGTTTCTTGGACTTCCGTTCCTTCTCCAACACACTGTCTGAAAAGATAGTTAGAAATACCAAATTACAAATGAAACGATTTTCATTTTCAAACCCACGAAAGTTCAAAACAAACACCTACTTGTTAAATGTACAGTATACGCTAGCGTAACTCTTGAAATGTTCACTACTCACACCGTAACCGTTCGTGCTGTAAAGGTGTATCAAATCAGTAGCTCTTTCAATTCCGGTTCTAATTTTTCCATTACTACCTCCGACTTTCTCGTAGACATCTTTCGAGTAAGGGAAGACGCCTAAAACAATAAAATTATATAGACTAAAAAAAACTTTTTAAATTTAAAAATGAGAATATAAACTACTAAAAAAACACTTTAATAACATAAAATTGCAAAAAAAACAAATAAAAAACGGAAATTGACAATAGTTAAGAAAAAAAGTAAAAACATACCTAAGTTGCCTTTACCTTCCTCGTAAGTCACGTAGCTGTCTGAAAAAATAAAATAAAGTGACTACTAAGCCAAGCCTAGCGAAAACTCATATAGCTTATATCCATCGCTACTTAGCCTAAGTCTACTACGCCAAAGCATACTAAGCTTAAGCCTAAGCTTAACAAGCCTAAGGCTATTAAACGTAAGCTTACTAAGCCTAAGATTACTAAGCCTAAGCCTACCAAGCCTGAGCTTACCGAGCCAAAGCCTACTAAGCTTAAGCCTAAGCCTATTAAGCCTAAGCCTACTAAGCCTAAGCTTACTAAGCCTAAGATTACTAAGCCAAAGCCTATTAAGCCAAAGCCTAACAAGCCTAAGCCCACTAAGCCTAAGCCTAAGCCTACTAAGCCTAATCCTACTAAGCCTAAGCCTACTAAGCCTAAGCCAAATAAGCCTAAGCCTATCAAGCCAAAACCTACCAAGCTTATGCCTACCAACCCTAAACCTACTAAGCCTAACCTTACCAAGCCTAAATCTACTAACCCAAAGTCTATCAAGCATAAGCCTACCAAGCCTAAATCTACAAAGCCCAACCCAATTAAGCCTACGTGAACTAAGCCTATAATTAATAAGCCTATGGCCACTAATAACACTATTAAACCTAAACACGAAAAAAACTTACTAAAATCACCATGTTTATATTCAGCAATCTTAAGATTTTTATGAAACGGCAGATAACGGTTGATGTAACACAAAGATTTATAATTGTTAGGTCGGGATGTTTGTCTCGCACCACCACCACAATCTACAAACGATTTCTGGCTGAAAATACAAAAATTACGTTAAATTATCAATGAATAAGCCCAAGCCCAAGCCCAAGTCCAAGCCCAAGCCCAAGCCCAAGCCCAAGCCCAAGCCCAAGCCCAAGCCCAAGCCCAAGCCCAAGCCCAAGCCCAAGCCCAAGCCCAAGCCCAAGCCCAAGCCCAAGCCCAAGCCCAAGCCCAAGCCCAAGCCCAAGCCCAAGCCTAAGCCCAAGCCCAAGCCTAAGCCTAAGCCAAAACCTAAGCCTCAGTCATAATATCAGCATAAACATACGTGTGATAAACCAACGCAAACTGGAGGTCCGGTTTCAGACCACAATGAACATGAATAGCGGCCATTTGGTTCAAGTAATCCGGCACGTCATCATTCTCACGGAACACAATCATTCCAGTACGCTGTTCCGTCTTTAGTATTATACTATCGGTGCAATCCTTACCTTCGGATTGAAGCAAACAACGTTCACCGTCGTGCGAGACAGTTGAGTAACTTGGACAAGTAACCGCCAACTTTCTGCCATCCTCAGGCTAAAACACATTGAGAAGTCGCAATACAGTAAACATAATGCTAGCTTAAGCTACACCAAAACTTTCTATGTCTAGGCCTAAGCCTAAACTAAACCTGCGCTTTCAGGACTTACAGCCAATCCTAAACCTACTAAAATTAAGCCTGTTTAGCCAAATCCATCGCATTTTTTGTCTAAGCCTACTAATTCAAAACCTAAGCCCCATAGTTAAGCCTAAGACTACTAAGCCAAAGTCTGCTAAATCTAGTCCTACTTATCTAATGCATATTGAACTTAAGCCTACTAAGCCAAAGCCAACTAAGCCTCAGCCTATCAAGCCTAAGCCTGCCAAGCCTAAGCCTATGCCCACTAAACCTTAGCTTACTAAGCCTAAGCCTACTAAGCCAAAGCCAACTAAGCCTCAGCCTATCAAGCCTCAGCCTATCAAGCCCAAGCCTGCCAAGCCTAAGCCTGCCAAGCCTAAGCCTGCCAAGCCTAAGCCTGCCAAGCCTAAGCCTACTAAGCCTATGCCTACTAAGCCTAAGCCTACTAAGCCTAAGCCCACTAAGCCTAAGCTTATTAAACCTAAGCCAACTAAGCCTTAGCCTATCAAGCCATACTAAGCCTAAACCTAAACCTATGCAACCTAACATACTAAGCCTAAGCCTATTAAACCTAAGCTTACGTAGCATGAACTTGTTAAACCAAACCTACTAAACTAAACCTAAGAAACAAAGCCTACTTAGCCTAAACCAGCTAAACCTAAGCCATCGTAACCAAGGCCTACTATAACTTCAAAACCTAATCAAACCAAGCCTACCAAACCTAAACCCATCAAGACAAAGCCAATCAGCCTCATCTAAAGCAAAGCCTAAGCTTAGTCAAAGCCTCTTCTAAACCTAACCTTATCAAACTCAACTTTAGCCAAAAAAAATTCGAAAACTTACCTTGACGACTTCAAAAAGCGCGCTGAAGCTCAGTCCAAACAGAATTGCTGATGGCAACCACATCTCTCCAATGAACTCGGCTAATGAACCCCAAATGCAGGCGAGACGTCGCTTTTATACGGCCAAAAAATCTGCATATTGTGAAACAAAAAAGTATGGGAAAAATGAAAAAATTATTCAAATCAAGGCGAAATATATTCAAAAAACCATTTTTTCTTTTAAAATTTCAGAATATTCAAAAAAAAATTTTAAAAATACGGAAATTTTTTAAAAATTGATTGAAGCTGAGCGGTCGAAACTTGAAAATTAAATTTTTTAATTTTAAAACAAAAATTTAAAAAAAACTGAATTTGGAACTAAAAAGCCAGCGGTCAGTTGCCTTGAATTTTTTTTTTGGTGGAGAGCGATTGATGTTCGGATACTGTAAAAAACTTTTTTTTATTTATTCCGTTTCACTGGAGTTTGTACTGAAGATAATGAGACTAACAAGAAAAGTACCCGACCTGCCCCGCTCTTAACTTCAAACTTTTTTGTTAAAAGATCATGAAAATTTAAGATCTTTAGCACGGACTTTTAGGCTGGAGACGGAGGTCGAAAAAATCGGCACAGATAGCCGATTTTTTGCAGTTTTTTTTTTCCAAAAATCCACAGGAAGGACCACGTTCCACTTTTTTCGAAAATTTTTTCCTGGGCGGTTTGCAGATTGGGTACTTTCTTTATGAAGAGAATAGGACTAACTTGAGTTTTAAGTTTGAGTTATTTCGATTTTCCGCCAATTTGGCATTGTGTTTCAAGCAATTTTTTCGCCTTTCCAGACAAGCTACGCTTACAAATTTAAAAATGTAGGCCCATGTAAAGCTTTTCTACTACAATATCAAACAAAAATTGCCAAATGTCAAACATGACAAAGTTATAAGCTTGAAACACAATTCCAATTTGGCGGAAAATTCAAAACTTTATTTGTTGATCTCGATTTTTTCGAGATTTGCTGGAAAGCGCGATTCAGTACATTGGTGAAGATCTTATATTTGCATGATCTTTCTTTATAAAAAGTTTGAAGTCAATCAGAGCGGGGCAGGTCGGGTAGCCTTGTCAGCCTAAATCTAAGCTCATTCAGCCTCAGCCACAGATTTGTAGGTGGTGGTGGTGGAGAACTTAAAATTAGTTTTTAGGTAGCATTCTAGTCTTTTCAAAATGCCATTCAAATCACTTCAAAACGCCAAACAGTTCAGTACGGAATGATTTATTAAGTTAGCACGATAAGATTTGGGGTTCCAAAGAATAATAACAATATAAAATCCCTGATTACGCTTCGCATTGCCCATGGTTAACAATATATTCATATGAAATACGACAACTTCATGACGTAAACCTTCTACCACTAATCCACTCTACTATTAAACTAACTTTGCTTTTTAAAATTTTTTGTAAAAACTTTGTTTCCAGGTTAAAACAGAGTCTCAACAAGCTCGCCCAAAAATTTCAATTTTTAGGTTAATTTATACCTAAAAATGCCAAAAAGCATATCCTTGCCACAACCTAAATAAAAAGTTTTAAAACCCCTAAAAAACAAAAAAACTGCAAGAACTTTGTTTCCACATAATTTTATTACAATTTACGTCATGACCTCGTATTAAACAATAAAAGTTACTCGTTTTTGTTGAGAGAAAGTCGGATTTAAAGGCCCCAACAGGTACCGTACCACCGAGGGATACGGTAGTCTTCGGTGCGTGCGACCATGAAAGAAGCTGGTATATTAGAATTTGGAACAAGTAAAAAATAAAAATTTGGGAGACCCGTTACATTTCTGATATCGAATATAATAAATAAGGTAATATGAAAGAATGAGAAATCGGTTCGATCGTACTATACAGCACCAAAAACCCCAGGTCGTACTAAATAGCACGAAATGTTTTTCAACATAAAAATCAAAGATATAAAAAATATACCAAAATTTAAAAAAAATTGCCAAAAATTAAAAAAATTTTTCCCAAAAATTTAAGGTCCAGGTCCTGTAACATACAGTAATCGAACTTCTACTGTTTCACCAAAAGAAACAAGTAATAATAGGTTCATACACATTGTAATTGACATAACAAATCGAGTTTCGGAGCGATAAACCGTAATTTTTGAAGAACATGTTTGATTGTATAACTTGACACCCGCAAGTCGCAGGGACAAAAAGGGGCCTGAAATGGTGTGACTTGCCAAAATATGAAGTTGAAAAGGAGATAACGAATCAAAAATTTTAAATTTTAAAAACTTCAAATTTCAAAATTTTCAAAAACTACAGTAATCGCTCAAAACTCGCCAACAACAGTTATCCGACCGCGGAAACGCCTAAAATACCGGTCTTCAAACCCGAGACAAATAAAAATATTTTGATTTTTTTTTGTATATTGAGCATTATTTTTTGGGTTTTTTGTTAAAAAATTTTAAAAAAATACAACAGAGACCAAGAAAAAGTGGCAAAAACTTTGTTTCCAAAGCCGTTGCCAAAACAAGACAATTTATCAAAAAAAAATCTATTATCAAATTGCGCACAACGCTAAATACAAGAGACGACAAGAGAGAGTATAGAGAAACCATAAGACTGTCGATTGGGTAGTTGGCTGAAGGGGTTGATCACATCCGAGAGGTGTTCACCGAGAACGCTGAAATAGAATCGATTAGTATTGTAAGAAATGTCATAACTTTATATTTCTCGACCTCTTGTCTTTGAATTGGTAATCTATTATCACTTTTGACCATTAAAACCTCAAAATCTATAGTTCAGTCCATTTTCGAACAAGTAACCGATATTGTAGTAGGTATATCCCCCTTTTTTCATCAAAACCTGCCTCCCTATCTCGAAATCCAACCTAAATCAAAACCAAAAACCCAAGCCCAGTCTAAAACCTTCATATTCTTACCATTAGCACCATGTTTCGGTATCCTTGCCAAAATTTAATTTACACTCAACAAATCCACGTCCAGCAGACCAACAAACAAGTCCTGTGGCTGTTCGTCCAGATCAATGTAGGGCATCACGAGCACATCACGTTTGCCTTGTTTCAGCACGCTGAGCTCCGTGATCTTCGTTTTGTTCAGGTTCTTGGTCAACAACTGTTGTTGAGCTTCGGCACGACGCTCCAGCTCTTCCACCGTGACCAGCTTGTCGTACCACGACGGCTTCTGACTCAAATCGGATTGAGGGGTTTCTGTGGCGGATTCTAAGTCCACTTCCATTGGCTCCGGAGATTCGGTGCCTTTTGGTTCGGCCGATTCGTCCTTCTTGTCATGGTTAACATTGGGAGAAGCTGACGAGGATGAAACGCCTGAGTGAACAGCCGAATCCGTGGACTCGCTGACAGATGAGATTGAGGGTTGGCTACCAAACTTGATTTTGAGACGAAGCGGTGGCTGAGCGGTCGAGGTTTTGGATTTGCGTTGGCGCTTCTTCTCCTCCGACTTGTCGGCTTCTGGAGCTGGTGTAGCGGCGGGAGGGCTCTGAAAGTTTTGGAAAATTATTTTTTCTAATGAAAAACAACATTGTATTTTAAAAAATATTGATAAAATTTTTAAAAATTCAGTTTAAAAAGCTAAAAAATGAAAAAAATCTAAAATTTTCTAAAATCCACCGCCGTGCTCAATCCAAAAACCATGCTAAATCCTTTTCCAATGTCAAACTGCTAGTAGCTTTTAAAAAATTACATTTTGAACCATCAAAAAGTATCAAAACATCAAAAAAACACCCCCAATTCACAAAAATTTAGCATTCAACCCATAAATAATTCCAAATCCACCCACTAAATTTTACCACGCTCTTCTCAAATCCTTCTCCATAATCCCAACTCTCCTTACCTCAGCTTTCTTGGTCAAACTAGCCAAAATGTTGTCCATGCCAAGCGACGCGACCAGTTGTTCCGTAGATTGGACATTCTGACGAGCCGCAATCACTGATTGGGCTTCGGCAATTGGTGAAAGCTTCAGTTTCTTGGCGGCCTGAGGTGGAGATGGGTCCACACGACGTTTTTGAGACGACGGTGAGACGCCTGGCGCGTAGCTTCCTGCAGCTTGGCCATCTGAAAGAGGTATAGTTAGAGGTGTAAGATTAGGTTTCAAAAATGATTTTTTAGGCTTAGAAATTTTTTGAAGGCTTAGATAGGTAATATATAAAGAATAGGGTTAATTATAGTTAGTTTAGACCTCAATTTAATATTTTTTCCAAAAAAAAAATTTTTTTTTGAATTTTTCTTAACGTACTCCCCCCCTGTGGATCCAAAAAAATCAATTTTTTATTGAGAACCATGCATGCCATTTTTTGATACCCAAAGCCATTTTTAAATCCTTACCAACTCCATTCAGCGTAGTGCCACTAGGAGTCACATTTCGTCCTCCTCTGGGCGTGATTCCTCTTCTAATCGCCGGCGAAACCAATCCCGGCGTACCCGAGGTCGAGGACCCACACGAACTGGCCGGTCTCGAGGCTTCGGTCACGTTAGAACGCCAGCTCTTGATCAACTGTCGGCACTGTTTGGCGAGGTCGGGGTTCGTGTCGGCGATGCTCTTGCGAAGACCGTTCACGACTGCACCGATTCGAGAAATCTTAAAAGAAAAGCGCCGCTCGAGGCGGCGTCTACGCGTTAGTGGACCGGAAATTTAGGGAAATACCTCAAGCGCATCCTTGCACAAGTGGGCACGATCGATTTCCTGGATTGTCACGCGGATCTCGGCCAGGTTGTCCTGTAAACGTTGGTGTTATTTTGAAAATTTTGAATTTTGTTACCTAACCTTACAAGTAAAATTTTTTGTTACCTAATCTTAAAGTTAGAACTTTTTGTTACCTAAACTTAAAAAACAATGCTTGAATTGTTTACTCTGTGCCAATTAAAAGCCAATCCCAAGCACAACAAGGTAAATTTAAATAAAAAAAAAATTTTTTTATTTCGAAAAAAAACAGCTTGGTCTCCCCTGTGCACTTTTTTTCAATTTTTCAGCCGAAGATCCATTAATTTTTTCGTTTAAAAATTTTTCAAAAAATCAGAAATGTGTTGTTCTGATGGGTTCCGCACGTCATTGCATAATTACTGCTCGGTTTTTGCGGATCTTCCATCAAGTACAACAACATGTTCATGATTGTTGGCTTGCTCAACATGTTTTTACAGAGGTTTTAGGTCGGGAAAGGGGATGTTTTTTGATATGCTGGGCCTGCCTTTATCTCAAATTAATATTTTGTTGTTTTTTGTTACCTAAACTATCAAGTTCTTGACTTTTTGTTAACTAAAATCGCAGTTTTTAAGGTTTTATTACCTACACTTGCCATTTCTCGGCTTTTCTAACCTAAAACAACTTGCCAAGACCTTTCCCTTATAATACCTTCATTTTAAGTAACAAACTACCAAAACAAAACTCTTTTTTCACTCTACTTCCATTACAATATCTACTCTGCTTCATTAAAACGCCTATCCTCCTTCCATTACAATACCTATTCCTCAACCTTCATTCAAACAAACCACCAATCCATCATCCCAAGTCGACTCCCTTACCTGTTTCAACGCCTCGACCAGATTGTTTTTGAGCTGTTCCGCCTTCTGAATCGACTGCTGAATCACCTCGTTGTTCTGGATTTGGGGCGAGTTGGCGTGGGCGACGGTCTGCGGCGACACCACCTTCTGTTGTAGCGCTTCGTTGATAGCCTTCAAGGCCAGCACGGCCGGCGAGGTTTTCGGGACCTGATTCTGTTGTAGTTGAAGACCAACCATCGTTTTCATGGGGCTGGATGCGAGGCCACAAAACGATGCTTCTGACGCTACCATTAACAATATAGGGGGTGTTCACAAGGTGATATTGATGTTCACAAAGTGATACTGGTGTTCACAAGTGACTGACGCTTGATATTAGGATAGAAACGTCAGGTTTTTCCAACTTTCGAGGTTCAAAAGCCACCAACTTCCGAATTCTCGTCTGTTCTCACGGGTTTCTGTCGATTCTGATTCCAAAATGGACCAGAAATCTAGAGAAAAAGAGAATAAACAGCTGTTTTTAATTTTTCTTTAGGTTTTTTTGGTAATCTACATGGCTGTAAACTACATTTTTTTGATTTACAAAGCTGTAAATTATTTCTTTTAGGTCTACAATAAGGTAGCCTAGCTTTTTTAAGCCTACAATAATAAAAACCGTGTCTTTTTCCTCACTTTCTTTCACTTTTTTAAAAGAAAACCTTGATGAAAAACTACTTTTTTTAAATCAAAAGGTCTTTGTTATCTAGTCTTATCAAAAAACTTGCCATTTCAATTTATTTTGATGTAAATATAATGTTATTCTTCCATTTAAACAATCAAAAAGTCCAATTTGGACCATTTAAAATTAATTATGTTGCTTTAAAAGACCAATTTTATATAAAAAATTATATTACACTTGATATTTTTTTTTATTTTTCTATATAATCCTACCAATTATACAAAATTTCAACTGTTTCTCCATCAATACAAAACATCTTTTTAAACTTTAATTTTAACAATAAACATCCATCGCCAACTTGCTTTACTCACCAGCAATATTGTTCAAGTCGAGCTTGTCCAAAAATCCTTCTTAACCAAGCTTCTGGGGTTCCGACTGCTTCAAAGCGAATTTGACAGGGCTATCCTCTTCAAATCCAACAGTGAGTCCAAGAATTGAATCCAACCTCGAATCCAATCCAAATCGCGTGAACCTGTCGATGAGACCTGGTTGTGTTTTGTACCCGAGTTGTGAGAGATTTTTGGCACGATAGGAGAGGCTTGAATACGTTTCCACCTTCCTACTTTCTTTAACAGCTCAATGCGGGGAAAAAGTTTGCGTCCGACGGTTGTCCCGGAGTTAGACTTCTCTCTGCATCAAAATTCTCATTAATAACTTTGTCAAATTTTCCGATTTTACACAGTAAAAACGTAATCAACTACACATAAACGTACGAAATCAAAATTTATTAGACAAAAAATTATTGTAAATGTTAAGTTAAAGGTTTGACTCTTAAAAGTTGCTTCATTTTTTTACACCTAAAAATCGTTAAAACTCAATGAAAAACAACAAAAATCAAGAAAAAACCTCAAACATAATATAAAATGATAGTGTAAAGTAAAAGCAGTATAATAAATACCAATTAGAATATAATACAACAAACCACAAAGAAGTCTTCAAAAAGATTGAGAAAAATCAAAAAATATTTTTTTAAATTTTTCTCTCAAAATTTTTAAAAATGCTTTGCAGATGTTATACGATCAAATATGTTAGAGAATAGGCCTTGTATTGTTGTTTGAATATCAGTTTTGTTCTATAGCTTTTGAACAATGGAAAGATTTACCACACACAAGCCTAAAAACTTGACCAGAACATCTTACTTTTTCACTATTTCTTACTGTTACAGATCTCTGTAGTAGTCTATAATATCTTTTACTAGCTTTTTCCTACCTATGAGTACCTCAAAACCCTAAACTCAAGTTTCATTCAATACTTATTACCATGAGTATTGATTACTGTTGTATTTTTGCTCGCTGTTTCCTTTCAACAGAAAACATCAAACATCAGTCAATGTTTACTGTCAACTATCTAATGATATGTCTTTGGTTTTTGTCAATAACATGTTCGACTCACGTCAACATGACCTGCGAACGTACTTAATCCTAAAGTCAATCCTGCGGCATGTTCTTTACATTTCCTTTTACTGTATGAGGAACAAACAGCTTTGTGTAATATCAGAAGTCTCTAGCGTCTACATATATACTACTACATATTCTCTACTCTGTCTTCTAGCGGCCTCCACTAGTCTAAGCAACAATGAACAGAATTATCCTCTAGCCTCAATTACACTAACATCTCTTAAACACAATATTACTCTAACTTCTGCTTGTCATAACTCTACTTTGAATTCTCTTAACGACAAAAAAACACTCAGTTTATCTAGCCATAACATAACTAACTCTACCTAGCCGACAACATAACTCTGTGACTCTCTTTATTTCGTAAACACTCTCTGATAGCCTAATGTCTTTACTGCCTTCGAACACACACCGTACAAACTATATACCAATAACTACAACACTATTTCCGACGACCATAGCCTAAACAACCGAGACAGTAAGAGAAAAAGAGAGAGCGTCTATAGAAGTCAGAGAAAATTTCGAAGCGCCCTTGAAAACCAAGATTTCAGTCAGTCGGAGGTCCGCGGCTGGCTGCGGTGCGGTCGGGGAAGAGGGCTTTTCGTCGTTTCGAAACAGCCCATCTTTTCCTTCCACACACACAGCCAGCCTCGTCTCTCCGCGTCGTCCGTCCGCGTACCACGCGCCGCTGCCCCGGCCCTGGTGGTGGATGGAGGAGCGCTGGAGAAAGACCCTTCCTTCTAGATTCTTTCTCTCCAAACCTATGCTTAATATGTGCTTCTTTTTCTCGAAACCTATGCTTAATATTACAATAGTTGTGCCTGTTTCTTTAGCTGTAATCTGCGTAATTTTTACAATAACTTTTTAGTCTTGATCTTTTTTGTAATAAACTCCACTTATAATGAACCCAGACCGACACTAGACCGGAAAAACAATAAATCTTGTTTAAACGTCCTTTTAAATGCCATTTATTTAATAATTTTAGTTATAGAGCACCAATATTGATAAAATAAGCCCATTTTTTGTCTAACTAACCAATTATTACCTTTAAACTTCAGTCATAAGTTTTAAACACCAATATCCAATCTGGCAAAATCCTTACAAACCCTACAAACATTTTGATGCCAGCTACATGATAAACCAAGCATTAAACAGCCAATAAATTATTCATGAAACCGTATAATACAATCAACACCAGATGCAAACCTTTAATTCTACAAATACTATGCCAACTAATATTCAAACAACTTTATACAAACAAAATATTGTAATTTTTATGCCATTTATTCACAGTAATCCCTGTCTTGTTTACAATAACCCTGTATATACACAGTAGGAACATATCGATTGGAATGTGGAAACGAAAGACGAGCCAGCCTGTGGAATGGTCTTTAACCAAAGGTTGTCTGGTCACTCATCGTTCCGAATCGACTCTAGAGACTCGGCCCGTCCGACGTCTCCACACTCACCACAATATACTCCCGCGTTTTCATTCGCCAAAATTTCGTATGCGTTATAAAAACGGCAGTTGTGGGGGGTTAAATACAGCGCTGCTGCTAGAGACACCAGCACTAGTCGGCTGTGCGAATCGAAGGCATCGTTACCGGACGGAGAAAAGAGGAGGAGGGTCCGAGAAACGAGACGGTCGTAGTCCTTTCGTTTGTTTCGATTTTCGCACAAGCAGACAAAGAGAGAAGACGACAGAGCGCCACCAAACCCGACCGCTCGCCCCCTCTAAACTCGCACCGACTGAACCCGAATCCGTCGACTTCCCGGCTTTTATAGGCCGGCGGGGTGGTGGTGGTGCGTCCTTGCGGCGCGCTATGCTGTCTGCCAAACCACGCCCCGCGTTGGCAGCCAGTTCGCCTTCGTGTTTGTCGCATTGCTCATCGTCTGGGAAAGAGGGGAAAAACCCGCATAAAAAAGATATGGGCTCGCGACAGCACAGATTCCAAGGAACTAGAGTACATAGAACGCTACACACATGACAATTAATGAACCATGTTTCACGCCAACTGTTTTTTGAAACGTTTCATAAACTACAAACGCTACGTTTAATCAGGCCGTGCGAAAACGGAACTTGGGGTCTAGCCAACAAATAAAATGCGCAAAACTCGACCTAGGTTTATGTCTGCTCTTTAAAGTCTGCTCCCATTTTTTGTCTGGTGAGTCAACCGGTTATGCGATTAAAAAACAAGACCGTATGCGCACATCAAAGACCAAAAGAGGCAACATTTATTGCGGTAAATTAGTGTTGTACAAGGTAAAACAACTAATTTTTAGCTTAATTGTCTAATAAAACAAGTTTTAAGCCTAAAACTCTTTTGTCAGGTCAATCTATCAAAGATTATATAAACAAAAATTATTTTATCAACTGAATCTCTCAGAGTCAACGGAAACCAAAAATGCAAAACTAATCCTTAACACACAACAAAAATTTAAATCAAGGCTCGCCAGACAACACTGATCCACAACTCATAATCAAACACAAAACACAAATGATACGACAAACTGCAATTGGCAGACAAACCGCGTTAATCAAACATTTACGCTTCTCAAAACACATAATCAAACATTGACTCTTCTAAACTTAACATAAACTCACTATTTGTTTAGGCATAAGAAGTTTGAAACCTTTTTTGTTCAAATTTCCCAAAACGTAGATTAACAACAGAGGATTTTATTGAACCGACCGCTTCGTAAACGTGCAGTTCGGTCGAAAAAGCAAAATTCTGTTTGAAACTTGAAGAAAATGAAATTTTTCCAAAAAATTATGAAAAACTCATTCAAAAGTTCGATCGAAATGAAATCCTTCAAAAAATGAAATTTTGAGATTTATTTTTACTTGTTTTCAAAACTTATTTCTACGTGAATTTCATGAGTTATGAAATTGTGGTTTCGATAGAGATATTAGGTCAGTTCCTGTTAATTCGCTTAATAATCCTATTAAAATCTTTCGGTTTTGAAAAAAATATTTCCACAGTTTATGGCCCTGCAGACAGAAACAGCTCTAATCTTTAACTTTTTTTATTTCATTTTGCACTATAAGTTCATTTTTTCATTATTTTTTTTTGGGTTTTTACATAAACATCAAAACGTGTATGAACAACAATTGAGCTAATATCGTTTGATTGACTGAGTACTTTTACTCAGTATGGCCTTTCTTTCAATAAACGAATTTGAATATCTGAACAAATTTCATCTCACTTGTAAGTGTACAATAAGATCTCTGGACAATCCTGACAAATCAGACAACCTCAGTCATGGCTTCTTATGTCTAATAGGCTTAATTTCACACAGAAAACAAGAAACCCCAAAAATGCAATCGAGATAAGACATCTCACAGACAAATAATGTAAACACACCCATGTCTATATAATCCATAACATTAGTCATAAATCTTTTGACATGAAACAGTAGATTTTTTTGTATAATCAGCTGTTCGCTCTGCTCGTGATTCTTTTTTATTGCACTTTGTTTTAGAATAATCCCTTGTTTCAATGTTCATAACATTCGAATTTTCATTGCTTGCCGAAATTCTTTAATACAAAAATAAGGCTTATAGCAAATGCAAAACGATGTTAATATGACATCAATGTTCATCTAACCCCACGTAAACTTTTTATTTTCATAAAAATCTACGTATCTCTTTATGACCATATAAATTCATGCAGGAACGTTAATGTTTGCAGTTTTGAAACCATATAAACTTTTTACAAAGCTATTTTAGTATATTTTCCAAAAGCGTTTCATTGTTATTGTTGTAGATTTCAAAACATACAATAATTCTTTTTCAAAGCGCCGCTATTTTCACATAGTTACCAGCGTAATCTCCTGGTTACCGTGCTTAATGACCCAAATTTGAATGCAAAACAACAGCTGACTTTGTTTGTTATTCGCACAAAAATGGCCAGACATTTAAATCGAGAAAGCTACAATTGTCAAAATCACATATTTTTTATAGCACTAACATGCGCAATACAGTCCTCGCCTGCTTAATAACAGGATCTCTAAGTCTGTTCGATTATTAGCTTTGAAATAATAGCCTGTTTAATTACATGCTATACGAAACTCGGCTGTGCAAACCTTCAAAGACTAACCTGTCAACTACAAGCCCATACTCCTCATACAAACTTAGATTTCCTACCGTTTCCATAGAAACCGGATAAACCCTGCCAAAAACAACAAAAAACCATGAATTTCAATCGAATTCCGCCGCGAAATCTCTTTTCTTTGAAGTTGTGACTGAACTTTTTTGATCATAACCGCTTATTTCATCGATATTAAACTATGCGACCTTCTTCCGCTGCCCGTCAACCGACGGCAGCGGGCGCACGACCAAAGAGCCGCAAACTCAAAGACCAGCCAGCCAACATCGATGCGACAAATGCGCCAGGTAACGTTTTTTACCATACTTTGTTTACTTTTAGGGAGAAAAACTATAATGTAAATAGTCGCGTTTGATAAGAATGTTTAGAGAGTAAAAAAATTATTTACTTTTTGAGTTGAAAACAGCTGATGGATTGATATGAATGATGAGATAGAAGCTAAAAAAAGTTCTGAACATCTTTGGAATGTTGTTTCAGCAAAACATAGACTAGATTTTAGCCAAATATTAAAGGAAACGAAAGAATAGAAACAACACCTTCCGAAAACAATGAGAATCCACTCTCAATCTAAAAATTATATAAATCAAGAAAGAATAAGCTTTATAGGTCCTGTAGAACACCTTTCTCATCCCATACAACAAAAAAAATACTAAAAAAACACATAATCTTCATGTCTTAATTTTTAACCACAAATTATTGAAACAGCCAAAAACGTTTTTATACCCAAAAAAACAAGTAGAAAAACATCAATTTTTGTCTAAAGTACGCCAGACCTTTATCAACAAGCTCAACGACTATCAGATATCAACTGTTAGCTTAATCTTTCCAAAACGACAATCGAATATCTAAACAAACAAAAACAGAAAGAAAACAACTTACAAAACCGTTCTGAACCTCACATTCACTTCCTGATCATAGAGTTTCAAGTCTTGATTAGTTTTCTGATGAAATAAGTTCCTAAACTTGCCTTCCACACAAAATTATCAATATATTATCCTAAACACACCTCAACGAGCAAATTTGTTAGCTTTTCACATTTTTTTCGAAGCTAAGACAACATATTACTTTCAAACACCATTCCGCACAAAAATACCTGAATTTCCTTACATAAACCTCATTGAAAACAATATCTAACTTCTTACAACACCTAAAACACTATATTACTTCAGATGAGGTTGAAGAACTCAACTTTCGAGTCAAAGATCGCCAAAACCCAGTGGGACCACGGGGATTCTTGGATACGATCAGAGAAAGCGTTGTGACACGCGGTGCCGACAAAACAATTGACGTCAAGGAGACGCTCAAACGTCCACTAACAGGTAAATAACCTAATGTCTCTTTGACCGTTATATCAAACAGCGAAACAGCAATCTTTTTAGTGTTTTGCCTCAATATTTGATTAAAATAGCTCATGATAATTAAGTAAATCATGTTTTTAAACGTAAAAAGTTAATTTGAACTTACTAAATTAATTGATCACACAAGTTACAATTCTAACAAGAAAAAAGGAAAAAACCACGACAAAAAAAATAAATTTTGGGAATTTTGTTAATTTATTTGAGTCCCGCCACGAAAACACTCTTGGCATTCTGTTTTTCTTGCAAAATAATATAATTTTAGAAATTTATCAGGCTTTTTGATCAAGGTAACTCAAGATATTTGCTAAAATGCCAATTTTTGTTTTAATAATATAAGTAATAATTGAGTTAGATGAATCTAAATGCAAAGGTTGACATTCCTTAGTGTTATATATTAATGTAGGCTTATTTCGCCGCCGGGTACCAGCTCAACCGGCTACTTCTAGCACAGCGCAACTTTCAAATCAACCAAATCAAAATATTCCGGAGGATAGGATTAGCATCGATGCAGGTAGGTCTTTTAATTTAGTTTATTTTGTGTTTAGACCAGCTTTTCTTAATGTTCGTTTGTTAACTGATTTGCTTCATTTCAGAACCTGATTCACCAGAAATCATTCGAACTGCTCCAAGACAGAACTCTGAGACACTGTCCATGTTAAATTTGAAAGCTGTTAATGGATTGGGACTTGATATTACCGAATTCAACTCGGTCGACTTTGGAAAGTTTGAAGATATAGGTATGTGACTTTATTTTTGATTATTTGGTGTTTAGGTTTAAGGATTTTGTCAAGAAGCTTGACATTTACTTGAAGGAAGGTTTCAAGCAGGGTTTGGTATAAAAATCATAGGAAATTAAATCTATTTTAATCAAGACGTACGGTATTGTTTTAGGTATCATGAGAAAAAGAAAAACCTTTGAAACTTTCTTACTTTTAAGCTTTTTATCTTTATGTTGGCCGGAAATGTTGATAAAATATTATAATGAGCCACCTTTTCAGATGTGTCATTTCTGGCCCGATTAGTTTGCTTCGAGTCTGATGTTATTGATGAGGAAGAAGCTTGGACTTGGGATTCCCTCTTTGCCGCGGTTTCAACCGAAATTCGGGAAGACATGATGAACAATGACGAATCAGATGAAGATGAAACTCCGCCACAAACTTTTGGACATTAAACTTGAATAAACTATGAATGTAATTTAGGCTAAACTAATAAAAATGTTGTAGCTCTCACACTATCAATATTTTTTGACTTAGCTTTCTTTATCCGCCTCACAATTGCAATAACTTCCTTTACAAACCAAATTTTTATAAAGATTTGATATAAATCTCTTCATTTTAAAGGTAAAATGCCAAATCTAAGGCCGAGCATATTAAAACTAGCATGTGTAATATTGGCGTTTCTTATAATTACCTATCTGCTCTCTTCTACTATACCTGATTGGAAGAGAGTCGCCTCAACACTGCCATTGGAAACTGTTGTTGATAAGGAAAATCAAGAAATTGTACAGAATTTGAAGGAAGTCAAGTCTGGAATTGAAGATAAGGTAATATTTTGAAAAAACTTAAAGGTATTGATACCTAAACATTGAAAAAATAGCTTTTTTTGACTATTGGCAGCCATTTTAAGCCCAAATTTTTGTTAATAATTTCAAAAATTTTTAGACCCCACTGATCCTCCTCTACACAACAGTGTTCCGAGAAGCCCCCAGGCCACCTACTGATTGTAAAGTAAAATGTGATTTCTCGACGAACAAAGATGACATACGAATTGCGGATGCTGTAGTATTTCATGGCGGAGACTTTATGGTGTCAGACGTGCCTAGAGAGAGGGGCCAACCTTTCCAAAAATGGGTTTTCTGGTCGATGGAAGCGCCTGGAGCCAAGTTTTTGACCGAAAAGGATGGAATTCCAGGTAAGTTGGATTTGGGGAGGCTTTGGTAGGGTTTTTGAAGAAGGTAGGGTAAACTAGGGCAGGGTCGAACGAGGTGGTTAGGGTAGGTTCGTTTAGGGTAGGGTAAGGGTGGTTTGAGAGTAGGGTTTTGTAATATTACTGTAAGATGAGGGCGGGGTAAAGCAAAGTAGGGTAGGACAAACTAAAATCAATACTATGTGGACGAAATGTAAATCTTTTTATAAAGGTAGGGTACTGTGAACTTAAGGTATTGCATTTTAGGGTAGGGTAGTGTAGGGTAAAGTAGAGTAAGGTAGAGTAGGATAGGGTAGGGTAGGTAGGGTAGGGTAGGGTAAGTATGGCCCTATTACGGTATGGTAAAGTTAGATAAAGCTACTTTAACCTAACCCACTCCCATTTTCAGCCCTAAAACCAGACTGGATGATGACCTATTCCTACGCATCAGATATTAAACATGTCTACGGTGGATTCTTCGTGCCTCCAGATGAGGCTAAAAAACGAAATTTCCATCCAATTGCCAATTTTACTACAGAACAAATCCTAAAAGACAAACAATTTCATGGAGCTATCGGCTTCATTTCGAATTGTGTCAATAAGGAAAGGCTTCGCGTGGCTAAAGCTTTGTCTAGGTAAGGACATTACTATAGACGAAGATGTCAATAGGATGAGAGAGAAGGGTGAATAGAGGTGGACCTACCTCTAAATGGCAAAAACTTTCTTTACAAACCAGAAAATAGCAAGAACTTTCTTTACAAACCAGAAAATAGCAAGAACTTTCTTTACAAAACAGAAAATGGCAAGAACTGTCTTTATAAAACAAAAAATGGTAAGAACTTTCTTTACAAACTAAAAAATGGCAAGAACTTTCTTTCCAGGTACATACGAGTAGATATCGGTGGTAAATGTGCCTACGACAAGTCAAAAGTTGATTTATGCCCCCACGGTAAAGATTGCACCCCAATAATCAACTGGAGCTACTTCTACCTGGCGTTTGAGAATGTCATCTGTGATGACTATGTGACAGAAAAGATGACCAACACATTGAGTTTACCCATCATACCAATTGTAATGTCAAAGAGAGTTTACAAGAAGTAAGCGAGATAAGCTTAAAATTATGTGCTATGCCTAAGGTTGCATAACTAAGCCTAAAATTGAGTAACTAAGCCTAAATTTTCTCTGTTAAGCCTAAATTTACTGCCTTAAGCCCAAACTTATGTGCTAAGCCTAAACTTGCGTTAATAAGTTTAAACTGGTGTTCCATAAGCCTAAAATTGCGTAACTAAGCCTGAAATTGTGTGCTGCTAAGCCTAAAATTGCGCAACTAAGCCTAAAATTGCGTAACTAAGCCTAAAATTGTGTGCTGCTAAGCCTAAACTTGCGTAACTGATGTAAGCATAAAATTATGTGCGCTATGCCTAAAATAGTGTAACTAAGCCTAAATTCTCTGCGCTAAGTTTAAAATTATGATGTAATCCAAAAGTTGTGTAACTAAGCCTGAATTGTCTGCTAAGCCTAAGCTTGCCTAAATAAGACCAAAGTTGCAGCGTTAAGCTTAGAATGCGTGACTGAACCTAAAATTATCTGCTAAGCCTAAAATTGCGTAACAAAGCTAAAAGTGCTTTGCAATAAGCCTAATCATAAGCCTTAAGTTCTGTACACTAAGCCTAATGTTAATTACCACAATTTCAGTCGATTCCCACCAGAAGCATTCATAGCTGTGGACGACTTTAAAAATGTCAAGGAGTTGGCTAAACACTTGACATATTTGATGAAACATCCAAAAGAATACGTCAAGCTGTTCGAATGGAGGAAACAATGGGGAAGGGCGGCTTGGGAGAGCTCTGGCTATGAAAATGGTAGGTTTTTAAAGTTTTAATCGAAAATGTCATATGGACTTGCTGTTGTAGGTAAAAGGGTTTAAAAATGAAAGTATTAGGCTTAAAGAGCTCTAAAATTTAGGCCTAAAAAGCCTTAAAAATTGATTTTTTAGGCTAAAAACCGTTAAGGACCTTTTTAATACAAAAAACATTTTAAAACGATGTATGTTAGGCTTAATCTATCCAAAAATTTATATTTTAAGTCGAAAAGTCTTAAAATAAAGTTTTTTTAAACGTTTTAAATGGTTGGACACTACCTTAGGCTAAAAATACTTAAAATATAAAAATTTAGGCCTGTGCGGACTATGTAAAAAGCTCCAAACAGACGGCTTAAGTAAGACCGAGCCAATTCAAAATATCACAGAATGGCGAGAAGAACGTGGTGAATGCTCTACCACCGTTCTACCCTCATCCTTCTACCGGTAAAGTGAAGATTTTAAAAATTTTCAAAAAAGGCCATTATTAGACCGAATTGAGCTTGCCAACGTGTTTTGTGTCATAATATTGTCATATCATGTCATAATTGAGATCTTAATATATTGTATACCAATATCCTCATCATATATACGTTCTCTTAATACCAATATCTACTCTAATATACACTGTATTTTCGATTATTTTGTTACATACACCAAGTTTTACCGATTTTACGGGTAATAAACACTATATTTTTTATATTATACTGGATGTTTTATATACTTTTTGATGTTTTTTCGTTGATCTTTGTAAATTTTGGACTACTATAGGCCTATTTTAAACATTTTTCGACCATTTCAAGTAAATTTGAAGTACATTTTTACTATTGTAAGTCAATTTGTGATATTTTTCGACCATTTTTGGTCGATTTTAGGTATTTTCTGACCGTTTTAAGCTTATGCTACATCATTTTTGACTAATCCTTTTAAGAAAAATTCTTGTTCTACCCCAAAAGTGTCAAAACACCCCCTAAATCGTGAAAAAATCATGTTTTGCCATATCATACCCTTCCCTATACGAAATTTCTTTACCCCAACCCAAAAATTTTTTACCCTGCCCCCAGGGACGTCGCTACGGTTTTTCTCTGGGGGGGGGGGGGGGGGGGTCGAAAAAATTTTTTTTCTATTTTTCAAAAAAAATTTTTTTTTGTTTTTCCGCGTACAGGTACCTGTGGAATTTTTTTTCGGATCGGCTCTGGGGGGGGCGCGGGCCAAACGACGTCCCTGCCTGCCCCAAATTAAGCCCAATCTTACACATTTACAATCCCCAAATACAACCACAACACCACCAACTATCGTTATAGTTATTTATCAAGTTCAGTGCGGAGGACGTTAATGTGAAGAGTAATATTAGTTAGGGTTCAATCGTTAATCTCTAGTCGACTTGTTATTACAACATACAGCTTTTTACATGATATTCGTTGTGGTGAGATCCTGGTTAATTGCCGCCCAAAAAGTCTTTGATTCGGTGTAAGAGGGGGGTCGGCGGTGCTACGTACGAGTTGTCTGGGTAGCGGACCGAGAAAATCTTGGGGTAGTTGTGCTTGAACTGGAAATAGAAAAATATTATTTTTAATTTTGGGGAGGTCAAGGGTAAGCGCTAAGAAGGAGGGGGGAGTATGATTAGACATGGGGATAGGGTCGAGCCTGAGCATTATTTGGGTCGGGCCGGACCTGAAAAGTGAGCCCGACCCATTCTCCATGTCTAGATATGATGGGGGGTAGGGGAAAATCAGGCAAAAGTGTAGGTTAGAGAGAGGCGCAGGGGGAGGCTAGGATTGGTAGTAATGAGGGGGAAGGGAAAATGGGGCTAATATGTGGTAGAGACGGACTGGTTGATCTGTATTTGCCCCGTCCAATTTTTTTCAAACAAAAATCCTACCCTGCCCAATTTTTTTATAAATTCTACCCGTCCCTTTTGGATATTTTTTTTTCTGTTCCACACGCTATCTCAACAAAAAAAAATTCCGCCCCCCCCCCAAAATTATTTTGCCCTTCCCCTTCCTTCCCTAGCCAACCTGTAAAAATTTTTCTACCCTACCCAGTCCTGCCCCCCCCACCTTCCCCTACCCCCAAATCAAGTCTAAAAACCAAACTCACATCCATGAGCTTCCGATGCCGCTCCAGCTCAGTCAAATTCTTATCAGCGATAAGCCCGTCCAATAATCCAGTCAACTGTGTGTCCAAGAACTGTCGCCTCGACTCCAGATCGTCGTTGTTGTAGTCGATGACTCTGGCGAATCGTTTCGTGCTTTGAGCCAGCGGTGGGGATTCGTTGTCGGGTCGGCGGACTGGCGTTTGGAAGGATTGGGACGAATTGAATGCGAAGTTCTGCGAGGTTTTGGAGTGGAAACTGAAAAATATGGCAATATTAATGTGCTAATAAATGAAAAAGTGATATTACTGTGAGTATAGATATATATTGGTGCAATATAACATAAACACACACAGCGTGGCACACTCTAATTAAAAATATTGTTTTAGGTAGAAAGGTTCTAAAGCTTTTTTTAAAATATTTCACTACTTTTACTTCACAATGGTTCTGAAACCAAACTTTTAAGCCTAAAAACTTCATTTTTAAGCCTAAAAATTTCAATTTCAAGCATAAATTTAAATTTTTAGACACAAATTCATTTGTAAGCTTAACATCAAAATTTTAAGCCTAATTTGAATCTTCAGGCCTAACTTATGGTTTTAAGCCTAAAAATTTCAGCTTAAAACCGAAAATAACATTTTTAGGCATAATTTCCATTTCTAAGCCTAAATGTCTATTTCAAACCTATAAATTTCATTTTTAAACCTAAAATTTCGTTTGTAACCTTGAAATTATATCAGTATACTCAAAATATCCCTAATCCTAAAATATTCTTTTAAACATCCCCTAAACCTTAAAAACGTTAATACCTCAAAATCATAAGCCTAAAACACAAAATATTCAAAATCTAAGCATAAAACACCAAAAACCCCCAAAAGCTAAAGCATTCACAACACAACCACTGCACTGCACTCTTAAACTATAGGCGCATGCCTCCTGAATCGCTGCTTAAAGCTGCCTGACTTTGTCAGCTTGACTGGTCGACTGTAGTCGCCTTTGGTGGTGCAGACGGGCGTGGCGCGGTCCTTGTCATTTAATGAAGCGGCCCGTCGCACCTTGGGCGGCGGTCCACCTGTGCTGTACTTTGTTATTGCTTTATCTGTTAGACGAAATAAAGTCGTGTCATCCTTGAACTGTTTCCCACCCGAAACGTCTTCTATTATGCTATCGGAGATGAATTTTTCTAATACTCGAACTGCATTTACGCTGAAATAAGCCAGAATTAGAGGATATAGCCAAGAATTACAGAATAAGTTAAGTATCAAAGCAAAAAACACAAAAAAATTAGAAAAAATCTATCTACAACAACATAACTACAGCAATAATATCTATAACAATATAAAAAAAAACCCCCAAAGACGATAAAAACAAGCTTTAAAACATAAAACAAATGGTTCAAAATCCTCTTCCAAAACCTTTCAAACCCATTCCTTACCGTTCACACTTCCTGTCAGTAAATATCCTGGGTAATATATCAGTTAACACATCAGCAGCTGATTGACCAGAAAATGAATCAGAGTAAGTTTTTAAAAACTTTCGACAATCTGCACGTGGAACTTCGTCAATAAATGCGTGTATCATATCGTGCCACTATAAATATTGCGTTTTAGATTTCGAAATTGAAAAATATAGGTACGGTACAAGTAGTGTAACTTCTGAATTATTGTAAACTGAAAACTTTTAATATTCACATCAGTTGAGACATAGAATATACTAGAATAATATAAAATTTTGAGTCTTTACCTATGTTATGAAAAAAGTTTTGACGAAAAGTAAAAGACCGTCTAAGAAAAGACATACGGGTACGGAAAAGCTACTGTAACTTTCCTCATTCTGTAAAATAAATGACTTCCTTTGACAGTTCGATATGAAAAATCATGCGCTATATTCATACAAAATTTCAAAACGCTATCTATCTTCTAGCGATAATTATGTTAAAATTAGTTTACCACATCCCTGTACCTCTCTAACATCAACTTATAACCATACCCAAGTCGGTTGAAGATTCACAGAATCGGCCATTTTGCCTAAATCAGTAAGACACAAATGAAAATACAAACCTTTCGTGTCGCTTCGAACTTGTTTCGATTTGCCGTCGTCGTTGCAGAATCATCAGAACGCTTGAAAGTCGATGAACATGGCGTATGGCTGATTGGTGTAGGTAGATAATTTAGATTTTCCGAATTTGATGTACATCGTCTAATTTGACTCATTCTATCCAATTTCCCATGAATAATGGCGGAACCCCTTTCCGCGGAAGTAAAAAAGAAAATATTTACGGAAATGTGGTTTTCAAATTTACTTTTCGTTCAAAGGGTTTTCGTCTTGGGACCAAACAGAGTAGATAATGTTCTTGGATTTTACTCAAAACTTACCGTATCGAAACCAAAAATAAGTGTGGTATTACAAAAAATGTTGGCAACAGTAAAACTGACACATTTTTGTACTATATAGTTGTAAAAATTCATTGCAACCTTCAATTATCGCTAGTCTACGACTAATTATATAGAAGTTCACTTGAACCTTTGATGTATTTTCGTAATACTGCAATAAATTATACTTTTCTAGCTATCACAAGTTAGTATCCTTTCATCTTTAATCATAAGTTCAGTCTATAATTAGCCATCTTACAAATCTCGCACCAAATTTTGTTATTTTGTTCCTTCGTATAAAATGTCACACGCTTTGCTGCGTCCACACTTCTCTCGTCTCTAATTTCTTTTTATCTCAAGTTCAATATAACTTCAATAAACTGAATTTTAAAGAAGAAGACAATATCGAATTTGGTGAAAACTGATAAAACAGCTTTTATTTGATTTTTAGAGCAAATTTGTTTCCAGTTTTTTGCTCATGAATAATATGTTTTTTGTTGTTGCTTATGATACGTGTAATAAATTTATTCGTTCGATATTAATTTTTTAATTTTTATTTATATTTGCGGATCAGTTGAATGTGCTTAGAACGTATTTACATTGTTTAGTTTTAGATTTGGCTAAACTTGGGGGACAATGAGTTCGAATTTAAACACCAGATCAGCGGGTAAGTAATGTTAATATCTTTGATTGGTTTTATGTTTAGGAGTGAAGAGACTGCTACAAGAAGCTAAAGAACTGCATAAACCAACTTATATGTTCTATGCTAAGCCGTTAGAGGTAATTTTATCTTTTTTTGTCGTATTTTCAACAGAAATACATCTGATTTTTATGGATAATATGAAAAATGCTAAAGATAGTATTAAATTCGATAGAATTTGATGAAATACGATAGATTGGGACTTTATCTTGCGGTGACATCGATTTTATGCAATTTTTTCAGGATAATCTATTCGAATGGCATTTTACATTCAGAGGGCCACCAGATACTGACTATGAAGGAGGGATTTATCACGGACGGATTATTTTGCCTCATGAGTATCCAATGAAGCCTCCGAATGTTGTTTTGCTTACGGTTAGTAATTTCTCTATTTTTTATTATTATTTTAGGCCTGAAAAACTGCGATATTAGGCATTTGACCTTGTTCTAAACCATAAGCTAGTACAATATCTTCCACGTTTGTCTCTAAATATTGAATTTTAGCCAAATGGTCGATTCGAAACGCACACCAAGATATGTTTGAGTATTTCTGGCTATCATCCAGAAACTTGGCTTCCTTCCTGGTCGATTCGTACCGCGATCTTGGCTTTAATCGGATTCTTTCCAACTGATGGGGCTGGTGCATTAGGCTCAATTGAGTGTTCTTCTGCGGTCAGAAAACGTCTGGCCACACAGTAAGGATCTTTGAAATTCCCTTTGAGCTTTAGATAACAAAAATAAGCCTGCGGAAGCGAAATTGCGCTTAGAATCGCATCTTGATTTTGTCATAGGTGTACCTATGATAATATTAAACTTTTTACCATTATTAAAGAAGTTTTTAAGCTCGTAATGACTATATTTCTAATTTTACTATAATTGTTGTTTCAGGTCAGTCGAAACCAGTTGTGAAACTTGCGGATGTTGCCTAAAAAACGTGCTACTACCCACAGAAGATTCAGAATCCTCGCAAAAGCCGTCATCATCAGGAGACAAGTCTGATATTCCCCAAAGTTCATTTGCTGCTCCAAAGCCTAGTGATGGTAACGTGCCAAGAAATAGTGGTCATGACGACAATCTCCCAAGCGGTCACGATGACAAAGCTTCAAGTCGTCATGATGACAAAGCTTCCAGTGGTCAGGATGACAAGAATGACAAACCAAATGAAAGCGAAGAGAATCCAAGTTCAAGTACGACTACTACAGACGAATCTCGTCCAAGTTCGCAAAACTCGAATCGGCGCCAATCATCTCCACCTACTATAAGATCGGGTCAAGCCCAACGACCTCGTCCAAACACCCCAATCCCCTTGAATGTCATGGCTTTTGGAATTTGCATTTGTTTCGCTGCCTTTGTTGGCCTATTGGCCAGAAAACTGACTTTTTAATGGCCATATATTTATCACAAGAAAATTTGGCCGACAATTTTAAATTTGGCCTTAATTGTAAAAGTGCAAAAGTGATTTATTACCATATATATAATACAGGTGTTGTACAAAATTTAAGAAAGAATTTAAATAAATTTTTTATAGTTGTCATTTGGTTGGATTTTACTCTGTTTTAAGCCTAAAACCGAGGCACTAAAACTAAGACTAAATGTTCTTTAAGCTTAAAGTTTAAACGAAAGGATAAGAAGTTAACTACGTCCTTAAAGAGAATTAAAATAAGCCTAAATAACACTCAAAATATCGTAGCATTTGTAATGATAAACAAAAGAAACATTGACGTTGAACGGAATGCCAGGATTTATGAATTTGCGCGAAAAAACCGCTTCAAATAGACTTTTTTATTTTTTTTCTGACAAAATTCTGTAAATATCTTTTTGTTGTTTCAAGTCGACATAAAAGCTAAAAGTAAGTTTGGTTTTGGGTTGTAAAAGGAAGTAAGTGATAGTCGCTATCATTATAAACAAGCTTGGATTAGTTTTAAGCTTTACGAGAGCTGATTATGTTAGTTATAGTCGACCTTGTTTTAGATAGACATTCCTTCACATAACTTTAAGTATTTTGCCTTCTTTGCCTCAATTTTTTGGTCATGTATAACGCTTTATATTCTCTACAACATGAACATAAAATACTAGAAGTTTTCACAAAATTTAGGCAATTGTTTCAGATTTTCATTTGCAAACCGGTTGATTTCAAAGCATTGAGAAGATGCCGGAAGTTCCAGACAAGTCGCCGTCGGATGCGATTGTACAAGTCTTTCAACAGTATTACAAAATTGCCAGTAATTCTATTGGCACTCGTGTCACGTTAATTCAAGTGGGTTTGTAGGGAGTGTTAACTTGGATGGTCATGGATAATATCGAAAATTTTGATGTTTCCGGTGCAATCTTTAAGGCTGACGATTGATTTAGCTTTACTTTAGTGTTAAGGAAGCTAGAAATTGTTTTCACTGGTATTGCGCTTTACGTTTTTCTAATTTAACGATATTATCTTAGGACCAGAGCATCCGTGATCACATCTCAAATTTAGCCGAAAATCCAGTTCCAGCTGTTGCTCTCATAATTTGTAAAGTAAGTTTTTGACATTGTTGTTTTGATTTTTAGGTAAGAATCTTTATCTGTTTACTGTAAGGCTCTCAAATTCTTTTTTTCAATATTATCCGTGTCAAGGCAAAGTCTTTTCGAATTTAAACCTCAAAAAACGAACTTTTAGTTAATCATGGTGCTGTCGGATCAACGTAAGCACGCGAGAATGTTAGCTGAAGCTGGGTACATTCCAATTTTGGGCAGATTTACCGAAAACGATTATCTTCCAGTCAAACTGATCGCCAAGTACATTCAACTTCAAAGTCGTCTAAATAACTCGATGAAAGATGCGGCTAGTCCAAGCAAAATGGAGCCAAAGCGTCGCACTAAAGAAATGGTCTTTGTTTTGCCGATTTTGGATGAGGTGGGGTTTTAAAAGTGATTTTAAGGGGATAAATTATATTGTAGTAGGTATATTTAGGGTTGTTTGGGGAATTTGTGTGAATATAGTCAGGGAATGCGTTTTTAAGGGTATACAGTACATTTTGTGTAACTTTTGAGTATTTTGCACTTTATAAAATACGGTTTTCAGCTTCAACAAGCTGCGATCAGTCAAAATACTCTGCAGAAGATCAAAGGCATGGTGTCTCTGTCTTTCAATTTGAATCCGGATAAATCTCAAGTTAACTGTGTCATTAGATGTCTTTTACATGTTGAACCAAAGGTATGTTGATTTTTTTGACATTTGAGACGTAAAAACAGGAGTTGTAACGAAATGCCAAACTCGGCACGAAGTTTGAAAATTTTGGTTTTAAATGTGCAATCATAGGCTTGATTTATGGCACTAAATATATGGTAGTGTAAAGGTTTTTATTAAATTTTGGAAAGAGCAGTTAAGTTTTGGCAAAGTTATGACATTTCTAGACGAACAAGGCTTTACCTACTATAATATAAATTTTTGCTTTTAAAAAATGTATTTTTTAGCAAATTGTTGACCAAATTCACAAATCAGGCATTGAAGAAGTCGGCTACGTTCACACGAACGATGATGGCACCAAAGAAACCATGATGTTCTACAAGGACACCGATGTGAACATTGAAGACGATCTACCTCAATATCTGGATGAAAATATTGCAGTATTTGATCCAAAAACGGCTTTGGCCACAGGAGGATGTGCTCAAAACGCTGGTTGGTTCTCATCGGCCAAACAACTCTTGGGTTTCTGGTAGATCAAGATAATATTACTATGCTTTACTCTACTGTCATGGATATTTTTATGTGTCTACAATAGTAATGTTGAATGATTTTGTGTGTTACAGTTATTATGAAGCATTTTAGTATATTGTAGTGTCTAAATATGCTTGGGTTGGTATTAGTGTGGTAGAAGGTGCATAATGATATATTATAGTAGATGAACAGAGTAATGTAGACGTTTTTGTTTGAAAAAAGTGTAAATTTGATAGTTTGTGGAATTCTGTGGCATTTTGTAGTTTTTAGCGAAGGATTCGAAGAAAATTGAGCTGGAAAGAAAGTTCTTGCAAATTTTATAAAAATACGTTTTTTGGTTATTTTTTTGAAATTTATTAAATTGAACTTGTATTCTTGTTGCAATAAACCGTTGTCAATAAATTTTATTTGGGTCTGGATTTGTTTGGCAATAGCGATTTCTACTAATGCATCAAGCCCTACTCTTATGCACTTATCCTAACTCTTAATTCTACCCATGACGCCTAAGCGTACAATAAGCTGTAGCCTCAGCCCTATCTGTATTCTGAGGCTTAATCTTAGGTTTTTTAAATCTAAGTTTGAATTTTAGTCTTCTTATGCCTAACTTTAGGCTTAGCCCCGGCCTTGAAACTATAGGATAAAGGTTTAATATAAGTCACTTTTAAAGCGTATATCTTGACCTTCTTCTAGAATTAAGCCGTAAAAGTGCTACAGTGTAATCGCTAAACGTCGCTTTATTTGGTCGTTGACCTTTCAGCGTAAAGTTATATTCAAGAGGATATGATTTGCAATAAATATATATTTTTTGTAAAATACGACAAAAAAGCCTACGGCTAGGGCTTAGGCTAGGTGTGGAACAGAACAAGATTAGGAACTAAGACTAGGGATATATGTAAACAGTTAGGCCAACATACTGCTAGGTTAAATATAGCTAGGCCAGGCCTTCTGTTTAAAGTTTGACATAGCTTTAATGTGATTTGTGATGGTCGTTGAATTTTGAGGTAGGGTAGAGTATGGTAGGGTAGGGCAGAGTACGCTTTCTATCTAATAAATTTCTCGCGGCATTACCTAATGTTATGATATAATATTAAGATAGCCTTAGAGAAATTGCAAGGAACGGTGTTACGCAACTTTTTCGTATGCAACATTATGGTCTTATATAAGGTTTGCCTCGATGTAAAACGACCCAACAAATGACTGCGAGTGCTGGGATTTTACTCCGTTTTTCTGCGAGCTATATCGGATAATATTGGCTAAAACTTTTTTTTCTTAAACTGTGGTTCAATAGTAGTGGTAAGGGTATACTTGATACGTAGCTAGGACAAAGCAAGGACACGGTAAAGGTAAGGTACGGTAGAGGCAAGAATAAGTTACGAAATGATAGGAATTGGCATGATAGGTCAGAGTCGGGTGTGTTAAGATATGTCTTGGTAATGAAGGGTACTGTAGTAGGGTAGGGTAGGGTAGGATAAGGTAGGGTAGGGTAAAGTAGGGTAAAGTAGGGTAGGGTAGGGTAAGGTAGGGTAGGGTAGCGTAAAGTAGGGTAGGGTAGGGTAGGGTAGGATAGGGTAGGGTAGGGTAGGGTAGGGTAGGGTAGGGTAGGGTAGGGTAGGGTAGGGTAGGGTAGGGTAGGGTAGGGTAAGGTAGGGTAGGGTAAAGTAGGGTAGGGTAGAATAGGGTAGGGTAGGGTAGAAGCTTGTTTAAGATCACATTCCTTTAAGCTTCCTGTTTCGATTTCACTGTGAATCGACTCTTGACCTCGATTTATTTGCATAGCAGTAGTTTGCGCATTTGTAAAGCGTTTTCCACCGCCACCCGGTCCATTAGCCTAAATCGCGCTTTTTGATTAGCCTAAACTGTTTTCGATCAATTTGAAAAAATTTTAAGTTTAAAAAATTTTTTTTTTAAATTTGATTTTTTTGTGTTAAAAATCAACTATAGCGGCTATTTTAGTCTAGTCTGTTCTCACTTTAGCGTTTTTTAAACGTTTTTTCTCTGACTAACCTTTCACTTTATTGTACTCTCTCGCTTTACGTGTGTTACTGAATAAGGGAATCGGGGAGTTTATTTTAGCCGCTTTAATAAGGCTTTTAAATGATTTACAAGTGATTTACAAAGTGTTTTTTAATTGATTTTTGAAATTTTTTTGAATTTAAAATACAGCATAAAAGGGTTAGGGTTAGTTCTTGAATTAGAGTTAGACTAAGGATACGGTTTTGTTTTAGGCGTACGCTTAGATTTAAACTGTTTTAGGCTTAACGCTAAGCTTAATCTAGGGCTTAGGTTTGGGAAATAAGTCTTGGACTAGGGCTAGAGCTAGAGCTAGGACTAATTTTTTTAGTTTTAGTTTTAGACATAAGCTTTAACTTATGGCTAAAAGAAATGCTAATGCTAGGGTTAAAACTAAATCTAAAGCTAGGCTATGGCTAGGGCTTGAACAACATCTAAAGCTAAGCTAGGGCTCTGGGCTAGGGCTCTGGGCTAGGGCTCTGGGCTAGGGCTCTGGGCTAGGGCTCTGGGCTAGGGCTCTGGGCTAGGGCTCTGGGCTAGGGCTCTGGGCTAGGGCTCTGGGCTAGGGCTCTGGGCTAGGGCTAGGGCTAGTGCTTAAGCTGAGTTGGGCTGGGCTAGGCTAAAATGTGTGCCGTTTTAAAAGCAAGCAAAGTTAAAAATTGACCCAAATAACTAAAAAACCTAGCATTTTCCTTATCAGTAACGTCTTTTTTACTTTTTTTCTATAAATTCCTTTCTCTGACCACTCTCCTTCTTCACCACGCTCTCTCGTTTCCACTGTTATTGTCGGTCAGTTTTTTTGGCTTTTGCGAAATCAACACGTTTTGTGTTAGTAACTTGATCGTGCTAAACGGTTCGCTTTTTCGCTTTTTTCCGTCGCTTTTTAATTCAATCAAACAGATTTTTTGTCAACGTGAATTTGAGAATAATAGAGAGGTTTTGGTGAGGAACGGCAAGAGAAATGTGAATTTGGGTAAATTGTTATAGGGTTGTTTACTTTGGTTTTAAAGCAAAGATTTTAACATTTTATAGGATTAGGCTTAGGCTTGGGCTTGGGCTTAGGGTTAGGCTTAGGCTTAGGCTCAGGCTTAGGCTTAGGCTTAGGCTTGAGTTTAGGTTTAGGTTTAGGCTTAGGTTTATGCTTAGGTATAGGCTTAATTCTAAGCTTAGGCTTGGGTTTAAGCTCAGCTTAAGGCGCAGGTTCAGATTGAAGCTTAGATTCAGGCTTAGCCTTAGTCTTAGTCTTGGACTTAAGCTTGAACTTAGGCTTTAGTTTAGACTCAAAATTGGGCTTAGGCTTAGGATTAGGCTTAGGCTTAGACTTAAGATTAGGTTTAGGCTTAGAATTAAGATTAGGTCTAGGCTTAGACTTAAGATTAGGCTTAGGTTCAAGTATAGATTTAGACTTAGACTTAACTTCAGATTTAGGTCTTGAAAAGTGGTTCTAGGTATAGGCTTAGGCTTAGACATGGGCTTGGAGTTGTGTTTGTGTGTAGCCTTGGACTTAGATTTAGTTGCTTAAATTTGAATTTAGGTTTGGATTTAGCTTCAGGCTTAACCTGAGTCGTAGGAACCGACTAAGGTTTAGGCTTAGGCTTATGCTTCGCCTTGTGGTAAGGCTTAGGCTTAAATTTCATATTGTTAGGCTTACATCTCATAACTCTAAGCTTATTAGACCTTTTTTAAAGTTCAAAACCATTTTTTAAATTTGCAAAAATGATTGACGTAAAATCATATAGTGATAGACAATGTCACCTTCTGTTTTGACAGGTTTGATCTTAACAAATCACTTTAATATCTTTTTTATTACAATGATATAACTTTTCAATATACTAATTTTAAACTAGGCTAAGATAATAAAAAGGGTTTTGAGTACTAATGGACCACTTTTTACGAGCCAATTTGGCCAAAAAACTTCAAACGGCGGTCATTTGTTATTGTTTTTTCGTTTTTTTTCATTTTGAAGCCAGCCGTCCTGATTTTCTCTTGTTTTTCGCTGATTTTACTAGACATTTTTTAAAACTTTATGCAGAAAGTGTCATTTCTTTGTTGGTGTCGGGTTTCACTTTATCTTTTTCGAATTGTTATAAGTTGGAGGAGTAAGGATAGGGGTAGACAAGGCGGGGATGACACGTTGTGTGGTAGGGTAATGAAGTCTCAAAATAGTTCATAGTAAGGCAGGATAGGGTAAAACAAGATGGGTAGGGTAGGGTGATGCATTTTAATGTAGGGTAGGGTAGAGTGATGTATGTTAAAGTAGGGTAGGGTAGAGTGATGCATTTTAATGTAGGGTAGGGTAGAGCGATGTATGTTAAAGTAGGGTAGGGTAGAGTGATGCATTTTAATGTAGGGTAAGGTAAAAAAAATGGGTAGGGTAGAGTGATGTATGTTAAAGTAGGGTAGGGTAAGAAGTCGTAAGAAAAAACAAAGTAGATTACGGTACGGTAGTGTAGCATAAGGCAGGGTAAATTAGATTAGGGTAAGGCACAGCAGGGTATGTCAGGGTAGGATAAAGTAGGGTAAGGTACGGTAAGGTCAGATGTAAGGTAAAATAAGGTAAGGTGGAGCAAAGGAGGATAGGGTACGGTAAAGTAGGGCACAAAATGACAGGGTGAAGATAGGAGAAAGCAGGATAGGGTAACGCAATAGTAAGGTGACAAGGGCAGGGAAAATATGGTGTGGGTCAGAAAGAGTAGAGAATATCAGGCGCGAGTAGGGTAAAGCTGGGGTCGGAAGGGTAGGGTAGGGTAGAGTCGGGTAGGATAGGGTAGGGTAGGGTAGGGTAGGGTAGGGTAGGATAGGGTAGGGTAGGGCAGAGTGGGGTAGGTAGGTTACATTACGGCGCGACGTGATACGGCAGAGTATGACATTTACTAAAATCCAAACATTTTTAGCTTGGGCCCCTCGGAAAGATCAGGAAAAGAACAGTGATAGCTAAAGTAATATCAGTCGAATAACAAAAAATATAATAAAAAAGATAATCTGAGTTACACGAAGTGATAAACATCTGTTGGAACGATCGAACGTTCTTCTTTTTTACTTTGGAAGCGGTAGTTAGATTTTTGGAAATGACACAGCCCGAGGTAGCTTTTAAAAATAAATTGTAAAATACGAAATAATTTCTAAATTTTCGTCATGGTTTATATTTTTACAAAGCTACTGATAAAATTGACGAACTGTCACAAAAATTATTGGTTTTTTAAAAGTTTCAAGTTTTGATGTTTTGGTTGTTCAATTAATTCTGTGCTTCCTTTCAAAATAAACTGTTGAAGTTATGAGGCACAGAATTAATTGAACGTTTCCAAATGCCACTTTGGTTGTTCATTATATCCTGGGCCCCCTCTCAAAGTAAATTTTTTAAAGTTATGGGGCACCGAATTAATTGAACCATCTTATTTTTAATATAATTTGAAAGTGACTGTACTAATAACCAATTTTCAGATGGTACCTAAACCAAATGACGAGGTAACCGATGATAAACGTAAGTTTGAAATAAAAAATTTTTATTGAATTTGAAAATTTTATTAAATTTATATTTTTAATTATTTTTCATTGCATTTTAATTTTTTTTGCTTTTTTTGCCATTTTTGCAATTTGTGACACTTCGTCCACATTTCCAATAATTTTTGTGGCATTTCGTTAAATTTTTCAAAAATCAATTAAAAAACTATTTAAATTTAAAATTTTTAGTCAACAAAGCCTTAAAATTAAAAATTTTTCTTTTTCGTGCCATGTTCGAAATCAGTTACACTTCGCCCACATTTCCAATAATTTTCGTGGCACTTCGTCAAAACTTTTTACAAAATTTGAAAATCTGTTTAAAATCTTCATTTTAAACAAAATTTGTAGCTTTACTCAATTTTAAAACCAAAAATTTTCAGCAATCGACCCAGCTGAACGTTCATTATTGAACAAGTTGATGCACCAAAAGCTGGCCGAACTGAATGAAGGAGAGGTTGAGGTCAGTTTGAGGAATGACCCTAAATCTCCACTTTATTCCACTCAAACTTTCGAGGGATTGGAGTTGTAAGTTTACTTATCTTTTTTTAAATAAATTGTTACTAGTAGTACCAATGGTACCGTTGGTACCGATTATTAACAAATGGTACTGGTGGTACTATTGGTACTATTAAAATGAAAATTTTTTTAAAAACAGTTTTTTAAACATTTTATGACTTAAAAAAATTGTTTTAATACTAGTGGTACCAGTGGTACTAATAGTAACAAATGTTAAAAAGTGGGAACAAATGGGAAACTAGGACTATATATGGATAGTAACACAACTCTTTAGGAACAAACTTTTGATAGCCGCCATTTACGAAATGGGATTTCAACAGCCTTCTAAAATTCAAGAAGCTTCTTTGCCATTACTTTTGGACCCCCAAACGTAAGTATTTTAAGCTTGCTCTTGTCTTTGCTCTACCCTCCCCTACCTAAAAACAAAAAATTCAGCCCAAGTGACCTAGTAGCCCAATCTCAAAGTGGTACCGGAAAAACCGCTGCCTTTCTACTTACCATGCTTCACCGACTAGACCCTAACAAGTTGTTACCTCAATGTTTATGTGTGGCACCAACCTTCGAACTGGCTCTTCAAATAGGAGAAGTGGCCAAGAAAATGGCCAAGTACTTGGAAACCGTCAAAATCAAAGTGTTGGTTAAAGGGGAAATACGTAAGTCTTTGTTTATTTTGAATATTTTATTTTTAGACGAAATGTCACAAATATTATTGCAAATGTTGACGAAGTGTCAAAATATTTATTGGTTTTTTGAAATTTGTGGTTATTAGTTATGACAAAGTCATAGTTCTGTAAAATACGGATTTTTTGTTTTTTACGAAACGTCACGGAATTTATTGGAAAATTTAACGAAAAGTCACAAAATTTATTATTTTTCTAAAAATATGGAACTAGCTATGTCAATGTTACAGTTTATTGTAAAGTGCGCTTTTTTGTTTTTTTTACGAAATGTCAAAAAATTATTTCAAAATTTGACGAAATGCCACAAAATTCTTTGGTTTTTTATATAAACCATTTTAATGTAAAATACGCGGTGTTGTATTATTGAAATAATTTTAGCCAAAAATTAAAAAAAAAACTAATTTTAGCCGCCCCAGACACCGTACTAACAGAACAAATCATTATTGGTACCCCAGGCAAATTGGCTGATTATTTGTTTAAATTCAAACTCATCGACGCGGCCAATATCATTTGCTTTGTATTGGACGAAGCTGATGTTATGTTGAGTCAAAAGGGATACAAGGACATCAGTGTCAAGATTCATAAGTAAGTAGGCATGGCCGAAAGTTAAAAAATTTTTAGTGAAATCATCTTGGCCAATCCAAAATGTCAATGCTTGTTATTCAGTGCCACTTTTACTGATGTTGTCTACAACTTTGCTGAGAGTTTGATACCGGACATGGCTGCTATTACGTAGGTTGTTTTTAAATGCAATTTAGAATACATTTTAAAACGATAACAATATTATTATTGGTTTTTTTGGTCATTTCAACGATTCCAATAATTTTTGTGGCATTTCGTCAAATTTGAAAAAATTTAAATCTGCGTTCTGTCAAAATGAAAACAACGTTAATTACAGGTTGAAAATGTTATTTAAAACAATTTTGGATTGATTTTAATTTTTTTTGTAATATGTGACACTTCGTTCACATTCCCAATAATTTTTGTGGCATTTCGTCAAATTTTGTAAAAAGGTGGAAAATGCTTTTCTTTTTTGTAAATTAACATGTAAAGGACGAATTTAACAGTGAAAATGGTTTTTTTAACGGAAAACGTTCAGACTCCGAAAAAAGGACCAAACCCTGCCAAACATTCGTCAACTGCTAATTCGCTGTAAGACCCGAGAAGAGAAGTATAAAGCGATCGTTAATATCTACAACACATTAACCATAGCTTCTTCAATTATTTTTACATACACGAGAAGTTCAGCTACTTGGTTGTCAGAGCAATTGAAAAAGACAGGTCGAAAGGTTGGGCTGTTACATGGGGAAATGAGTGCTGATGAGAGGGCAAATATGGTCAAAAAGTTTCAAAATGGAGATTTTAGAGTGCTTATTACCACGAATGTTTGTAGTCGAGGTAGGTTTTCTTTAGTTTTCAAGAGTTTTTTTTTAAATTTTTGGCTACTACATTGAAATTGGCAGGTTTTAAAATTTTCCAATAATTTTTGTGACACTTCGTCAAAATCTAAAATATTTAAAAAATAATGTTTTAAGGGTTACAAACATGCATTTTGATAATTTTTTGGCATTATAAAGTTTTTTAGTTTTTCAATATTTTTTGTGACATTTTGTCAAACAGCCAAAACAGGCAAAAATGACGTTTTTGAAAGTTATAAAAATGAATTTTGACCTTTTTTTTGGCATGATGAAGGTTTTTAGTTTTCCAATAATTTTTGTGACATTTCGTCAAACAGCCAAAACGTTTAAAAATTAAGTTTTTGGGGTTTGTAAACGTGAATCGTGACCAATTTTTGACACGACGACGTTTTCTGTTTTTCCAATAATTTTTGTGACATTTCGTCCAACCGTAAAATTTTAAAAAACTAGACAATTTCCATACCTAAAGCCACTTTCAGGCCTAGACATTCCATCAGTAAAATTGGTAGTCAACTACGATCCACCAGTGACATTTGAAGAGAATCCTCAACCAGATTATGATACCTATTTGCATCGAATCGGGCGTACTGGTCGATTTGGGAAGGGTGGGATTGCGGTGAATTTGGTCGATTCGGTTAGAGCTGAAGGTTATGTGAGAAAGTTCGAGGAGTACTTTAATCGACCGATTGAGCTGATAGCCTTTGATGACTTTGACCGGTTGGATGAGATTGAGGAGGAAAGCTAAATTTCTTTGCTTATAATAGCGCCAGTGGTACTAAAGACATCCGTAGTATCAATGAATTCAGTGGTTGTGCCGTATAAGGTACAAATGGCTTATGCGGTACAAATGACACTTGCAGTACCAATAGCACCAGTGGTACCAATAGTACCGTAACTAAAAAAATCTTAACTAATGTTTTTTTTGTATTTTAGGGTTGTAGAAACATTTTTAAAAAATGGTATCATTGGTACCAAAAACTGTACCAGTGGTACCATTAGTAACATAACAAAAAAAACGTCCAAATAATGTTTTTTTATCAATTTTATGACATTTTAAGTCATTTTTTCAAAATGGTACCACTGGTACTCAAATCTGTACTAGTGGGACCATATTATGAAAACTAGGATGTGTCTTAAAATCGGCAATTATAGGCTTAAAAGGGGCAATTCTTGAAGTTTTTAATATTTTTATTACTGGTAACACAGTTATTTTATTACCAAACATATCACTTCTATATTGTAGTAGATATCCCATTGATCATTACATTTCACATTCTTTACATTACAAAGAAGCCGTTGTTTATGTATTACGTTGTAGTAGAGCTCAATTGTTTATTGTAATTGTTCAAAACTTAAAAAACAGGTTTTTACAAAAAATTGTACCAGAGGTACCAATTTTGTAGAATGGTACTTTTGGTGCACTTTTTGAGTCAAATATACTTCTATTGTCATATCAAACAGAGATTATAGTCTAAATATAATACTTCTGAAAAAATATTTGTGTATACTGTCTCTCAGGTTGTAGTACTGTGCTTTGGACTAGTACTGTACCTAGTACTAGTACTGTAACTTTTGTCTATATAGTACTAGTACTGTATTGTTTGCTCAAGAGAATTTTATTTGAATAAATATCTAAAAACAACAATTTCTATCGAAAAATAACGTGGGTTTAAGCTCGAATGGCAGTCGAGTTGAGGCGAATGTCCTTGAAATGGGCGCGAGCTGCCTTCTTCTTCGGTGGAATTGGGGTTGGTACTGCTAGGGCTGGAAATGTGATAAAGTTATAAACACCAAATATAACAAAGTAAATTTTGTGCCATTTCTTGATAAAATGGCAAGAACTTTCTTTACAGAACAAAAAATGGGAAGACCTTTCTTTACAGGACAAAAAATGGCCAAAACTTTCTTTACGAAACAAAAAGTGGCAAGAACTTTCTTTACAAAATGTAAAATTGCAAGAACTTTCTTTACGGAACAAAAAATGGCAAGAACTTTCTTTCCAAAGCAAAAAATGGCAAGAACTTTCTTTACAATACTGAAAATGGCAAGAACTTTCTTTACAAAACAAAAAATAACAAGAACTTTCTTTACAAAACGTTTCTTCATTCTCATCACTTACATCCTTCAATATCACTAATCCAGACTTTGCAATGTTCCTTCGGAGCATAGGCCGTCTGGGCCGGGCAATTGAAGGCGTCACGGAACGCTGGGAAATTCTGTAACGTTCCAAACACTCTGAACTCGGGAGGCGAGTGCACATCAGCCAGGAGCTGTTTACGTCGTTCCTTACTCATTGGAGCATTGCACCATGTTCGACCAAATGATAAGAAGAACAGCTGGTCGAAGGTGAATCGACCGATCAAATGGCTTGGCAGTCCGGCGTCTGGTCCTGCTACGCCAACTTGATTACGGTAGGCACGGTAAGCGGCTTGAATTCCACCGTTGTCGGCAATGTTCTCGCCTTGAGTATTCCGGCCGTCTACACAAGCACCATCAGGGTAGCAGAAGCCGTCGTACTCGTCGATTACGCACTGTGCCATCTCTTTGAAACTGTTAAAAGATTTCTCGTCGATCCAGGAATGAAGACGTCCTACTGGGTCCCATTGGACTCCACCGTCATCTTTAAACGATAAAATTTTAGTTTAAATATAGGTCTAACTCTAGCTGCTATTCCTAGAAAAAAAGTGTACCAAAAGTACCAAAAGCACTGATTCTTTTCGCAACGGCATTCTACCACCGTGCCCTATGCCCTGCCGGACCCTTAGGTCTTTCCACACTCCTAGGCTTTACAGTACACAAGTTCTACCGTACCCTAGGCCCTACCGTACCCTAGGCCCTACCGTACCCTAGGCCCTACCGTACCCTAGGCCCTACCGTACCCTAGGCCCTACCGTACCCTAGGCTCTACCGTAGCCTAGGTCCTACCGTGCCCTGAGACTTACTGTATCATCGACACTACAGTACCCTATGCTCTACCGTACCCTAGGCCCTACCGTACCTTATGCCTTACCGTACCCTAAGCCCTATCGTACCTTAGGCCCTATCGTACTCTAGGCTCTACCGTACCCTAAGCCTTACCGTACCTTAGGTTCTACTGGACCCTAGGCCCTACCTTACCCTAAATCCTACCGTACTCTAGATTCTACCGCACTGTTGGCTCTAGCTAATCTAGGCTTCACTTTCCTATAAACCCTACTATATCCTAGATCCTACCGTACCCCAAGTCCTGTTGTAGAGTAAGCTCTGCCGTATGCTGGGTCTTCTAAGTACTAAAGTATTAAAATCGTAGTACTTACCAAAGCCATGAACCAATTCGTGACCAGCCACGGCACCGATCGATCCAAAGTTGACAGCATCAGGCCATTCGGCGTCATAAAAGGGTTGTTGTAGAATACTGCCAGGCAGGGTGATCGAATTAGCAGCCGGCTGGTACCAAGCGTTCAGTCGGTAGGCTTTTCCAAAGGTAGCACGATCATACACATCTCGGGTCAACTCGCTTACTGCCTTCTTCATATTGAACTTGATCAGAGCGAAGATTGTCCAGGCAATATTACCTTCTGTAAGATCACTGTTCAGTAGCTCTTTGTGATACTTTTCGAGTTCAGTATCATCCACGGACATGTTGGGGTAGGCAATGTTCTTCACTAATAGGTCAATTTTTTTGTAAGCGGTCTAAAAATATTCAAAATTATTTAATTCTTGTCCCACAGCTGGTTTAGAGCCCTAGTCCAGAGCCCTAGTCCGGGACCCTAGCTCAGAACCCTAGCCCAGAGCCTTCGCCCATAGTCTTAGCCCAGAACCCTAGCCTAACCTCAGTTTTAGCCTATCTCTAACCTAGCTCTAGCTGGGTACTCTAACTTTAACCTAATTCTAACCTAGCTCTGGTTTAGCTTTAGCCTAGCTTTCGCCTAACCCTAGCTTAAGTTTGACGTACTTCTTGTCCTAGTTCTAGCCGAAGCGTTTGCACAGAGCCAGAAGCCTTAGAGACTTATCCCAGAACCCTAGCGCTAGTCTTATTCTAAGCCATGAGCTCTAGCCCGGTTAACCCTAGTTAACAGTCTTAGTCTAGAGCGTTCTGGCCCTAACACAAGCTTTCGTCATGTCTTTAGCCCTGCGAAGGGCCTTAGCTCAGAGCCCTATCCCAGAACCCTAGCGCGAGTCCTAGTCTGAGCCATGAGCCCTAGCCCACCTAACCCTAGTTAACAGTCTTAGTCTAGAGCGTTCCGTCCCTAACACTAGCTTTTGCCATATCTTTAGCCCTGCCAAGAACCTTAGCTCAGAGCCCTTGCCCTAGCTTTACCTCTAGCTCTAGGCCCAGCTCTAGGTTTAGATCTAGCTCTAGACCTAGCTTTAACTCTAAGTTTAGCCCTAACTGTAAAGTTAGCCCTACCGGTCTATTTTTTTCAATTTCAAAAAACCTCCTTACCTCCTTAGACTCCGGTCTCATCCAAGCCAGTTGATCCAACATAGTTCTGAATCCGACCATAATAGAATCCGCGAATCTGGCTACACCCAGTCGATCCTGTGTCCTCTTCTCCTTATCCGGATAAGTAACATCAACATACATGGCATTGGTGGCTTCTTGCATGTAACCTGACAGTAAGTCAAGACAAGAGGCTTCTAGTTGAGTTACAGCATTTGCCTTGCCTTGTACCGTATCTTCCAATGGTATGTCGGATTCTGGATACTTGATACCATCAATCTTTGGCAGCTTTCTCTCCCATTTCAAATTTTCATAAACTCTTTTTGTTGACTTAATATTGGCAGCGGCCAACGGTCCTTTAGGTAATGGCAAGAACTGGCCCTTCCGTTGCACGATGACACGGTAGAAAAGGTAGTTAAGCAGATTTTGAGGTTTCAGACCCCCACCTTTAATAAGTTTGTCAAAGGCATTCCAGAAGCTTTCAAAGTCTTGTGGATCAAACAGGCCTACATCAAAGTTGTCGTCAGTGACCTTTGCTTTGGCTTCAGGCACTTCCGCGACCATGCCTTCCATGAAGCTTCGGAAGTCAATGCTCTTTGGGTAGTCTTGAATCAACTCCTTCAAGGTGATGTGTGTGTACCTTTGTGAAGCATTTCTATTATCAATATCACTCGGATTCGATGATGCTATCAACGTTTTTTCAATTTCAATAAAAGCTTTGGCTTCTTCTAGAATCTTGGCTACTAATTCATCATCAACCTTCATCGTGGCATTCAGATACCTTTGAATATGGTATGAAATAACGTGGATCACCAAATCATCAGGAAAATCAAGAAAATCAGCCAACTGATAATAACCGACGTCAATGTAGATACTGTAACCTTTTTCCGGAGCCCTGACATTACTGTAGACCATGGTATCAACTAGCGCTCCAATTCCTTGAGCTCCACTTAAGTACCCTAACGCCTTTCCAATTTGAGCTGGAGTTAGCGGCTGTGCCATCTGATTTCCATTGGCTAGCGGGAATTTTTGACCAATAAATTGTTCTAAATCATTAACAATAGTCTTTAACACCTTGCCATCACTGTTAAGCTCATCAAACTTGGGTAGCCCTTGCTTGCACTGCTGGAACAGCATTTTCTCCAACTGAACAACCGGTCGATCTTCCTTATCTATGTCTCTTATGCCATTGATCAACCGAATTTGATTGCCAATATCAGCATCAGCAAACGAACTACTGGCATGATAATTACCGCATGTATACTGGTAGAAGTCGCTACATGGGTCGGCTGTAGTATCTACAGAATCCTCGAAAGCTTCGGCGCATTCTTGGAACTTTTCACTGTACGATACAACCGGTTTTTCAATATTCAAGTCGGATTCATGTTGTGGTAGGTTTGGTACACCAACGAAGCCATCAACGCCGCTTTCGTACACCGCGATTCTGGAGCCGGGGTTGTATCGTGCTTTGGCTGAGCACGAGAAAACGTGTTGGAAGTTACCACCATTGACTAAACTATAGACCAATGGTACTGTTTGGTCTACGTTCGGTTCTTCTGGTGCTGAAGAAGTTTTTTGAAGAATATTGATGCTATTACAGTGTTGTTGCGAGTACACAATGAAGAAAAGTTGTTCAGAATTGTAGTGTTTGAACAAGGGGTGGATCAATGCGGATTGTTCTCCATTATACTCATTCCAGCTGACTAAACCTTGATAGGCTAGCTTCACGCCAAGAGTACTGGCCAGGGCTTTAGATTCAGATACTACATCTAACTTAACATCTATGTACTGCTTGGTTAGCTTGTCCAAAGTGATCTTAACAATATCTTGACTAGGCACATCCATCCATTCATTAAGCTGGCCAAGCTCATCATGTTGAAGTCCAGTCGAATCGAACAGTTTAGCCAATTGTTCAGCCACCAATGTTCCTACTGTAGCAAAGTTCCAGGCCATGGGGTAGTTTTTGTCATAGAAGGGAGCTTGGAATGTAGCCAGGGATAGTGAGATAGAGTTGAGATCATGATTATGAGCAGCTGCTGGAGTTGATTGGCGTTGGTCGTAGGTAATAAACAAATCTCTTTGGGCTTTAGTAGTGTCTAATAAGTTTTGGTACATCGATACCTTCTTCACTGCGTTAGCTTCGACCCATTCCAGTATGTAACGACGTCGTTCGGTTGATGATGAAGATGATACTTTTTGTGCTTCTGATCTAACTTGAGGTTTTGCAACAGTATCAGAAGTCTTTGTAGCATCGGCTGAACGGATAAGCACAACATCGATTGGTACTTCTTGTGGAGGGCTTTTGATGACATTACCCATAGCATCCTTGATACCCCTGAGCAAATTCTTTTGGTTTTTTTGAGTAAACTCTTCTTCCGTGAGCCAGTCATTGTTCAGTACAGTATAAGCCAGACTAAGAGCCTTCTTTTTAGCCAAGTAGTTAGTCGACGACACATTCAGAGCAGTTTTTACGGCTCCATGTTCATCAACTTTAGCCGACTTTTGGTTGTTCTCAATGACCATCTGCTTCAGCATTTGCTGATCCAACTTAGCATCAGACTGCCCTTGGTACACCTTGTCAGTGGGTGAAAAGGCGGTTGGAATACCATAATTTCTAGCAACTCCACGAACTTTGTTTACAGCAGCTTGTCTTGTTGCAAGTGGCATCCAGGCAATACTGTCGAGTTGTTTTTCGAATTCCTCAAACACATGGTCAGCAATCTTGGCAATATCACGTTGTTGTTTAACAGCGTTCTCTTCTGTACCATATAGACCAATTGTGGCGGCCGTGGTATATTGTGCCGGCAGGAAGTGGTGCAGCTCTTTTAGGCAACGTTTTGATGACTTTGTCAAGGGCTTTCGGGCATCTTTAGTAACTTCTTCAGGCTTCGTAATTTTAGTATCCATCAAGTTTGTGGTTGATGTTAGTACTGCAGGTACGGTAAGTTCATCAGCTAGAGATTTTCTTAGATTCTCAGAGATTTTAGGCTCTTCTCCAGGCACAAATCTATGTAACTTCATCATAACTCTCAGTGCAACGTAGTTAACCAAGTCTCTAGTAGCATAAGAATCAATTGTACCAAGATACTCATCGATGCTTTTCAAGTATTTTGGTGCAGAATTGACAACTTGAGTACGGTAGTTGTTAAAGAAACCCAGAAAACCGTCAACAAAAGTTCCTTCATTAGAAGCGGCGTTGTTCAAGTAGTTCAGTAGCTCCAAATTTTGGTACTCATTGATGATTTCGCCTACAGTATAAAGCTCATGTCGGTCTACTGTAATGTCATTGTTTTTGTACAAACCAGAAACCAGGCTATACTCAACTTGCAAGGCCTTAATGACATTTCTCATACTAGTACTATCAACTCCAAATACTGACTTAGCCACAGTACCAACATAACCATAAAGGTCGGTGAAGATAGCGGACTCCCAGTTTGAATTGTAGATCTCAGGCTTCAGGAAAAGGTCTGGTTGTTCGAAGTAAAGCCGGTATGGCTTGGTATTCTCTTCCTTCTTTAAATTTGGCCGAACAGAAAGTCTGAAGAACAAGTCCAAGTCATATTTATAAGCTAGGAAATGACCCAGTTCGGCCCATTTTGCTGTTGGTACTGATAAGCCGGAGTTTTCAGTAAAGTTGACTTCAACGTTAAGGATTGTTTCAATCTCACGGATGGCTGTATCAACTGATCGACCGTTATCTTGATCGTTTTCACAGTTTTCTAGGAATTGATAGGCTACTGTGAGATCGGTCTGAAAGTGACTTTTAGTGAGTTAGGTATGAAAAGTTGAAAAATGTTGGAAAATTAAAAAAAAAATTATCGACCAGTCGAAAAAAAATTAAAAATTGAAAAAAGTTATTTACTGGCCAAAAAATGTTTTACAGTTCAAAAACGTAAAAAAAAATTTTTTTGAAAAAAATTAACGACCGGTCGAAAAAAAATTTATACTAAAATTAACTTTTTTGACTTTTCAACATATTTTCCGACCAGTCAATCATTTTTAAAATTATATTTTACTTTTTCATCAAATTTCTTGCTCTTCAAGTAGGTCCAAACTGCTTCATCAACGACATCTTCAGCCTCGGCCAGTTTATCAACAGTATTCTTGGCTTGGCAAGTGTAGCCATAGAAGTCATCACACGGTGCTTTATCTAAATTCATCGTACTCTCCAATACCTTTGCTACTTTGTTGTAACTTTCTGTAGCATTAGGCTTCAATGGTTGAATCTTGACATCAACAACAGCTTCTGGGACTTCTGGAACGCCTTCTTTATCGTTGACTTCTGAAGCCCATACGTTGCAGTGGGATTCTGGAGCATATTCGGTTTTGGCAGGACAATTGAAAGCGTCTCTAAAGGCTGGGAAGTTTTGGATTCCACCGATAACACGGTACTTCGATGGTGAGTGTGGGTCGAGTAAAATTTTTTTTTTTGTATATCTTCTTTGGATGGGGGGATCTCACACCACGCCCTAGCATAACTCAAGAAGAAGAGCTGCTGATTTGTGAATCCACCAAACTTGGAATCCGGAAGCGACGGATCTGGACCGTAGAAGGATTCGTACGATGCGAGAGCGTTGAAGGCAGCTCGTAGCCCGCCGTTGTCAGCAATGTTCTCCCCTTGAGTATTACTACCGTCCAGATGTAGGCCAGGGTATGGTTCGAAGCCACTGTACTGGTCAATAACGCACTTGGCCATAGATTCAAAACTCTTCTTGGATTCAGAGTCCATCCAAGTACGCAACGCTCCAACTCCATCGTACTGAACACCTTCGTCGTCGAAGCCGTGAGTAAGTTCATGCCCAGCGATGACTCCAATTGCACCCAAGTTAGCGGCAGCCGGATAGTCTGGGTGAAAGAATGGAGCTTGTAGAATACCATAGGGGATAGTAATTGAGTTTACTTCCGGTTGATACCAAGCATTAACGATAGCCATTGACATGAGGAAGTCGTCACGTTCTACTGAAGATTCAGACACTAGAAGATCGTAGTCTTGTTGACGGCTGAAGGAATTCATGGCTGCTGTGAATTCTGCGTAGCTTTGGGATTCTGAAAAGTATAAAAATGTTTTTACTATAGTAAAATATACAGTATGTTTAGAGCAAGAGGTAGAGCTAACGCTAAGGTTAAACTTTGAGCTAGGGCTTTGGTATATAAGGCTCTGGGCTAGGGTATGGGGTATGGGGTATGGGGTATGGGGTATGGGGTATTGGGTACGGACTAAGACGCTCGGATAGATCTAGGGCTACATTGGAAATTTCTTACCGTCAACATCCAACTCCTTGTAAATTGCATTCAATTTGTTATTGTCCTCGACCCATTCTGGATAAACGATATTCTTCACCAAGTAGTTGATTTTCTCATAAGCATTCTTTTTGGTTTCTGTGCTCATCCAGTCCAAACGGTCTAGTTGGTACTAAAAATATTCATCTTATTCTTAGTTTTTTCATCGCCCTCTTCGGGTTTTTTAATGGTTAAAAAAAGACTTTTTTGAAAAATTGATAAAGTTTGTGATACTTCGCAACATTTAAAAAAAATTTAAGAATTTGTTAAAATACGTAGGTTGTCAATATAAATGATAAAATCGATTTTTTTATGTTGATTTGACTATTTGTGACATTTTGCAATATTATCGATTTTTTATATTTTTGACGTTTCGCAACATTTTGTAAAAAATTTTAAAAAATTTAGTAAAATACGCTGATAAGGTTTATTACATTCAAACATAACTTTTCTATATTGATTTTTATATTTTTTGACATTTTGCAATATTATTGATTTTTCTTAAATAACATAAATTTTACAACGTATTACAGTAGTAGAAACGACAAAATCAAAAAAAAAGTCACCTGGAAGCCATCGATGACATTATTGACCAACAACGCCACTTTACTCTTGACTTCTCGTCTCTTCTCTTTTGTAGGTAACACTTGATCAATATAGATTCGAGTAGTAGCTGAACTGAGCTTAAAAGCCGTACTGTAGGCACACGCAAAGTCGTACTGACCATCAGCTTGAGTACTAATCTTGGGCGTGGGTTCTGGGAACGGGAATGGTAGAGGGTGGCGGGGTAGACCAATTTGGAACCCGGGGCGGGTGTTGGCAAAGGCTGCCATTTCAGATTGGATCTGGGCTTTTTGGCACAATTTTTCGTTAAGAAGGGACATATTGTTATTATTCAGGTCAAAAATGTCAGTTTTGTCATTGTTTTGCAAACATTGCCTGGGGAAAAGTTTGTCAACAGCAATAACAATTCTGAAATTGATGTAGTTCATCAAGTCATCGTATGATAAGGTTTTCAAATAGTTGTTAAGTACCCTTAAAGCTTGAACTTCATTGATGTTGAACTCAAAATCTTTTTCTTTAGCCAAAGAGTCGGCTTTCGTACCAGCCACCGCTTGCTCCAAGTAGCTCTCGAAGTTGAGGAATGTGAATTTGTCATTTGCTGATTGAGTGGTGTAGATGTTGTAGGCTCTGAAATAAAAAAATGTTTTTTTCAATGATAGTGCAGTGTAAGTTGTTGTGTAGTAGAGCAGTCATTTTTTTGTCTTCAAGTGCAGTACTAAATAGCTATTTCCAAAAAAAATGTTTTTTTGGGCGGGGTCAATTTTTTAAAATATTTTTTTGGGGGTGCGTTTTTAATTTTTTTGTTAATACTTCAAGCTACGATAACAAATGATAAACAATGCAAAAAAAATTTGGGCGGGGTAATTTTTTAAAAATATTTTTTTTGGGGGAGAATATTTTTTTTGACTTATTAATTTTTTTAAACTTTAAATTACGTTAAAAAATGCTAAAATGACAAAATATGTTTACCTCTCGTATTTCCTCTTCTCTTCAGCGCCAACCAACACCTTATCAGCGATGTATTTCTCAATTTTCCACGCTTTATCGACCGCCCGTTCAATGGCCTCATAATCAGTGCTGACATTCATCAACGAGCCCAAATAGTACGTGTTGAAAGTGGCCATGCTTTTGAAGAGTTCTTCTGTTTCGTTAGGCATGACCTTGTAGTAGGTATCAGGCATGATCAATGTCGGCTGGTCCAAGTAGAGTAAATACGGTTTGGTATGTATTCCAGGCGACACTCGAGGTCGTTTCCAGTTCGTATTGACATTTGGCGACAATAGAATGGAAAGTCCGAGTTCTCGCTCCAACAGACCCAGGAAGGTACCAATAACGGTGGGTTGATTTCTTGGCAAATTACCGTATATGCCTAAGGTTGTGAACCGGTAGTACGGTAGGTTTTTGAAATAGTCAAAGTAGCTGAGAATGGTCTTGCCGCCTTGGTGAACATACGCTTCGTCCGATTTTTGTTTGATACAGTTTTCGAATACAATCTTGGTCTTTTTCTCGTACTCTTCGACCTGGAAAATGTCCTTTTAGATTTTTTTTCCATAGCTCATTACTTTTTGAACAATTATTTTTGGGGCTCATTACTTTTTGGACAATTATTTATATAACTTACTATTTTTTGAACAACAATTTATATAGCTCATTATTTTTAGAACAACATTTTATATAGCTCTTTATTTTTTGAACAAAAATTTATATAGCTCATTATTTTTTGAACAACAATTTATATAGCTCATTATTTTTTGAACAAAAATTTATGTAGTTCGGAAAACATAAACTTGAAACTATGGTTGCCTTATCCATAGTCCTAGCTTGTGATTTAGCCCTAGTTCTAGTTTTACTTTTAGCCCTAGCCTTAGTGAAATAAAATAGTAAAAGCAAACAATGCGAGGTTAGGCTATAAAAGACCGAACATTGCTCATAAATCACACGTTTGTTTTTCTTTTATACGTCGTAGAGTTTCTCTCGACGGGGTCAAAACTTAATTCCCACTTTTTTACCGCAAAAAAAAATTTTTTTTAAAAAGACAAAATGTCACCACGAATTGACACTTCGTTATATCAAAACAATCCCCAGTTCTTTACGCGTACATATACCAAGTTTGGTCCCGATCGGTTCACTCATAGCCAAGTTAGATGGGGGGTCAATACTTTCTACCTTCAGTATCTTCTTTCTTTTTTCATTCCTTTCGTAACAACCCTGAGCCAACAAAAAATATAATATATATTAAGACTTTCGATACTATGTTGCCCACAGAAGCCACAGATAGAAGAATATGTGAGAGGATCCTGGACACTGTAGGACATACGCCAATGGTGTACTTGAACAAAGTTACTGAAGGTTTGGAAGCAAAACTTGGTGGGTTACAGTAATCCTTTACAGTAATCAACTTTCTGACGAACTTGACGCATTTTTTAGCCTGTGTGAAGAGCTAGGGTTATAGCTAGGGCTAACTAAGACTAAAGCTAGGGTTAGCTAATCCTATTTTGTAGTATGGAGACCAATTTCACATTTACAGTAACGATATCTACTGAATACACTTTATAAACCCAAGTTGACTTTTCAGCAGTAAAACTAGAGTACCTAAACCCAACGTTGTCTGTGAAAGACCGTCCTGCTTTGCATATGATAGAAGAAGCGGAGAAAGCCGGTCATATCAAGCCAGGAGATGTTCTGATAGAAGGAACATCAGGCAATCTGGGCATTAGTTTAGCAATGGCAGCTGCTGTTAAAGGCTACAAAGTGTTACTGGTTATTCCTAGTTGCTACAGTATTGAAAAGGTAAAATATTTTTTGGAAAGGCTTAGTATTACGGTAGGCTTATTGAAATAGACTTAATTTTAAAAAAAAATTTTTGAATTTTTAAAATTTTTTTTAAAATTAAAAGTTTTTTTTTCTAGCGAGTCATATGTAAAGCCCTAGGGGCCGAGATAGTCATAACTGACCCCAAACTAGGCATGGAAGGTGTTGATCAACGTTTGAAAGACCTTCATAACCTCATCCCCAACTCTTACCTAGTGGAACAATTTTCAAACAAAAACAACCCTCAGGCTCACTACTTAACCACCGGGCCAGAAATCTGGGCTCAAACTCAAGGCCAAGTTGATATAGTCGTCTTTGGTGCAGGTACTGGTGGTACTATATCTGGTGTTCGACAGTACTTCGAAGAGAAACAGAAAGATGTCAAAGCATATGTAGTGTTTGAAGACTCAGGCGTTTGTGGAGAGCTTGGCTGTCATGTTATTCAAGGCATTGGTGGTGGAGCATGTCCGCCAAACTTGCATCCAGGTTATGATGGAGCGGTCAAAGTTAAAAGTGTCGAAGCCATGGAAATGGCAAAGAGGCTAGCCAAAAAAGAAGGAATTCTTTGTGGGATTAGTGGTGGCGCTAATGTTGTAGCGGCTATTGAGGTAGGTAGATAAAGTTATTTCTCCTAGTGTTGGGTCAAGATATAGAACTCAAACTGGGTCTAATGTTGAACTAGGCTAGGTCCGGCTGGGTTGGAAACAAGATTAAAGTTACATTTTCTCCATTTTTAATTTCTAAGGATCTGGAAAGCTACGGTTAAGATTAGAGAATTATGTGGCTGCGCAAGGGATAAAGCTAAGGCTAAAAGTCTGGGGTAAGGCTCTGGGCTGGGATCTAGGACTCAGAGGTCTGGGCTAGAGCTTAAGCGTAGATTTAGACTTAGGCTTAAGCTTAGGCTTAGGATTAGGCTTAAGTTTAGGCTTAGGCTTAGGCTTAGGCTTAGGCTTAGGCTTAGGCTTAAGCTTAAACTTATGCTTATGCTTAGGCTTAGCCTAGGAATTTTGGCTAGCGCTAAGGCAAAGGCAAAATAAAAATTTTATTTTTAGCTAGCCAAACGCCCAGAAAACAAAGGAAAACTGATTGTAACATGTTTGCCCAGCTTTGGTGAGCGTTACCTATCAACAAAGTTATACTCGGATATTAAGGATGAATGTGAAAAGATGCCGGAAACTACCTTTGAACAAGATGCTGAGTACTTTAAACGTCATTTTAATTTGACATAAACCTATCTTTTATTATAAACTATAAACTATGTCATAAATTAATATTTAGCTCATTCTTTTTTATACGATTTAATATCATATGACTTTGTACATTGTATTATCTTATCTATGGCTCGCCTTTTATCAAAAGTACATTCAAATAAGACACGACATACCTCTTACTAATAACCTCATTGTCAAGAACCTTTAGTTTGCAAACTTGACCTCAACGTTGCAGTTAGTCAGAAGAACGTCAAAGAACGTCTGACCAGTTGTGACTTTCGCCAACCTAATATTAACATTGTTTCCGCATGGTTTGACTTTAAAGTGTTGTCAGTGGATAGGTAAACAATTCGGAATTGGTTTAAATAGGAGCGAAAGGTGGTCATAAATCACAGGTTTTCTTGATATTCTTGGGTTATACCTTAATATTATACTAGCTGGTTGAATAAAATTATACAATTTAGTTGACTATGGGCAAGGCAGAGAGGATATAATGGTTATAGTCAGGGTTGTCAAGGCCGGGCGAGGACTTTTGGTCTGGGGACGGGGGTTAAAAAAATTGAAAATCCACAGAGGGGATCACGTTCAACTTTTTTCAAAAATTTTTTTCTGGGGGGAGGGGAGATCAATTTTTCCGTTTGAATAGACCTTTAAAAAGGCTTATAATTGCTTCATTTTGCTCCGAGCCGGGCCGAGCCAGCCTAAAGTAAATTTTAAAGAGGCTGGGTCAGCACATAGGCTCAAGAGCCGAGACGCAAAACAAAGGCCAGACCGTGGGCCAGGTCAAAAAATTGAGCTCGGCCACTGCTTGGTGATTTTTTCTAGGGAAGGAGGGGATGGTAAAACCAAAAACAATTATTTCAAGGCGGGAGGGCGGGGGGGAGGGAAGAGAGAGTAGTAAAAAACTAAGTAATTTTTTCTGAGGGGTGGGTAGGAATGATAAAGTCAAAAATTTTTTTCCCGTTTTTGTTGGGCAGGTATTACCTTTTGAATTGTTTTCCGAATGGCCGTGGGGAGATAAATCTATTAATACCTCATTCAAACCTCTCCTTCCCGACTCCAAGCTAAGTCCCTAGTTATGATAGGCGCCATTATTAACATTATGACTCGAGCTGATTTTCACACTGTGACAAAGCTTACCTAAGGCTACTTTTTAGGTTTTACCGGCTTGTCATAAGTGAAACTAGTAGTACGCCACTTCATCGAAAACTATACTAATCTTCTTCCAAAACATCTATACTATGTTGCCTACAGAAGCTACAGACAAAAGAATATGTGAGAATATGATAGACACTGTTGGGCATACGCCAATGGTGTACTTGAACAAAGTTACTGAAGGTTTAGGAGCAAAAATTGGTGAGTTATAATGCTCAACTCTTTTTTAGACCCGTCTGATTCCTAAGCCTAGTGGTGAGCTATGGCTAAGAATAAAACTAAAACTAAACCTAGAACTAGCAAGACCTTGTTTTGGGCTAAGGGCATCAATTTCACATTTACAATCTCACTAGCTACTGAATTCCAGTACATGTCAGCACATGTTAACTTTTCAGCGGTAAAACTAGAGTACCTAAACCCAACCTTATCAGTGAAAGACCGTCCTGCTCTACATATGATAGAAGAAGCGGAGAAAGCCGGTCATATCAAGCCAGGAGATGTTCTGATAGAAGGAACATCAGGCAATCTGGGTATCAGTTTAGCCATGGCAGCTGCTGTTAAGGGCTACAAAGTGGTGTTGGTTATTCCTAGTTGCTATAGCATGGAAAGGGTAAGAAATAAGTTCAGAAGTAATGTTATTTTACTTTTATTTAACATGCTTAGGTTTAGGCTTAAACTTAGGCTTAGGCCGAAGCTTAAACGTAATCCAAGCCAAAGCATATTTTAAAGAAGCGGTGCCAAGCAAATTTTAAAAAGACTTAGCTGGGCCGAAGCAAATTTGACAGAAGCCGACTTGGGCGGAAGCAAATTTCAAGCCGTGTTAAGCCGGAGTAACTTTGAAAGAAAAAGGCCGGGTCGAAGCATGCGAGTCCGCAGTTCAAAGCCTAAACCTAAGCCAGCCCTTTAATAAGTCTAAAGAGCTGGAGCGAATTTAAAAAAAGCCGGGCCAACAAATAAGGGCCCAAACACCTATGCCCAAACCAAAGCCAAGCCCTTACAGGTCTATTATAACCTTATCTTACAATTAATACTTCAGCGTGTCTTATGCAAAGCCCTAGGAGCCGAACTAGTCATTGTGGACCCACAAATTGGAATCAAAGGTATTCTACAACGCTTGGACGATCTGCGTGACCTCATCCCCAACTCTTACCTAGTACAACAATTTTCAAATGAAAACAACCCTCGGGCCCACTACTTAACCACTGGGCCAGAAGTCTGGGAGCAAACTCAAGGCCAAGTTGATATGGTAGTCTTTGGTGCTGGTACTGGTGGTACCGTCACTGGTGTAGGCCAGTACTTAAAGGAGAAGAAGACAGAGGTCCAGGCTTTTGTGGTAGAGCCATTTGAGAGTTCGGTAATTAGTGGAGAACCAGCTGGATGTCACTTTATTCAAGGTATTGGAGCTGGTGCTGTTCCACCAAACTTGAAACCCGGTTATGATGGAGTGATAAGAGTGAAAAGTGATGACGCTTTCGAAATGGCAAAACGATTGGCCAAAGAAGAGGGAATTCTCTGTGGAATTAGCAGTGGCGCCAACGTTGTGGCGGCTATTGATGTAGGTATATCAAGTTATTGTGTTAGTTAGTTAAAGATATTCTACATAAGTAGTAAAGTAACTTTATGAAAAGAGATAGTGGTAATAAAAGCTAACGGTAGTAGAGAACGGCTAGGACGAGGTAAATTGAAAAAAAGAGGAGTTAGGATTACATTGGATAGGCTAATGCGGTAAGTTAAGGAAAGACTACGGCTAGGGCTTTGAGCTACAGTTTTTGGCTTTGCTCTTGGCTTCAGGCTTCAGTTTTAGCTTAGACTTAGGCTTAAGCTTAGTCTTAGGCATAAGCTTAGGCTTAGGTTTAGGCTTAGGCTTAGGTTTAGGCTTAGGCTTAGGCTTAAGCTTAGGTTTAGGCTTAGGCTTAGGCTTAGGCTTAAGCTTAGGCTTAGGCTTAAGCTTAGGCCAAGAAATTAAATACCAAGTTTCAAAAAAATCATTTTCAGCTAGCCAAACGTCCAGAAAACAAAGGAAAACTGATCGTAACATGTCTGCCTAGCTTTGGTGAACGTTACCTATCAACAAAGTTATACTCAGATATTAAGGATGAATGTGAAAAGCTGCCGGAAACTACTTTTGAGCAAGATGCTGTGTACTTTAAACGCGTTTTTAACCTTTCTTAGTTTAAAAAAAGCATTTTTTTAATTTTTAAAAATCTTTAATAAATTTAAAAACATTTAGAGCCTAAAAACGCCTTTAAAAGTATAAAGACGACATTATGAAGCCTAAAGTGTTTCTTTTTAACTTTGACATAAATTTGTAAGCCTATCTTATCTGAATTATCAAAAAAAGTGCTTGCAACACAATGCCAAAGTGGCGGGAAATTTAAATATATTAATTTTAAAACTTGAAACTGTGAGCTAACAAGGAAGGTACCCGACCTGCAACGCTCAGATTTTGTTAAAATCTTTTCTATTGAAAGATCATGTAAATGTAAGACCCTATGTAACATTCTAAGTTGCGGTTTGCGGCCAGTCTTGAGAAAATCGAAATCAAAAAATCGCGTTTTGAATTTCCCGCTAAATTGGCATAGTGTTGCAAGCTTTTAACTATGTCAATTTTTAATTTTTAACTATTTTTCTTTAATATACTGATAGAAAAGCTCCAAATGGACTTGCAATTTCAAATTTGTAAGCCTATCTTGTCTGGAACATCAAAAAAAGTGCTTGTAACACAATGCCAAATTTGCCAAATCGGCGGAAAATTTAAATATATTAAATTTCAAACTTAAAACGGCAAGCTAAGATTTTTTATGTGCTAATCGTGCTACAAAGAAGCCGTATAAACCGGATTAAAAAATTTAAAGTTTGGACCGGACCTGAAAATTGTCGGATTAGACAGGTAAATGCTCCGGTCCTATACAGGCAAAACACAGGGTACCAGGGACGTCGTTTGGGGGGGGTGGTTCGGGGTGACTCTCCCTCTCCCAGGGCCGATCCGAAAAAAAATCCGCTGGTACTGTACGTAAAAAACGGAAAAAAAATTTCGAAAAATCAGTCCACAGGTAACCTGTGGACCGAAAACATTTTTTTTGGGTCTCCATCCCCCCCCAGAGAAAAACCGTAGCGGCGTCCCTGCTGGTTACTTTCCTTGTTAACTAAAAAAATGAAAAAAACTAAAACCAACCGGCTCCTTCTTCAATCCAACAAGCAAATTCTGAATGTTGTTGTCTTGAATCGTATCGAAGTCCATGTCATCATTAAAGCTTCCACAAGCGTATTCGTAGAAATTGTCACAAGGATCATAACTTGTATTTATAGAGGTGTGGAGAGTTTCGGCATAACTCTTAAAGGCTTCGTATCTTTGGCCGTTTTCACGCGGATCAATCGGTGCTTTAGTCCGAATATTCAGGTTTTCTGCTGAAAAAGTTTAAGTTGTGGTTTTTCGTCAGATTATTGATTTTTTGTAAAGCATAAAAGCAGTAATCGATTTTGTGGCACTTCGGCATACAATTGATTTTTTGTTGGTAGATGCTGTTAAAGAGTATCAGTTTACAAAATCTATAATATAGATTTGTGACATTTAGTGGTTTTCTTAGATATTGAAAAATTAAAAACGCAGCTTTTTAATTAGTGACATTTTGTTATACAATCAAATTTTAAAATGTAGTAAATTAATATTTAAAATTGTGACATTTAGATACATTTTCAAACTTTAAAAAACAAAAAAATCAATATTTAAGATTTTCGTTTTGTGGCATTCCGTTACATTACTGATTTTTAAGAAACAAAAAATCAATGTCTAATTTGACACTTCGTTACATTAAAAACAATATATATAAAAAAATTGAAAAAATTTACGATTATTTGTCGTTTTCGTAGCACTAGTACTAGTACTAGTAATAGTACCAGTAGTAGTAGTATCACCAGAACTAGTAGTAGTACTGTCACCGTTCGGAGCTGACGTTGTTGTGGTAGGCCAGTTAGGTTCTTCGTTGACTTTTACTAACGTGACGATACTTAAAATGAGTGTTACCAACACTCCTACCGCTATGAAGCCTAAAACCCCCAACTTGATTTTGTCAAGGTTTGGGGCCATTATGAGGATGGTACCTAAAAACAATTTTTTTGTAAAACATAATTCAAAACGTTAAAAAATACATAAAAACTAGCTAGCCATAGTTTTAGCTCTAGCCCCTAGCCCCTAGCCCCTAGCCTAGCTAAGCCCAACGCAGTGCAGCCCAGTCTAACCCTGCCCAGCACATTCAATCTTAACCTAATCCAGTCTAACCTATTGCAGCCCAGTCTAACCTAGCCCAGCACATTCAACCTTAACCTAACCCAGTCCAACTGATCTAATCTTGCCGTGCGTAGCCCAACCTAGCCCAGCGTAGTTTAACTTGAAGTTTAATCTAGTCCTCTTTTAGGTGAGTATAAGGCATGTACTTGAATCCTTCTTCAACACTATATATTAGGTTGGACTAAAAGTAGTGGGACGCTATGTTTGTTTTTCAACTAAAAAGTGTCCCGCTACTTTTGATTGAACCGAATAAAACTTGTGCACTAGTCCTTTCTCTACCCTATATAAAGACCTTTTTCCGAAGCCAACCTTACTGGCCACCCTGTCTAAAACTCTAAATTTTAAAACTTAAGCCTTTTCCTTAGTCCAACCCTAAATTTAAAATTACAACCGCTCTTACCGTACCAAACCCCCCCCCCCAATTTTTTCAACTCAAATCGGCTTAGTTCAGAAGACGGTTTGTCTTCAAAACTTTCGGTGAAAAATGACTGTCCATTCTTAATCGACTCGGCTGATAAGGCCACTCCCTGTAATGTATTCCAGTGACATACAGTTAGAGTTATAAATTAAGCGATTATCAGTAATTACTGATAAATCATCAAAAATTTTTACGTTTTTTTTGCGTTTTGGAACTAGGTTTTAAGCGGACTGATAACTTTTTAATTGAAGGCTTAATTTTTGAAAAAGACTACGAATTAATAATTAATGTAGTGTTATTCTACTTATATGCAGTGTTATGCCCGGACTGGTTCGGAGCGTTCTTCACCGGTCCGGTCTGGCAATTCTCGGATCCGGTCTAAATTTAAAATTTTTGGGTCCGGTACAAATTTAATATTTTTGGGTCCGGTACGGTCCAAATTAAAATTTTTGGGTCTGGTCCAGTCCAAATTTAAATTTTTTGGGTCTGGTCCAGCCCAAATCCAAAATTTTTGGGTCCGGTCAGGTCCAAATTTAAAAATTTTGGATCCGGTCCGGATCAAATCCAAAACTTTTGGGTCCGGTCCGGTCCAAATTTAATATTTTTGGGTCTGGTCCGGTCCAAATTTAAAATTTTTGAGTCCGGTACGGCCTAAATTAAAATTTTTGGGTCTGGTCCAGTACGCAAAAAAAAATTTTTTTTATTTTAAAGAAAGCAAAAAGCGCTAAAACTGCTTTTTTGCTTAAAAAACCTTAAAAATATGTTTTATTTGCAATTTCTAAGACAGTTTTATTCTGAGTTTTGCCTTTTGGGTCCGGTCCGGACGGTTTGGATTTTTGAATTTTTTTCCCGCCAAACTCATATCTCGAAAACTCTCTTCATACCTGAAGAACCAAAAGTAGCGAGACATCTTTTTTAATTAGAAAAATCAATAAAAAGTGTTCCACTACTTTTGGATCAACCTATAGTGAAGGGTTCAAGTACACGCCTTATACTTAGGGGTGAGAAACAGGACGTCTAGGCCCGGCCCAGCCCAGCCCGGCCCTACCATCGGGCCGGGCCGGCCTTGAGCTAAAATTGAAACGGGCCGGGCTTAAAAATTGGGCCCGGGTCTGAAAAAAAAATTTAAAAATTTTTTAAATTTTCTATTTCCATTCCCGTTGATCTCTTTTCATTTTATTGGGTACTATGATCTATAAATGATCTGAAAGAACAATGTAAAGCCAAAATTCCGTCTATTTTTTAAGTTTTAAAATTTTTTAAATTTTTTAAAACTGGCCGGGCTTAGAAATTTTCTGACCGGGCCGGGCCGGCCTGAGAAAAAAGTGAAAACGGGCCAGGCCTAAAGGTTGGGCCCCGGGCCTGGGCCGGGCCTGAAAAGTGGGCCCGGCCCTTTTCTCACCCCTACTTATACTCAATTGACTATCCGTTATGCAGGGATTTTCAGATAATATATAGTATCTTTGATTAGGTATTGTATATTATTAGAAAATTGTACAGTTTAGAAGGTTTATTTGTATATGATATGTTAAAAAGGCTTCAATAAAAAGATAAAATTCAAAAATCACAACACATTTGTAGTCAAAAAGGCATATGTAAGTAAACCCGCAAGTATGAACACATATAGAAACTAACAATAACCGGGCCGGGCGGGCACTTTTGGTCTGACGGCGGGGGTCGAAAAAATCGGCACATTTAGCTTCTGTGCCGATTCTTGAGGAAGTTCACGTTCAACTTTAAAAAATTTTTTTTTGGTTTTTTTTTCTTGGTTTTAGGGGGGGGTACTCTTCGTGTTCCCTCAGACCAAAAGTCCAGCCCTGCCAATAACTACAACAAATTCGAGTAATATGATCAAAGAAATGCAAATTCAATGTCATACACATATATCGACCTGTAAAGAGGCCAGAGCTGGCCACTAGTTGATGCAATCCCTCTTCTGACCACTGTACTTGGCATTTAGGTTCAGCGTGCCGATGTCAAACACATTATTACATGTGTCCCCATTACAGATAAAGTCATCTGGTATATGAATTGTGATCTTTTGCTTACAGATACCGAATCGACGTCCGCAGCGATGATAACTGAAAATTTGGATTTTTGAACAAACGTCCGTTATCCACAAAAGTTTTAAAAAAAAAATTTTTTAAATTGACAAAACTTTCTTTACAGGACATAAAATAGCAATAACTTCCTTTACGAAACCCAAAATGTCATGAACTTTCTTTACAAGACAAAAAATGACAAGAACTTTCTTTACAAAATAAAAAATGGCAGGAACTTTCTTTACAAATCAAAATAGTGGCAGGAACTTTCTTTACAAACCAAAAAATAGCAAGAACTTTCTTTAAAAAAACCCAAAATGACAAGAACTTTCTTTACAGAACAAACAATGGCAAGAACTTTCTTTACAAAACAAAAAATTGCAATAACTTTCTTTACAAAACCCAAAATGACAAGAACTTTCTTTACAATCTAAAAAATGGCAGACACTTTGTTTACAAAACCCGAAAGGGCAAGAACTTTATTTACAAGTCAAAAAATGGCAGGAACTTTCTTTAAAAAACCCAAAATGACAAGAACTTTCTTTACAGAACAAAAAATGGCAAGAACTTTATTTACAAGTCAAAAAATGGCAGGAACTTTCTTTACAAATCAAAATAGTGGCAAGAACTTTCTTTACAAGACAAAAAATGGCAGGAACTTTCTTTACAAATCAAAATAGTGGAAAGAACTTTCTTTACAAGACAAAAAATGGCAGGAACTTTCTTTACAATCTAAAAAGTGGCAAAAAATTCGTTTACAAAATAAAAAATGGCAAGAACTTTCTTTACAAAATAAACAATTGCAAGAACTTTTTTTACAAAACATAATAATGGCAAGAACTTCCTTTAAAATCACAAATTTTTAATTTTAAGTTTTTTAAAATTTAAAATTTTAATTTGTTATTTTTAAAGATTTTTTCCTTCTGGCATCTCAAGTACATGCTAGAAAGTACAGATCATGTTTATAATTTGTTGCTATAACATGATGAAAGCAGATAAGATTTCATCAGAATGTTTTTGACGTACAATTACAATTGATAACGTCTTACTTCCAAAAAACCTTTTTTTAAACTGATTAAGTTATCAAAAACACAAATTTTTTGTAAAATACGAAAGCTTTTGCTAATTTAAAAAAGGTGGGAAACAATTTTTTACCCTTACCCCAATCTGTCTTACCCAGCCCTACCCTATTCTACCACAAAAACGTTTTTGAATATGTATTAGGCGCCGACATAAAGAACCCGCCATGCTTTTCCACTAATTTCGTGTAAAAAATGGTGGGTTCTTTGTGTCGGTACCTATGACAAAACTTACATGTTAAGTTTAGGTTCAATAGCACTAAACTCTTTGGTGTGACCCGTCAAGTAGAATTGACCGGTAAGGTTCGTAAAAGCCTCGTCCATTAAGTCATCCACTCCCAGACGATCGCTGTCGAATAACTTCACTTTCTGTAAATTTTAAAAATGAAACCAAAGGCATGTTAAGATAAGACTATGATAGGGCTAGGCTTAAAAAATAGTAAAAATGTTTACAAATTAAGTCCAGGCTATGGTAGAGACTAGATTAATATTAAGCTAATGCCCGGGTTAAAGGTATAGCTCAAGATAGAGCTAAAACTAATGTTGGAGCAAGAGCTAGGGCTAGGGCTTTGGGCTAGGGCTCTGAACTAAGTCTCTGGGCTAGGGCTTTGAGCTAGGGCTTTGGGCTAGGGCTTTGGGCTAGGGCTCTGAACTAAGTCTCTGGGCTAGGGCCCTGGGCCAGGGCTCTCGGCTAGGGCTTTGGGCTAGGGCTCTGAACTAAGTCTCTGGGCTAGAGCTCTGGGCTAAGACTCTGGACTAGTGCTTTAAAACTTGAAAGTTTGACTTACCACCCCACTGGCCGGCTTTTCATCACAGTAGAACATTCCACTGACAGCAGCACTTTGCTCTCTTCGAACTAAGCTAAATCCATTTAGCGTAAACTGCTTGTGGGTGAACCAATACACAGTCCAGCCAACTAATCCAGCTATTATTAAGACTATTGTCACACAAAGACAAAAGCAGAATAGGCCTAGTTTTGACAGTTTTCCCATTTTTGAGACTTAAAAATGAAGTTCCTTGGCTTAAAATGAGGTAAAAATCTATGTTAATATAGTGACAACCTTGTTGATAGTACAAAAACTGAGCTGATATTGATAAATGTAGGTAGATATTGGTAGGTACGATAAATGTAGGTAGATATAGATAAGTATGAGAAAGTTATGACACTGTTGAGCTGTTTAAATTATTGCTGTAGATGTTTAACGTAGTAGAATAGTAATTTTAATGTGAAGTTCGGCTGTTTTGGGCCGTTTTTACATTCTGTCAGCCACAAAAATCAATTTTTATGACGTTTCTTGGGCTAGCCGGTTAGAGAATGATGTTTTACAGCTCCTGAAATTAAATTTTTAATTTTCTAAAATTTGAAAAAAATTTTTTTTTGTAAAATACGCCTGAAAAACATTAACAAAAAAATTTAACGATTATTTTATATTTTTAATAAAAAATAAATTTAAAAAATTTTTTTAAAAATTTTTTGCCATTTTCATTGAAATTCGATCCAAAAAGCATTGTTTCAAAGCCAAAAGCCAGTTCGCTAATCCCGAAAAGAAATAAAAAAAGAAAACGAAGAGCAGGAGCCTCCGTTCCTCGGTAGTATAGTGGTAAGTATCCGCGCCTGTCACGTGCGAGACCCGGGTTCGATTCCCGGTCGGGGAGGAAAGCTTTTTGGGGTTTTTTTTGAGTCAATTTTGAGTAAAAAAAAGTTAAAATACGACATTAATAGTATTGTGGTAAATATAAATTTATTTTTAAATTAAAAAACTTTATTTTAAATTAAAAAATTGTAAAATTCTTTATAAAATTTCAAAGTCAAAAACAAAATTTTTTTAATTTTGGCCAAACCCCTCTTTTTATAAGCTAAAATTAATTTGACCTACCCTAAATTAAAAATTTTGGTAAAATCTAAAAAATAGGTCTTAAATTTTCAAATCTTGTCCAAAAAGCCTAAACTTTACTGAAAAAAATAAAAAAAGAGGCTCGTAAACAAGTCCGCGGCCAGAAACGAATAACAAACAAAAAGTGGCCCTATATTATAAAACAAAGACCAGAAGTGTTCCAAAACAAACTTTTTTGCCATTTTTATGATCATGATCAGTCGAAAAAATCAAAAATCAACTCAAGGACTCAGAGCCTAAGTAAAAAACCCTAGCCCTTACCCCTACGCTCGGGCTTTAGCTCCGAGTCCTAGCTTCGAGCCATAGCCCCGAGCCCTAGCCCTAGCTATTACCCCTAGCCCCGCGCCCTAGCCCTTATCCTTAGCTCCGAAACCAAGCTCTGAGCCCTGGCACCGAGCCTTAGCTCCGAGCCTTAGCTCAGAGCCCTAGCTCCGAGCCCTAGCTTCGAGCCCTAGCCCCGACTCTAAGCCCAGAGTAGACATGGAAAACGGGCCGGCCCCCAGCCCAGCGTCGCTAACCCAGAGCCCTTAGTCCCAAGCCCTATCTCTAAACCCAGCCCTAGATCTAGCTTACGTCTAGCTCTACTATTGCCATCCTGTAGGACTACTTTCCTCCCACTCCGGTTTAAAAACTTCAGTCTCGGCCCTAGTCTTAGCCCGCAGCCCTTGCTCAAAACCCTTGCCCTAGTTTGTTATTTTTGAAATCTAGCCTAACCCCTTAATTTAAAAACAGTTTTTTGCAAATAGTTTAAGAGTTTTGTCAAATTTCTCAAAAACGTTCGCTCCCTAAAGTAAACACGCTTTTATAAACAAGACTGGGAAGGGTTTTTAAAACAGAGCGGGTACCCGGTAAAGGAGAAAAGACCAAACAACAAGTAATGTGATTGATACGATGAGTAATTGCAAGTGAGGGAGTAATTGTAGTTCAAATGAGGTGTAAACCTACCCTACCCTACCCTACCCTACCCTACCCTACCTTACCCTACCCTACCCTACCCTACCCTACCCTACCCTACCCTACCCTACCTTACCATTCTTTCCATGTCCTACCCTTGCCGGGTCCTAACTCTATCATGCCCCTTGTTTTGCCTTAACTAGCCCATGCCTCACTTTTTTCATGCTTTCCCCTTGCCATACCCTACTTTTATAACCCCTTGCCCTACCCTTACCATGCCCTACCCTTGTCATTCCCTACCCTTCCTTCCCATGCCTTACCCTTTCCATGCCTTATCCTTTATATACCCTACACTAGCCATGCCCCTTTCCTTACTATGCGCTGCCCTAGAAAAGTCCCACTCTCACTATGTCTTACCCATGTAATTTCCTACCCTAGTCAAGCCCTTAATCTTGAAATGTATACTTCTTTCATACCCCACTCTTCTTATGCATTACCCTTCCCTACACTAATACAGTCAAACCCTAATTACAGTACAAAACCACTAATATAAGCAAACCCCAAAAATTTATCGAAATTCGCGGTAAGATAAAAGACCTGCTTTGACTTGTAACAGTTTTACGATCCCTTCCGAATTATGTTTCGTCCGTTGGAAGGGCTACAGAAATAGAAAAAACGCACCTTTAGGTCTTATGAATAACCGGAAAAAGAGGAAAACAACAAAAGTTAGCCAGACTGCGAGCTGATGAGATTTGCAAAGTATAATGTTATCATACATGAGAGAGTAATGTAGTACTCATATAATTTTTTTTGATGGCAGAGTAATGTAAGTTTGTAAAAGTGTGATGTAAATGATCAATAGACAAGGGTATGATCAGGGGCGGGCGGGGATGTTTGGTTTAGGGGCACGGGTTGAAAAAATCAACAGGGGGGACCCCGTTCAACTTTTTTCGAAAATTTTTTGCTGGGTGCGGGGGAGGGGGGTTATTAATCCGAGGTTGGGAGATTGCTTGTCCATTACAAGAAGAAGACTCGGAAGAAGCCAAAGAAGCTTCATATGAAGACGCTTCACTGGCTCCGATTATTTACAGGTAGGGTAGGGTAAGGTAGGGTAGAGTATGGTAGGGTAGGGTAGGGTAGGGTAGGGTAGGGTAGGGTAGGGTAGGGTATGGTAGGGTAGGGTAGGGTAGGGCAGGGTAGGGTAGAGTAGGGTAGGGTAGGGTAGAGTAGGGTAGGGTAGGGTAGGGTGGGGTAGGGTAGGGTAGGGTAGGGTAGGGTAGGGTAGGGTAGGGTAATATAGAGTATGGTAGGGTAGGGTAGGGTAGTTTTTTTTGAATGCAAAAAAAAGTTATATTATAAAAAATTTTTTGGGCGGGGTGATTTTTCAAAGTATTTTTTTTGGGGTGGATTTTTCATTTTTGGGCACGGTACGGTAGCTCTCTTGCAACAAATAAAACTCTTTGCACTTTTAGTAAAAGTACATTTTTTTATTTTATAAAGTTTACGTCTACGACAAGGTGATTAATATCATTTGATGGGGCTTTGTAGTCAAGCTGTCATCCCGAGAAGTCTATTATTTGTGAAAAACACCTGAGGCGGGAAGTAAAAAAAAGTTTTTTTTGTCGTAAAAAGTTTCATTCAATTGAAAAAAAAAGAAAAAATGGGTTAACTTTAAGGATAGGGGTGATCTTTTGGTGATAATATTGATTTTTAAGTTTTGTAAAGAAAGTTCTTGCCATTTTTTGATTTGTAAGGGAAGTTCTTGCCATTTTTTGTTTTGTAAAGAAAGTTATTGCAATTTTTTGTTTTGTAAAGAAAGTTATTGCAATTTTTTGTTTTGTAAAGAAAGTTCTTGCCATTTTTTCGTTTTGTAAACAAAGTTCTTGCCATTTTGTCAAATTTTTGATAATCATTGGGTAAGGCATGGTGTAGTAGAATAGGGACAGACTTTTTTAATTGACGACAAAAAACGAAAAGAATAAAAAAGATCGTTGTAGAAGAAGAGACGTTAGAGAGCGCAAGAGAAACGGTTGCAAGAAAAAAGACAAATTTTACGAAAAATTTACGAAAAAAAGAGAATCGGTCACTCCCGCCCGCCCGACCGGCTGGCCTTTTCTTTTTTTGAGGCGCTTTTTCTTCTCGAGACTCTCGATTGAAACCAAGTTGCAATTGATTTTTTTTTGGGGGGGGGGGGAGGGGGGGGGGAGGAAGGGAGAGGAGGGTAAAAGGCAATGGAAAAATAAGAGGAAGGGGGGGGGGTAGGATGTGGTAACAATAAAGGGGGGGGGGTAGGGTGTGGCATAACTAAGAAATGGCAAGAGTAAGTCAAGGTAGAGTAACACGGGTCGTTTAAAATTTTTCAAATAGACAAAATTGTTGTATTTTGTTTTAATTCTATAGGGGGGGGGGGTTAAAATTTTTTTAAAAATAATAATATTTTAGATTACGGTATTACGGTATGTTACGCTTTTTTTTTGATTACTGTAGTACTGAAAAAAATGTATAATATTTAAAAAAAAGAGGTTTGAGTAGAGTACACCAATATAAAAAAAAAGACGGGGGGGGATGGCAAGTGTAGGACACGGCAAAGTTAATGCATGAAAAGGCTATGTATAGCATGATAAGGGTAAAGCATATGTAGCGAGGGTTTAGAATAACAAGAGTGAGGCATAGCGAGGGTAAGGCACTACAAGTGTATACTGCCCGCAGAAATTATTGACCACACCTATAATGCATATAAGGAACAAAGAATAGGGGAGGTAGGAAATGACAAGATTGGTTCGATGGTATTTATAAAGCCTAGTAAAAGTTGGGTAGAATGATATAGGGTAGGGTAGGGTAGGGTAGGGTAGGGTAGGGTAGGGTAGGGTAGGGTAGGGTAGGGTAGGGTAGGGTAGGGTAGGGTAGGGTAGGGTAAGGTAGGGTAGGGTAGGGCACGTTTAAAACTTTTCAAATTTCTAAAGCTACAATAACTTTAAAATTATTTTTTAGGCATGGGTGGTAGGTTAGAGTACAAAGACGGTGGTTATTATATCGGTGAACTAGTTGATCTTCAACCTCATGGTTCTGGAACGTTGTTTGATGCTAACGACAATGAGAGATTTGCTGGAGACTTCAGGAAGGGAGAAAAGGTTGGTACAGTTTTAACTTTAGGTAACAAATATAATATTTTTGATAAATTTAGGTAACAAAATTAATAAATTTGCTTAATTTTTTACATGGAATATATATTTTTATCTTTTTAAATAGTTTTTGACATATTTTGCGTCATGTAACGGAATGTCACAGAAATTATTGGAAATTTTGACGAAGTGTCACAACCATATCGGATTTTTGTAAAACATTCTAAATGACACAAAATCATATATAAGATCAATTTAAAGCATATTCTATCTTTTTTTTGGCTAAAAACGTATAATAATGTAGGTAATGGGTATCTACACAGCTCACGACGGTACCAAATACGAAGGAAAATTCGAACCAATAAGACATTTAATAAAAGACCTACCTCTGAACGGAGTAGGTGGTCAACGACACAACGGCACACTGATGTTTGGTCGGTATTACATGCCAAACGACTTTAATCAGTGTATATTGAGGATACCTGGAAAGAGAATTATGTATACTGGCAGTGCTTTGAATTACCTACCCTCAGGGTTTGGGTATCTCGCTTATCACAACGACATGGTTTATAAAGGTATAGCCCTGATCTGTGTCGCCTTGTCTTATCCTACCCGACCCTAGGCCCTACGTTACCCAAGGCCTTACCGTACCCTAGGTTCTACCGTACCCTAAGCTCTACCGTACGCTTTGCTATACCGTACCAAAGCCTTATCCTACCCTAGACCCTACCCTACCCTAAGCCCTACCCTACCTTCGACTCTACTGTGCCTTAAGCCATACTGTACGGGTCATATCGTATCCTAGGCCCTACCGTACAACAAGTTTTACCGTACTTTAGGTCCTATTGTACATTAGGTCGTACCGTACCCATCGTACATCAGGCATTACCGTACTTTATGTTCATATTGTTCTCTATGCCCTAAGGTATCATAAACGCTACTGTATCCTAACCTTACCGTACTCCGACTCTACCGTAATTAGTTTTCAGGTCAATTCTTAAACGGCAAACGTCACGGTGTAGGAATGAATACATCGGCCGTTTTCTCGAGATCTCGCAAGTTTTATCGCACTCGATCGAACGCTTCTTTGAATGTGTTTCTAGAAGACAACGATGATGACTTAAATGAGGACGTTGAGTTGGTCAATGGATGTGGCTTTAGAGCCGGCTTCACATTGGACTTGAGGCCGAGAAATGTGTTGGAAGGGAAGAAGCAGGAGACTGAAGATGTTGATGACTTCTGTTTAGTTAAGGTAAGATAATATGGTTTTTTGCTGTCATACTGTCACAAAAAGGTTACTGTAACATAAAAAATGTCATATTGTCATAAAAAGGCTACTGTAGCATTAAAAATGACATGCTGTCACAAAAAAGTTACTGTAGCATAAAAAATTTCGTATTATCATATAAAAGTTACTGTAACATAAAAAATGTCATATTGTCATAAAAAGGCTACTGTAGCATTAAAAATGTCATTTTAGTCAGCCGATGACTTTATCCACCTCAACGCCGTAGAAACTTACTGTGGTGAGTGGGAAGATGACAAACGGTGTGGTCATGGATCGATGACTAGAGATGACGGAGCGAGCTATCATGGAGAATGGAAGGACAACAAACGGCATGGGTTTGGTGTTACTACGTATAGTGATAAAAGGTAAAATACGAATTTTCAAACAACAGACATTATAGCTAGTTTAAAGTCTTGAATAGGCTTAAGCCTAAGCTTAAACGAAAGCCTAAGTCTAAGTCTAAGCCTAAACCTTAGCCTTAGCCTTGTTTTAAGCCTAAGCTTAAGTCTAAATCTAAACTTAAGCATAAGCTTAGCACATTCTATCTTAGTCTAGTCCCGCCTAGCATAGTCTAGCCCTTCTTAGCCTGGTCAAACCCCGTTTAGCCTAGCTTAATCTAAATTTAAACTTTAGCCTATACCTAAGCTTGACCCTAGACACAAAAAACGGGTTGGGCTTTTTGGGCCGGACCTAAATTTTGCTCAAGCCCGGCCCGATGGTAGGCCCGGTCCGTTCTTCACTCTGAGCTTCAGCGTAAACGTTAACGTAAGCCTAAGTTTATTTGTTTTATTTCAGAATTGAACAAGGAAGATACAGGTACAACAAACTAATTGAAGTTTCTCATCCCAGCCGCTTTCATCGTGACAGTCCATTCAATCAGGAAATCCAAAAAGCGTCTCTAAAGGCTCATTCAATGTCAGTCAAGTGTAAGTTCAACCGTATTCTACCCTGCTTTACCTTACTCTACTATACTTTACCCTAGCATTACCCTACTTTGCCCTGATTTATACTAATATTGCCATCATTTCAGTATCAGAATTAGAAAAAACGCATAGCAAAGAGTACTCCACAGCCGCAGCGAGAGGTGCTGAAGGATGTACTAACCAAGATCGAGCAAGAGATGTGGCTGAAAAAGGCAGACAAATGGCCTATTTGTACAAAGACAGTGTAGGTTTTAAAAAACGGCAAAAACTTTCTTTACAAAAAAATGGCAAAAAATTACTTTACAAAACGAAAAATGGCAAGAACTTTCTTTACTATACCCAAAAAACAAAACATTTTTAAACAATTCATTTTCAGGATGACGTATTTGTACTAGACGAAGTAGTACCACTAGCACTTGAAGCAAACCTTTACGGAATGTCACTTTGAACCTCAAATTCAATATAAAAATGCACTTTATTAATTTTTATATTGTTTACTGTAACATAATTGTGGTAAAAATTAGTTTTTTGTTGTTGTTTTGTAAATAAAATGGCATTATTAGACAATTGGCATTCATTTTTTAAACAAACAGAAAGTATTGATTTTTTGTGACACTTCGTCATATTTTGTGACATTTCGTTAAAAACTAAAAATTTTGTAAAAGTTTCATTTATTATTCAAATTTGTATTAATTTTTTATACTTGACCATTTTATAACGCTATTAATGATTATTCGATAAAATATGTGACATTTCGTCACATTTTGAGATATTCCGTTACAAAATAAAAATTTTGTAAAAAGTTGATGCAGAATGCTATTTGCATTCATTTTTCGATAGTTGGCTTTATAAAACTTTATAAAGATATTATTGTTTTTCCAATAAAATTTGTGACATTTCGTCCACATTTCTAACAAATTGCTGTTCTATAACATAAAATACAATAATTTTTCCCTAAATAGTAACTACTTGATATTTGATAACTGATAATTGATGTTAAACAATTTTACAAAGATTTTAAAAGAATTAAAGAAAGCAATCGATATTATAGTAGACGTTATCTTATCAAAAAAATTTATCAACTTGTGAGTTTGTGTTTTTATACACGATTAAAGCGATTTTATTGCTACTTATATAAAACTTACTTTTTACTATAACTTTTGTAATCTAACTTTATAAACATAGTACTAATTCAAGTACTGTGCTATATAGTACCATGAGAACTACTTTACCAAGTACAATACTAAACCTCTTTCTTTTACTATTGCCATTATGCTACAGCTCTAAAATTGATCAGAAAAAGATACTTGTGTATCAAATTGCCTTTGGCAAGAGTCATATTCAGTTCAGTGGTACTCTTATTGATCATCTTGTCAGCAGAGGTCATATTGTAGTAAGTTTTGCTAGGTTATTGTCATTTTTAAGTAGAAAAAGTTCAAAACGTCTTTTTTTATACGCAGTTTTATTAAAAACTGTTTTTGTTATTTACTTTTTGGATTTTTTAAAAATATAACGAAATGTCACAAAAAATATTGGAAATTTGACGAAGTGTCAAAAAAAGTATTGGATTTTTAATAAAAACTCAAAAAAGTTTTGAAAAACAAAAATTTATTTGTTTTTACACTGTTTTATTAAGCAAATTGTCACAATATTTATTAAAAATTTAACGAAGTGCCACAAAAAATATTGGAAATCAGTAAAATTTAAAAATTATTATAAATTTCCTAGAAGTACTTAACGTATTTTACAAAACGCTAAAAAATTATTTTCTGAATCTCAAAAAAATTAACATGAACTTTATTTCCAGGACCAACTACTATTTCGCTACAACTATGATGTTACTGGTAATGGTACTAACAGGCATCGCAAGCACTATGAAATCACGAGTTCAAAATCGAATTATCATCTAATGTCACACATTGCCAGACCATTTTCGAGGCAAAAAACTATTGACTGGGACATTTTAGCCAAAAATAAGCTGGTTTTCTGTGAAGAATTATTGAAAAACGACCGGTTGATTCGAGAACTAAAGGATGAAAAGTATGACATTATGTTGACCCAGCCTTGGGATGGCTGTAACCTACCTTTGGCGCACGTTTTGGGCATTAAGGCTACTGCACTGTATGTAGCTACACCGTCAGCTCATTACGTTTTTGAGAATTTGGGGTTACAGACGCCAACGGCTTACTTCGGAGGTAAAAATTACCGTAGCTAGCCTTACCTGTAATACGTTAACTTTAATTTAGCCATATCAAAACTCCACCTAATCCTAGGCCCTACCGTACCCTAGGCTCTACCGTACCCTAGGCCCTACCGTACCCTAGGCCCTACCGTACCCTAGGCCCTACCGTATCCTAGGCCCTACCGTATCTTAGGCCCTACCGTACTTTAGGCCCTACTGTACTCTAGGTCATACTGTACTCTACGTCATACTGTACTCTAGGTCATACCCTACCTAGACCCTACTCCAGCATAGGCTCTACCGTACCATAAGCCTACCGTCCCCTAGGCCCTACCTTACTCTAGGCCCTACAGTACCTCCAGTCCTACCGTATCCTATGCTCTATCGTACTATAGGTCCTACCAAGCCAAGGCCCCTATAATGCCCTAGGCCGAAGGGTTAACGTTTAGGCCCGGCCCGTTTTCCATGTAAGTGCCCTATACCTAACCCTATCTTAAGCCCTATCCTACTCTAAGCTTTAACGTATCTTGACTCTATTGTAATGCTCTTACTTTCAGACCCCTTCCTCTCCCACCCTCTCTACCGTACACTAAACTTCTGGGAGCGTCTAGAAAACTTCAAGCACTGGATAAAACTTCACATCGGTGAAGATCGAAGAAACTTGGAAGACGTACTATTTCAAAAATACTTCCCAGGTACTCCAAAGTACGATGAATTATATAGAAAGATATCATATGTCTTTGTGAATGCTAATGAGTTTACTGACATTGGACGACCTATTTCAAACAAAGTAAAATTTATCGGTGGAATTCATTTGGAAACAATGAATAAAGGTTCTGATAGACAATTACCTATTGTAAGTTTGATTGGCTTGTAGGATAGGGTAGGGTAAGGTAGGGTAGAGTAGGGTAGGGTAGGGTAGGGTAGGGTAGGGTAGGGTAGGGTAGGGTAGGGTGGGGGTAGGGTAGGGTAGGGTAGAGTAGGGTATGGTAGGGTAGGGTAGGGTAGGGTAGGGTAGGGTAGGGTAGGGTAGGGTAGGGTAGGGTAGGGTAGGGTAGGGTAGGGTGAGGTACAGTAGGATAGGGTAGAGCAAGGTAAAATAGGAGAATAACTTTACGCAATAACGTCATACCTTTCAGCAATACGAAAACATTTTGGCATCCTCAAAAAAAGGTACTGTAATTTTTTCATTTGGATCGTTAGTTATGTTGGAAAACGTCCCAAAAAAAGTAAAAACAGCATTTTTGGAAGCTTTTAAAGAATTGAAAGACTACAATTTCATTTGGAAATACGACAACCTTACTGAAGCCAAAACGCTGCAAGCTGACAATGTCTACTTCAAGGACTGGCTACCTCAGAAACAACTTTTAAGTAAGGCTCAATATACGTTCTATCTCTAGCCTAGAGCCATAGCCCACAACCCTAGCCCAGAGCTCTAACTCAAGCCCTACCCCAGAGCACTAGCCTAATGCCCTTACAATATTCCTAACTACAATGTCACAATTTTCAGAAGACCCAAGAATCCGCTGTTTCATCAGCCATATGGGCATGAACTCTTTCACCGAACTAGCCTATGCTGGTGTGCCAGTCCTAATGGTCCCACTGTTTGCCGATCAACGTAACAACGCTGGCGCAGCAATGAGAAAAGGCATTGGTCTAGCCATCGAAAAAGAAGATTTGACCAAAAAATCAATATTAGAAGCCTTAACTCAAGTTTTGGAGACCCCAAAGTTTGATGAAAACGCTAAAAATCTAGCCAAGATTCTCAAGAGTGCTACGGTGAAACAATCTACGGGTCAAAGGTTTGTGGATGCTGTAGAAATGGCAGCTGAGTACCCAGAAATTGCGTCTTTGTTAGCACTCCCTAGTGCTGATTACAGTATATGGGTTACTAACACTTTTGATGTTGTTGTATTTTTATCTGTCTCTGCTACGTTAATTGGGATTGTCAATATTTATATCGTTTACAAGGTAATTGCGTTTTTATTGTGTTTTAATGTAAAAAGTGGTGAAAAACCAAAAGTTAAGAAGTCATAATAAAAATTTTATGATACGCTTGTTGAGTATAATTATGTTTGTAGTATATTTGTACAGTTGTAAAACAAAAAATTGTAGTAGAAATACGTGTTGCAATAATAGAAATAACTTCTTCAATAACACAATACAATCATCAGTTTTCTTTCTTTCATTACTTTAATATATGTATAAATCTTCCAACCAAACAGTAACGTATCAACTTCATGTTACAGTAACGTTTTCAAGTTATGTTGCAGTAGAGATTGATATACCGATGCCAGTACGAGTGTTAGTAGCATCAAAACATAAAATTTCCTCGACTTTTCGACGAAATGACGGAAGAGCAATAAGTATAATTAGAGCGTCAAACAACGGACAAAATTGGATAATTAGTACAAAGTATTGACTTAGACCGACCGTAACACCTCGTGGCAACAACTCTCGACCCATTAAAAACACTGGTAGCGAGTGGAAGAGGAAAGGCACGAGCGCCTAAAAATAGATATTATTATATAGCAGAGTACTATAATTGTACTGTAATTATTAGTGTTAGAATAGTTGGGTTTTGTACGAACAATAGTATAAATATTAACAAGCATACATTGTCTAACATTTTAAGTATCTATATGTTAGAAAAAGCTAAAAAAGCGATACCTGCATAAACAAGATCCGCGTAAAGCGACCAGACAGTTTTTGCGTACGTATAGACAGCACACTATCATGCATAACTCGTGTCGTTTTGTAAGCAAAGTAAACAATTAAGCTCAAACTTATGGCTGTGTACACGTTTACAGTTACCGTATTTGCGTTTGCTACAGCGTTGTTCTGAAACTTTTTTATGTGTAAATTCTTTATGGTGGTAAGTAACGTCATAATAACTCTAAAAAATTGTAGTACATAGAAAATGTATTTCTGGTGGATGGTACCACTCGGCAACCCGTCACAAAGAGGAAGTTATGAAAATATCCATAATTATGCAAATATCTGTGATCTCATGATTGTACTTTGTTTTTTTTAATTGACGGTATAAAAGCCGGGGATTTCCAAAATAAACGCCTTACATTAATATTGTTATTTGTTAATGTTACCATTTTCTTACCTTATATTCAAAAGTAATAGTAGGAACAGTCTCGTTATTACACCACGGATACAGTTTAGCCACAGTTGCTTGAAACTCCACAGGATCAGCAATAATAAAATTCAAATAAAACGAAGCCTTTAACATTGACAACATAACAATAAAAAGTATAGTTATTACTAACGTTTTAACTTTAACTTCGTCATGCAACGCGATTCGGTAGCGGAAGAAAAAAATTGTTGGAAAAAGCCCAATATTAAGGTTGATCAACCCCAAAGATGTTATTACACCAATTGTATGCATAATCGGGTGTGAATGAAGCATCAAAGGTGATGTTGTTGTGAATATTAAAACTTCTGATCCGGATAGAATTCTCTGAAATTTTTGTTTTGTTATTTTTTTGATTTAATGGTTTAATGTCGCTTTGTGTTTTATTTTAGACAACCTTAAGAAGATCAAGTAAGGAATTAAACATAAACTGCTGCTGCGGAACACATGTTGAGTGTCAATCCGTGCGCAGCAACTGGCAAAGTAACAAGGCCAGAAGGTTACTAAGTCAAATTCTTTGTACCAATTATACAATTTTGTCCGCTGTTTGACGCTCTAATTATACTTATTGCTCGGTTGGTTTGTTTACCTATCAAGAATATTCAATTACTCAATAATGCAAGGCAGAGTCATAAAATTTCTAGCAAAAAACAGTATGTGTATATATATTATTTTGTATCTTAAACCCACCAATTTACAGTCATTATGCATGACACCAACTTACGAAGCCTATGACCATACCAAGCGTTGAAAAAGTTGTGTTGAATATTGCAGTAGCCGTAATTAATTTTTTGTACTGCCTTAGTTCATTCTTCTGAATGTAGCACAGATAAACAACAAACAAATTTAGTATACAAGCCGTTGTTGCAATGATATAGGTCGATCCATCATAATAAACGTTTTTAAAATAGTCTTGGCACGTAGGCATGATGACTATAACAAGTATAAAATGGTAATATTTACGTTTCGTTTGTTAATAAACAAAGTTAATAACACAGTCTTACAATTTTTAGGTTTGCCGTGCGGAAGATTATCTGTAATACCGTAGTCAGTTTCTAAAAGCGGTAATAACGTTGTTATAAAGAATAAGAACAAAAGTTGTTTACAATGTTATAAACAATAGTTAACTTAATGTAATCTACACAATTAGATGTACATTAATGAAGCTCTGCTACCGCGTAGTTAATTTTATCGCGTAGTTAATTTGTATTTGTTATTTCAATGACGTTTAATACAATCTCAACTAGAAAGTAGCTTTCAAAAAAGGTAGTATTGCATGTTTAAAAAAAGTTGTATTGTCTCAACAAGGGTTAACAGTTAGACAGATGGTGCAAAAACCGAAACTCCAACGTTAACTGCTTTTGTGTACTATGTGTTCAAATAAGCACTTAGGGTTTTTAATTAACAATACAGAAATATGTTTTCCAATGCGTATATACAAATTAGGAAGGCAAATGTACAGTAACGGTAATTTATAGTAAACAAGTGCACAAATCAAGTGTTCAAACGACAAAAAAATCAATTTTCAGATATGCGTATTACAATACAAGTACTGTATAGAAAGTTGTAGCAAAATTGTATTAAAGTGGTCTCTCTATATAGTGAACCATCTGTATAAGCAACTCTTTTTACAGTACTAATAAACAAGGCATTTGGTACCGAGTCAAATTGCACTAAAAAATCACTCTGTAAAGACAACGCCCTCTATAGTGACCACAAAACATTGATCCCTTTAAGTTGCTTATATTGAAAGAATACTGTAAAAAGTTTTCCACGTAAAAGTAAAGATATAATGACAAAAGTAGACATAAACTATACTATTATGTTATACATTAAACTCTGTACAAATTAAAAAATGTACAATAGAAGCCTTGAAACATAAACAATTACTCAAAGTTTTACAGAGTATATAAGCACAGTCGAAGTACGTGCGCTAACCTTCATAAACATTGTGCGTATTTATCGAACCGAGTAATTAGTCAGTGTTTGTCGTTAATTATACGACTCATGCATGTTTTAAGGAAGAGCAGTGACAGTATAAAGAAAGGTCGGTTGTATCAAAAACTACAGAAACCATACTATACGATTTTGCGCACTTTAAGCCTCACCCACGAACCAGTGATGCGGTGAACAGTCAAAACTGAAGGAAGGCCCAACTATGAAAAACATCATAAAATTAACTACGGTGAACAACGAGGAACGCGGAACACTAGACCAACCCAGGAATTTACACGCAATACTTCAATGCAATCGTCGGAATCAACAACATATAATCTAACCTATATCTACATTCCACGAACTACAAATTGTATTTGTATAGCGTAGAAAATATTCTAATAAAGTTTTTAAAAAACGCAGTAATATTATAACCTTAAGGTTTGTAGGCTTAGAAAACCTTAAATTTAAATTTGATCTTAAAGCTTACTTTGTGGTTCTGGTATTTAAAACGTGACTAATTTATGAGATTGACAATTTATATTGATAGGACTATTAATAAAGCTACTATCAGTGTCTAAAAACAAAATTGCTGTCACGTCACAAAAATACCAAAATACATATATTGTATTAATAAATGGCAATTATGTACACACCGTTACAGCACTGTTTATTGATAAACAACAGCAAAGTATATTCTAAAGTGTCGCATACTTTTTTAATGATACTAAATGTCAAAGCAGTTTTGGCGTATTTAGTTTGTATTAGGTTGTTCCAAAAAGAATGACCGATTTTAACCGTAAACTTTAACAAAGCATAACTTATACATACAACACAAACCACTTTCACTAACTGTAGGGTTGTATGAAAAAGGTTTCAGGCAACATTTTGGTGAAATTTTGTTTGAGCTGTTAGAAAATTTGTCTCTTATTTTAGCATGCATAACGTTCGGTCTGCTCCATCACTTCTCCTGACGAACAAGAACCTTCAGTAGCAGTTCAGTGTGATTCTTTACCACAAAAAAGGATGACGCTTACTCAGAGGTTTCAATTGGGACAAAAAACGCAGTCCAAGAAGGTTTTTGATACGGTTTATTTACGTTACGTTTTGTCTATATTCATTACTGGCACAGTTTTTTCCAATCTGTTTGACATAGATCTGAAAGAGTCCATTAGTTTCGGCTCGGCGCCGGCTCGAAGAGGACGGAAGCAAATTTGAAAGGGGCCGGGCCGGAAGATGTAGAACCGAAAGCGGAGTTTTAAATCAAGTTTCGCGCTCTTTACAGGTCTAGTGTTACACTGTGTTACATCTGAAAATAAGCACAGTAGAACTCATGTATAACGAATCGTTTGGAGACTTGAAATTTGTTCGTTACAAAGGAGTTCCTTATACAGGAGTTTTAAATGCACTGTGTAGTGGTAGACTGGGAGTCAGAAGTTGTTCGTTATACGGAATTTTCATTATAAAGGAGTTCGTTATACCGATGTACCTGTACTTTTGAACCATTTCTCTCAATTTTAAAGCCCAAATTAGGAAATGCTTTTGCTGTATAAATATCAAACTGCACTTTCCAAACCGAAATCAAAAACAACCAAAGTTAAATATTATACAGCTGTTTACAGAATGCAAACCTTCGAAGTTATAAATCATTTTTCGAGCACTTTTTTGAACCGTGTGTTCGAGAGCAGATTAATGTTTATCGTGTTCAAATGACCAGCCTGTTTGTCTTTCCGACTAGACTACGAATCGAAAAAACCGGGTGATGATCAGTTTGGCTACGGTTCGAAAAAAGCGGGCGGGGCGTTATGGGTAGGGCACATTAACTCGTGAGGCTTAAAGGAGGGAAAGAAGTGAGATAAAGTGGAATGACAGTACTAAAGAGAGTTTAAAGATCAGGGAGGTTAATATAAACTTAAATTATTAGATCAAGACCCCCCTTGAATAGACTTGAAAGGGGTCCAATAGGCTCGACCCTCAAGGAGGCTGGGTTGGGCAAAAAAATTGAAAAGAGCCAGACCCGGCCAGAACGTGCAGGTGCTTAGCAAGATTTGGTTTAGTAGCTTTAGGCTTAGTAGACTTAGGTTGAGCAAGATTTAGTTTATTAGGCTTGGGCTTAGTAGGCTTAAGCTTAGTAGGCTTAGGCTCAGTAAGCTTAGGCTTAATAGGCTTAGGCTTAGTAGGCTTAGGCTTAGTAGGCTTAGGAGGCTTAGGCTTAGTTGGCTTAGGCTTAGTAGGCTTAGACTTAGTAGGCTTAGGATTAGTAGGCTTAGGAGGCTTAGGCTTAGTAGGCTTAGGCTTAGTAGGGTTAGGCTTAGTAGGCTTAGGCTTAGTAGACTTAGGCATAGTAGGCTTAGTCTTGGTAGGTTGAGGCTTAGTAGGTTTGGCTTGGTAGGTTGAGGCTTAGTAGGAGACAGAGTGCTGGGTCCCAAAGTTTAGCCTGTAAGTAGGGCTAAAAAATTGGGTGTGGTCTCTTTACCGGTCTATCTTTAAAAAAAAAGAAAACCACTTTATCATAGACTACACTCAGCAAAGATAACAAAAGAACGGGAAAAGAGCAAGGAAAATATCCAAAAAACACTCATGTTTACAATTGTTGTGTTTAATTGTCCTTAGTGACTAGAGGTCACGGCCAACTTGTTTATGCTCCGTCAGCACGAGACGGAATTGTTAAAATGTTTTGGGGCGTTCGAATTGCGAAGGCTTTTAGCTGCTAACGGCTGAGGGGGGTACTGTACATTAAAGTCAATAAATTTTAGAAGTTTATTGGATTGGCTTGGGTTTGCAATTTTTGGCAAATGTTTAATAGGCTTAAAATTAGAAGACTTAGGCTTAATTACTTTTGTATTATAAGGGTTGGTAGGGTTAGGTTCAGAAGGCTAGCAGACCTATATGTAGACTTAGTATCCTTAGACCCAGTAGCATAGACATATTAAGCTTAAGCTTAGTAGGTGTCGCTTGGTATGGTTTGGCTTGGTAGGCTAAGGCTTCGTTGGCTTAGGCTCATTAAACTTGGGCTTGGTAGGCTTAGGCTTAGTAGGCTTAGGATTAGTATGCTTAGGCTTAGTAGGCTTAGGCTTAGTAGGCTTAGGCTTAGTAGGCTTAGGCTTAGTAGGCTTAGGCTTAGTAGGCTTAGGCTTAGTAGGTTTAGGTTTAGTAGGCGTAGG